TGTGTTCATTCTTGATTCGTATCTAGGGTGTTAATCGGGACAGTCCAACCAGTTGTAGTCTTGAATTATTATTCAAAAATATCTTGCAAGTCTGGTCCGCAAATTTTTTTAATCTAAATCCAGCTAAAATGAACCTCCGACCCAAACTTTTATCCTATTGTCACAAAAGCTTAATTATCTAAACTTTTCTGTTTTGTTAGGGACGAAATAAAAGAGAAAAATCCAATTTCAGAAAAAGTCTCAAACTTAGAATTGTCAAATCGGGCAAAATCGTACAAAAAAGTTCATGTAGTAACATGCATGCTCTATATTTGAGCACTGCGAATAGGAATTATACATATGTACAAACACGTAACTGTGCGACTTTCTTTTCAGTACCTCTTTTTTTTCTTTTTCCTTTTTAGGGTAGAAAATGTGATAACTGTGAATGATAGGTGAGTGCAAAGCGAGTGAAGGAAGATGACAAACGAAGAAAAACAAGTAAACTCAGCTTTGTCTTGTCAGCTTCTGTAGAGTGGGATTCCACTCTTTTTGTTCTTGTCTCTCTTCTCTCTTCAACAAGTAAACTATTACCACTTTAGCCTATTTATATATTGGACAACTCTCTTTACTTCTCAACACTCCAAAACACAGAGGGTCTTATCATTTAAACAAAAAAAAGAACCAACGCGTTGAGGTTGTGAATGAAGATGTCAATGGGACGACTTGGGTCGGTTCGGATATCAAAGCTCCGGTGCTGGGATTGGTGTAAAGAGCAAAGAACGCGTGCTTATATCATCTGGAGATGTTTGCTTTTCTTGTTACAGTGGGAAGACTAATGATCGAACAAGAATAATGATCAGCTAAAGGATTCATTAACACACTCTGTACAAAGTGGAAGATAAATCAATGGAGAATGTTTGTTTCTAGAGTCTTTAGGAGAATCATGTATATATGGTTTTTATCGAGGTCTGTTTATTTAGTACACTTTCATAATTTTTATTTTTGACATCATTTTATATATTTAATGTTAGTTGCTTCTTGTATAAAGTTTAGTCTACGTACTGTAAGTAAATCTGACAATAATGTAGTGTTTCTTGCACTAGTGAATCAAGGTAAATAAGTACTTATATTTTACCCGAATTTGTTGGATATCTTTCACCTTATTAATTACTCGGCTTGTAAAATGTTTATGTAATGGAATTGCTTAAATACGATTAGTTTTGTTGAAAAATAATTAATTTGATCCAGGGTAAATTTTCTGTAAGGAGATTACTCGTTTAGTTTTCCACAAATTTATGTGTGTAAAGACTAAAGACTACCTAGCTAAGACATATTATTCGTGACTATTATATGGCTTTGAATTTTATAGTTTTATTGACCTGAAAAAAGGATTGATTGGACGTGTGAGGATAAAAATTTCTTCATTATTATTATCATCTAGTATCATCATTAATTCATCATCGTGATCATATTGTTCTATGTTTGGTTAGAAAATTTAGTTACCTTACAAGTAATTATAGTTCCAAAATCCATTTTTGCAGTGGTCTCCACCAGATGGTCCAATGAACGCATTGACAAGAAAAAAAAAATCGGTTAAAATTGAAAAGCCTCTAAAAATACTTCCCACTTGTTAGAAATTAGTCCAATCTCCCACAGAAGTCTTGAAATTGTCAAAACTTCAATCTTTGTAATTCTTGTTCTGTAACTAAAATAAGATTAGTGAAGTAATACCCCGACAGCAAAATTTATTGTGATTGAGACGGATACAACCCACCAAGATCCAAATAAAGAAATGTAATGGATCGGCAATAAGCATCAGAGGCCTATATCGGTTCTATAGAAACCTTTTTTCAACAAAAGCCTCTTTTTCCTTTAGCAATTTGATTAATTTCGTCCAAAACGGCTACTACTATTATTACTCGGATTTGTATAGTTTCTTAAACAGTAGTACGATACAAAATCAAAATCATTTAAAACTTAAGAGTATGGACCAAATCAGAAGCAATAGTTAAACACTTAAACATGTCTTTAGTGAGACTAGATCATGTACTTCTATCAACTTGGGGATAACACGTTTATATGTTAATCAAGTCTTATCTCACCATGTTGATTGAAGAACAAGAGCGATTCTCACTAAAGACACGTTAAAGACTGCGATATGCATGATAAAAAAAAAGAGTACATATTAATTTGTAAAACTATGATAAGAATGAGATTCCAAGAATTACACACATGCATAAGGATGTAACAGTGTCTCCAAAGCTCCCACAAAAGGTGAAATATGTCAATGTTATGTGGAATAATTCGCTCTTTGGAATAAAATTGTAATAGAAATTACGTTTTCTTCTTTTTGTATTTATATGCACTGAAGTGAACTTAGGTTCCATTCGCAAAAGTTGATGTTGACCTTAAATATTATTCTTCTTGTACATATGGAAAAGCTAAGTATAATAAAATCAAGGCTTACACAAAATGGGCTTTAAAAAGGAAAGAGCACATCTAAAAGAGACGAGGACATACAAAATCGAAGGCCTAAAATTAGATTCTAGATAGCTACAAGCATTGGTCATATATTCATATTCCCAAAGTTTCATAATTATTATTTTAAGTGTATTTTCATCCATATATAACTCTCATCTCATGTTTATATTTTCAATATCAATTTTCTATAAGTTTGTAGTATTAATTTCTAGTATATATACTCCTTATACAGTGTTATAAATTATCTAGTGTGTTATTCAGTTTATACTAAAATGATGCGAATGAATTAAAATGCATATTATACATCATCCCTTGTACATTTAACCACACACACATACACACACAAAATTGCTGGCATGTCGTCACTGTAATAAAAAAAATATAGTTTTTGAAATTGTAACTCAATCTATCTATAAAGTATTTGAATTTTACATTTGAATCCTTTAGATGGTTAGGGGAAATAATATACAATATAACCGGGTTCTCGTGGTCTGGTGGTAATGGAGCCTTAGCTGAGGTGCTCGTCATCACGAGTTTGAGTCCCCGGCCACCCGGGCTGCCTTAAATGGTAAGAATATGTGGACTGCCATGGGCCTCGTGTGATTAGTCTTGGGCCTACAAAACCTTTGGATCACTCACGGTTATCAAAAAAAAAATATATATATATATATATATATATATATATATACAATATTTCTGTTTAGTTAACAAATCAAATCATCTCCATATTTCATTACCCGCGTAAATTCTAGTCCTATTAAAATGACTTTTTTTTGTTAATTAAAATGGTATCCAAACAGAAGTTCTTTGCTCTCGTAATAAAATAAGTTGTCTTGGAGGGAAAATAAACCTTTAAAAAGGTGTAAAGAACTTGAAGAATGCTAGATAAGCATGGTCCGATAAGGAAAATGTAGAATGCAAATACGATTGATTAACCCTTTTCTCAAAAAACAAAACAAAACAAATACGATTGATCGCCACAAAACAAAAGTGGAGATAAAAGAGTAGTCGATGAAGTTGGACTAATAAATAAATACTTAGCGCACCACCACCAAATGATAGTTTATTTTTTATAGAAGCTTTTATGGAAAGATTCGCCATTTTCTCCAAAATATAATAACACAATTTCCATTTGCGTCACAATACGATAAATAAAGAGCAGCTTTTGATACTTGCCAATGCCATGTTCAATCTCAACCATTGGTTTCTCATCGTTCCATCTTTTAACCCCTAAAAACATTCTACTATGACCTATTCTGTTTCTTATACCAAGCCATCATCATCTTTACTTTTATCATTAAATATATATGGTACTATAAATTTTATACTGTTCTTGTATGCCAACATTTCAGAATTGAACATGGCCGATAATATTTATAGTTGAGCAATTGTGATGGCCTAGTCCCATAAATCCAAGTCCTAAACACATTTTTTTATTTAGTGCTTTCAAGTTCATCTCAAATTACAAACCCCACAAATCATTATCAGAACATCACACTGTAAACCCAAAGACAACTAAATATTAATCCTTTTTCTCAGATAAAGAAAACAACATAATAAACCAAAGAAAGAAAGAAAAAAAAAAGACATCAGATGCTGCCTCCTAATGACATTTGTTTAGTGCTATTTAGTTCATCACCTCCTTCTCTTAGATGCGTTATGACTTGACGTGTGTAAAATCAAATTTAATGGATGGGTCCATGAAACTTATACTAAGTACTAATAATACTCTGATTGATTAATATTCTCTTTAATGAAGGCCTCTCACAACTGTACGAACGTCATTTATGATTTGATGCAACCTTCTCCACACGCTTTTGCTCGTATGTACGGAAGATCCTTAATTAAGCTGCGCGTGCATTTTCTACAACTCTTTTGACACATAATACTTCTTAATCACACTCACTTTTTGACTTACCACATGCTCATAGTCATATGCATCCTTCTCTCTTTCCTTTTTCTTAACATGCTTTCACTCATTTACTTACTTCTCTCACCCAAAACTAAAACAGGTTTTTAAGTTTGTTTGGCTTATTTTTTCGGATTTCTTCGGTTTAGACCATAACCTTGTGTCCATGTTCCATTTATGATCTCATAATATTGGTCATGCTTAAATGTTATAATCCAAAAGACGTCATCAATTAGAGAAATATAACCGTCATAATTATTCTCGTACGTAGCTTCAGCCAATAACATGAATGCGTAAATGTAAGGCCAAGATATACTAAATACAACAAAAAGCAAGAAAAGGTTTTTTTTTTTTTTTATTAGACGATACACATAATTTTGATATCGTGGCAGAAGGAATTAAAACTTTCGGTTATCGTGAACTCGTAGTCAAATAGGTATCAAACCATTGATAATATAACCGAATATCATCTATACAAAAAAAAACTTTTTTGTTTTTCTTTTTTACCGGGGGTCACACCTGTACGTTGCAAAAAAACCTCCGGCGAATCACCACCACACATACGAAAATAATTAATCTCACACTCAAAACAACAAAAAAACTTAACATGATCCCAAATACAAAACTTTCATATCATATTGTGGACCCTATTTCCACTTCCTCCGCCGTAAGACGCCGCTCCAATGGTGCTCAAACAATGTTCGACATCATCATTTCTCATAACTCGGCTATTATAAAACTTATCAACGATTCTCTCGCTCGGTCTCGCTACAAGATTCTCCCAAGCCTCGTCTGATTCTTCTTCATTACGTCTCAAGAACACTTCCGTTGCATCCACACGGTGCATAGACAACTTCCACTTCTTGCTAAGTCGTTGAATCTTTAGTAACTGTCGACAAGCTAATATCTCTGTGTTCTTTTTGATGTTTTTAACCGCTACGTCAAGCATCTTCCTTTGTGTGGCACGGTCCACTAAAGATTCGTAACGTAAGTACTCGTGAAGCTCCGGGACTCCAATAGCTCGTCGTATCCCGACAGAATAATCCGCTGTCGGATTGTATATTTCTCTCACTTCTTCAAGTAATCCTGCTTCCATCATGCGGTCGACACGTTTCGAGACGAAGGAGTTAAGTACCGGTAAAGAAACGTCGACCCATATGAAACAGCATTGATAGTTGTTTAACAAGAATGCAGACGAAAGACTCGCAAGTGCTTCGATGTATGAGTTTGATCCACCGGCTACTATAGGAAGCTTGTGGTTAGCTGAGAGTGTTGAGATAGCTTGTGACGCAAGTCTGCTGAAGTCGGTGGCCGTTAGGTTTCCAGCTTCGGAGTCGAATACTCCGAGCAAGTGGTGAGGCACGCCTCTGCATTCTTGAGGAGTGACTTTGTTTGTGAGGACGTCAAGGCCCTTGTAGAGTTGGATCTTGTCGGAGTTTATGATCTCTCCACGAAAACGAGTTGCTAAGTCGATGGCTAGACGGGACTTACCGGAACCAGTGGCTCCCATCACGAAGACGACTTTTTCTTGGGGATGGAGAAAAGAGTTGACGTTGACTATGGAGAGTTTGTTCTTGAAGCTCAAGATTGGTTGTACCTGCTTCAGTGCTGAGATTGAGAATTTCATAATGAAGTTGACTTTTCGGGGGGAACAAAAAAGAAATGTTTTGTTGTTTTGTCCTTTTGCAAGACCACCTCAATGAGTCGTGAGCGTCGTCAACAAAAAAAAACTTAAGAACTTCTGAGTAGAGAGATCAAAACTGAGACAAAAAGAGATAGAGATCGAGTGTTGAAAGGTAAGAAAATGCTTTACAAGTTTTTTTAAGTTATGAGGTTACAAGGAAGCTCTATATATACACACCGGGATAAGAAGAGCGTGTTTTGTCTGACCCTAGTTTATGACCTTATTTAAATAGATTTTTAGAGTCCCCATCTACTTAAAACATTTGAGTGAAAGAAAATATTCAAATACAATTTCAAGCGTGCTTAGTTATGGTTTCTACTTTTTCTAATTTTCTTAAATATTTGTACTAATTTGTTATATTTTAATTGGTCCAACATGAACTTTAAAATGTTACTAATTGGATGATTTTTAATAGCTAAAAACTAGTAACTCCAATCGTTTTTTTTTTTTTTTTTTTTTGGATAATTGCTTAAAGATCTTTGAAACACGAAGAACATATGTGGATACAATGTAGAAATCTCAGAGAGGATCACTACTCACTAGCCAGGTGGTTTATTATTTTAAAATTTCAAGGCATAATCCCCACCCACTTTATTTTAATTACTCAAAAGTAAAAAAATCAGTTTTGTCCTTAATTTTATTTCAATAAGTTTTAGTTATTTTTTGTAATTTATAATTTTTTTTATGTGATTACAATCAGTCACTAAATTTGAAACTATAAGATTTATAATTCAAGTCGTAAGAAATATTACACTTTAATTTGAATAGGAATCTTCATGTACCTTTTTTCGTTTTGGGTCATTCTCGCCGTCCTCGTCGAATCTTGAACACGTGTGTACTTGTTACTCTGTCCGAATACGGATAGTGTTCTATTCAGATCCATTGCATAGATACACAAAGACAGACCTGAGATTCTGAGATTGATATAACATACATACTGACATACATATATATAGCCCATTAATACACATTACACATACTCATGTGGATATATGTCCCCATATGTTTTATCATTGTTGTCATCTTGTACCTATGCGTGCGTGTGTAAAAACGTAACCTCCATAAAAATTTAAAAACATATTAAGGCATACCCTTAACCTCGATAAACTTAGAAGAGAGATTAAAAAGAAAATTTCAAAATTTCTTTTTCATATACAAAAATGAAAGACGGTGTCACGGTGTTATGTAGTTTTATCTTCCGTAATAATTTGGAGGCTTAAGGCTTTACGTCATATAATCGGACGCAAAGCTGTTTCCCATTGCTAGTGTGGGACATCACACATTTATATTTATTAACGTTTAACAATAAATTTGTCCCACCATATTTTATTGAGAACATCTTATTGTATATTTGTATATTATTGCCACACGAGCGGGAATTTTAAATAACGCTGTCTATCTCAAATTCTCAATATGTGTATGTAGAGAGGTGAGGATACTACGAAATTAAAGTCAAAGAACTTTTTTTTTTACCAAAGGCATTCATAAGTCAAAGAGTTTACAGCTTTAAGGCTTACTGTTATACTACTTTCTACCTAATAGCAATACATCAGGAGTCATAAACCAATTTTTTTGCTTTCCAGTGGTAAAAGTCTTACCATTTCGAAAATTGCATAAACAGAAAAAAATAAGATTGTCGACAGCAAATTTTTTTTTTTAAATATATTTTATTGGCATCCGTAGGAGGCACTGAATCCATTATACATAGAAAATTAAAAACATCTAGTTTATTAACAAACAAAAATTCTAAAACACTTAACAATTTAAAATGGATATCTATGGTTAGTCAAATCAAACAAAGAATATGTGAATTATAATTAAGATTCCAAAGGCTCTCAATCAGTATTTTACTACTAATTTAATTTCACTTTGTTCTTTGATTCTATCCATACAATGAAACAACGTTGCCTACAATTTGGGTGGACTTGATATTTTCGGAAATCAATGTAAAACGAGAATTTAGTTTTCTTTAGTGGGTTCTGATGCTTAATTATTATATTTATGAACATAAGTTGTTTTTTTATTTATTAAATGCTTTTACATTAAAGTAATAGAAATTCTGGCTAAAGACAAAAAAAGTGGACCCTAATAGTGTATATAAATCAGAATCACGTCATAATTTGTATCAGTGACATTTTAAGAAAATACAGAGGATAACCAATATTTTACACTCGAGAAGCCACAATATTCATAACGCTGAAGTGACTACCGTAACGGAAAAAGTGATAAGGTTAAATATGGTCAAACCACTAATCACTAGATTGTCAAACCACTAATCAAATGATTAGTTATCATTAATGATGTTAACGGAACTTAACGCCAACTATCTTTTAGTTACTTTATCCACGGCAAAAATCAAAGCTAGTTTTATTTTTTTCTTCTTTTCTTTAAGCAATAAGTAGGGGATCATCTCAACTTTTTAAGTAACACTATTATCTAAACTCATTATCTCCATTGCACACTGATGTTTTTTAAACTCTAATTTTAATACTTATCTCACAATTTTATGTGTATCTTTAGTGTTTAATCTATATGCCCCCATTCACTTTATCTCATTACTTTGATCATTAACACAAAGTTTAATGTAGAACATTTCACACTCACTAGCAATTTTTGTTTTTATAGAAATTTGGGTGTTAATCATTGATGTATATTTGCAAGAAAGAAAAAATTAACTAGAAATTCATTAGTATAACTGTAACATGATAGCTAATTTTAAATAAAACAACTGTGTGGTGAAAAACTGTCAAAATCTTGCCCACATGCAATAAATACCAAACTGGTGGTTAAGAGGACAAAACTTGTGTTGTTAAGTTTCAAAATCGTCTATTACGTTCGAATGTGATATAGATATGTTAGCATCTTGTCCTGATCGATTTTATCTTATCTCAACAGAAATGTAAGCAAAGTGCAGTTTATCTCACCTGTTTCGTTATTTAATCATAAATTACATTATTTTGTTTATACTTTTTTAATTGGTGGTCTAAGTCAACTGTGTAGAGTAGTCATGGCCTACGGGATTTAACTAGACTTGATTAAGAAATTGCACCTCGACAGAATGTGCCTCCTCACATATTTCTTAATGAATTTTAGTATCGTTTTAAAGTTAGATTTAACAAATATCATATTAAAACTCGTAATGGAGCATAATCATTAGCTTATGAACCGTCAAGGTAGTGGTTCTAGTTACTTAAGATGCTTGTTTAATTTATTTAAACTTATCTTAATTTCATAGTTTGTCCTCCACCTCAAGAGTGATTATTGATTAATTATGCCCTCTCGTTCGTTTAGCCGCTTCTTTAAATTCCAATTTCTTAATATAGTTTGAGATATATTTGGCTATTATTCCTTATAAATAAGGAAATGGAAACACAAAATTTGATTCTTAAATGTTCGAACGATGGACTCGTAGAAAATAAGATACCAACGGCGGTCAAATTTCTTAGAATGACCATAGCTTCAAAATTTACGGTTCTTAATCCTTGATTCTCTTAAAAATTAGTCGATTACTAGTAATAAATATTTGCCTAGTTTACTTTAAGAAAGCATTTATATTGCTAATTTAGTGTGTCTACATTATATCGTAAACGGTGACAAAATTTGTGTATGTTAATACTATATGTTATGTTCCAAATCCTAACATAACACACACAAATAAATATTAAAAAAAAAATTATTGCCTAGTTTTTTTTTTTTTTTTTTTTCAAAGGATTTTCATACCTAGTTTTCTTTCTTTAACCGGCCATAGTATAATTCTATATATCCTGCCAGTGTACCTAAATGAGTCGATAAGAAATGTATAAACTATTAACTATACAATTGAGGTATCAAATTTGGTTAATTGTAATACATATATAATCCAATTAAATAAACAAAAAAAATGAAAATAAGGGATGGAAAAGAGCACAAATGATCGCATAATACGTGTAACCACACAATCTATGCATTATACAAGTATTTGTTTATGTGCTCAAAATTTTCGTCTTTACGTTCCAAATGGAGGAATCACATTATACTCTACTTTTAAACATCATCGATTATCTATAAAAAAACAACTTGGCTACAATTATATATGTTATCTTTACAAAATACTTTTTAGAACATCGTCTATACAAAAGATTCCATCGAGTCTCTTTTTTATTTTCTAATGTTAAAGTTTCTTGTGATTATGTTTTATTTCGCAATGAGATGCAGTGTACAAAATTATATTGCAAATTGTTTTTGTAGCTTGCTTGAGGAATTGATCAAAGAGAATTAATCTTAGCATTATCCACTGGTGTTTAATCTTTGTATCAACCCTCTTCGAATTATTTAAGCTACTACATTCAATATTGTTTATATTAATTTATTAAGAAGTGTTTTTTTTGTTAAATCTCATTCTGAAAAGAAAATTTATAGTGGAAGTCATATTGCTACTGATTGTCAGCCGATGTTAGTGATTAATATTGGAACGATGGACGATCCATGATACTACAAAATAACATATATTATACGTGGACCGAAGAATTTCAATTTCCTAATAACAATAATGGCTTAAATTTTCTTTTAAAAAATCAGTCTGATGCGAATTGTTGGTGATCACATGATAATAAACTACTAATGATTGCATAACAAGTCGTTGCTTGGTGTTGCTCTGAGCGTGCGGATTTGTCATCATTGACGAGTCTAAAGTTTCAATTTGTTAAATTGCTGAAATGTTTACGGGAAAACAAATTAGTCACGATGAATTGTTGATGGTGATACTAACAATATTCTTAATACATGTGGACTATGGATATTTTTTAAAACATACATATTGGCAAGAGTAAACCAGGAACTAGAATATAGAACATACATAGTACTAATGGTTAACGTGTAGAGTGTACTTTACTATTTAAATTTTTGATGTTAACCAATGATAATAGCTCAACCGCTCTCTAAAAGTGTACAGAGTAAATCAGTAATCACCACAACTTACATCATGGCACATCAAATAAGATAGAAGTCCAGTATATGTGAACTTCGTGATTATCACACAAAATGAAAATAATGGAAAATAATTAAAATTTATTATATACATGTTTTAGATTATATTCCATTAACATAATTATTTCGTAACTTTCTATACAAATTTACATTGGATTTCAAATATATGCGTGTGTGTTGTCACTGACATCACAATTGTATAAATAGATACAAATTAATAAATTTGACAAAAATCGGTGTATATTTAAATTTTGGTCAATTTAATTTGTTTCCAAGTGACCACCGATTGTGTACAACGGTACGTGCATGCATTGAGTCGAAATTTGTAATACAACAATTGGACTGTCTTTCTACGCGTATAGAGGAATAACAATGTCCCAAACAGCGTAACTAATGGTATTTCATTATTATATTAGGGATTCGAGAAGGTGTGTGTCCCAAATGGAAATTTCCTAAGTCCCCTTCGGAACAAATAAACTATCAATTTAATTACATTATATATTATAATCCCTATAAAATATGTATCTTACAACCAAATCGTTAAGGGTAAGTTTTTGTTATTACAAGTTAACATATTCTCTGTTTGTATACGTACATACAAATTACTTACAAGCCTTTTGGTAAACCGAATCATATTCTAAGTTTTAATCATGATAACTGCATATTTATATGTTTTGTTTTACTTGTATAATATTATTATTGATATTTCATTATTTTGTGGTTGTTCATAAAAGAAAGTTCTTCTCACTTTCTTAAAAAGGAAATTGTTAAGGAACTCGAAATAAAACTAAAATGAGAGAAAGTTTCATTTTGAAACTCCGTTTCCTCAAAATTACGTTTCCGAATCCTCCATTCATCATCACCTAAACAGAACAATCTTTTTTCTCTCTCTTTTTTCTTCTATTCGATTTTGAGATTGTTTTGTTTTATTTGCTAAATTTTGTTTGCTTCCTGATATAATATAAGTTTGGTTTGTATTTACGGTTACATTCAATTTGTTTGGTTTCAAATGTATAACATATAAAACTGAATAGTAAAATGATGAAGAGGAGTCCATAGGGGTAGGTTTCAAATTGTAGAGAAGGTATAAGCCTAATGTGGAAGATAGAGACATATAACCGAATAAAAAGCTTAGTTAGGTTCTGAACACAAATATGGATCAGTCTAAATCATTTAAAAGTTATTAGGTAAAAAAAACTACATCAACAAATCCTCATTTAAACAAACTAAACATGTAGACCTTTGTAGATTCCCTTAGAGACTTGACCAAAACTATTTGCATTTTTGAGATATCTTAGGAAATCCTTGGATATACACAATCTTTCAAAGCTTCTAAAAGTTGAATTCGGTTGTTTGATAGATACACTCCACTTATCAACAAGGACTAATTTACTTACATATAACTCGATCATACCAAACTTTATCATATTATGATCACTGTCAAACTCCGTGTCAAAGAAAACAACATTATCATGCCGCTCTATAAGAAAAAGAATTTCATCAAAATTGAGAAATTCTCACACAAAACTCATAACGATTTCAAAATCTAGGAGTTACCTTATGTGAAAATTCTCATGAATGATCTTTCAAAAAAAAGGATTGCAACTACGAAAAACGATAACAAATTCACCAACATTTCATTACTTGTATCCCTGAGAAGTAATATATGTTCCTGAAGTGCACTAAGTTTGAACCAATGAGATCGATTTGGCCACAAAAATATAAGATCTCTTATAGAAGATGATATACCATCATCTAGGAGAAAGAAAAAACTGTTACACTAAACTGGACAAGAAATAAAATAACGATTGTGGCCTGACATTTATAGATAATGAAAATGGTATTGGCTAATTAGGCTTCTCGTGGTGGTTTTTGAAATTTGTTCTAATGAAGTAAAGAAGTTGAGATTGCTTTTTATAAAGGTTGAGCTGCTGGAAAATCGTCAATTAAACCATAGGAGATTTGATTGATTAAACAAAATTCTGACTGGATATTTATACACATTTCTGTAATGGAGAGAAATATAGAGCGAGATAATTGGATCTTAGAACACATTTCTGCCATTTTTTTTAACCCATAATTATTTCTACAGCTTTCACGTATGAATATGATGCTGAGTGTGCACAAATTTAATCTCTTTTCAACTTTTTATATTTCGTTATAGCCCATAATTCATTCTAAAAAAGGAATAAAACGACATGCCTTTGAATCAAACTCATTTCAATTGTGATCGACGTGATGCTAAGTAGAAACATAAAACAAAAGTGGTTGCTAAGTGTGTAGAGACAAAGCCAAAAAGGATTTTTCTTTCACAATTTCTTTTTCTGCAGAAATATAACAAAACTCATCTCGGAGAAATATTAGAGTACCACCAAAACATTCAGAAATAGATTCTAATGAGAAGACAAAAAAGCCAAAGTTACACTACAAAATCATATCATCTTTCCCTCATCTTTGAAACCGTTGTTGATGCAAGCCACAAGTGGTTTTGCGAGTCACTCAGACTCTTTCAGCTTTTTGGAAGCAGAACCTTCTTCCTCCTTCTTCAGCTTCCTTTCTCTCCTTTCTCTCTTCAAACCCTTGGACTTATCCGGCAATTTAGTCTCACCAACCTGCACAATAACATTGAAAACAATCACTTTCAGATACCAAAATCTGCTCTACACATTTTATATAGCAAAACAATGAAAACAATCTCTCTTTCGTACCTTCTGATCAGGAACATAAATATTCCCACTCTGCCCTCCAACCGCACTATTATGAACGTTCTTAAGCTGTAGAATTCAGAAACCACAGACAGAGCACTGTTAGTTATCCATTTCTCTCACAAATCTTGAAAAAAAAAACTGATGTCGTTCGTTTTCTATTATCATTACCTTCTTCTTAGGCTTATCTTTGGATGTTTTCATTGCTTCTTTCCTTACGCCATCGTTAGGAAGACGATTACGCCTCACAACCAAGTCCATGGACGGACCAACTTCAACAAGCTCTATTCTAGGCACAATGGTCCCTGACTTCTTAAGCTTAATAGCGCAATGAGTGAGGAACACCTTAGTTGGTGATATCGCTGAACATATGTAAGCACGGTCCAATCCAGTAAGATTTAGATTATCCACAACCTACAGAGAAATAATTCCACTTCTTGTTACAATCCAATTACATTCATAAACAGAACTAAAAACCATAGAGAATGTGAAACCATGTTACCTCGCCACGAAACAGATCAGTAAGGACTTCTTTAAGTTGCTTGAGCTCTTGCACATGGTCAAACCCTTCACCGGTAAAGCAAATGAACGGCTTTGACCCTTCGTGAGGCGCTAGTTTCTTGTCGTAGGAGAAAGATAGCAGAGATTTGAAGTTCTCAATCCCAACTTCTATAAGATCGTAGACGTGGTGATCGTACATTCTCCCAAGTAATAGATTGTGAGGCCGTTTCTTTGAGTGAGACCCATACTGCAATATCATAACATTCACCAAAGGTTGAAGCTTTAGCAATTTGGTCTCAACTTTATTCAAGAATCTATGTGAAAGTTTGAAGCTTTAGCAATTTCATAGCTAGACGAAATGACAATACAGAATCACAACTCTAGAAAAATCAAAACTTTATGCAGAAAGCTTATCAAAATTGATTCACATCAAAGAACTTGTTTGCTAATACATTTCCAAATGTTGAAGATTTAGCAATTTGGTCTCAACTTCAGTCAAGAATCTATGTGAAAAGGTTGAAGCTTTAGCAATTTCATAGCTAGACGAAATGACAATACAGAATCACAACTCTAGAAAAATCAGAACTTTATGCAGAAAGCTTTACAAAATTGATTCTTGATATGAACAATATTGACAAAACAAACAAAAGCTTACCGCAAAAATGCTGCAATCGGTTTTGAGAGAGAAGAACTCTAGAGAGGTTTCACCTCCACTCTCAAAGGGTCTAATATTCTCATTCCTCCTCGAGTACTTAATGGCACCTCCTTTCTTCAATTGGTACAGCTCCATCAAAACAGAGCTCACTGTGGCGCTCGTCTTCGTTCCATGGAGTATCAACGTTTTCTTCCCAGTTTCAACCTGGCAAAAAAATTACAGAGGTTTTTGAGTCAAATCAAATCGGAAACAAAGTGGGAAACTTTCTTAGTCAAATCCCTAAATATGTCAATTAGAACAGCTCAAAAACATGGTTTTTATAAGCTCAGAGTGATTTTTCAGAGAGAAAACGAAACAATGAATCAAAGGGGAAGAAGAGAGCTCACCTGCTTAGGAGCACGCTGTTCGAGTACACGCTTGGCTTTGCCGGTCTTCGGAGTTCGTATTTCCATCATGGTTGAGTAATTCTTTCTCCGGCTACTTCGACAAAGCGACGGCTCTGTAAAAGGAGGAGGAAGAAGAGGTTTTTCGATAAATTGATATGGAGTCTAGGGTTTTAAGTTCACACAAATTGGAAGAAACTTGTGGAGAATTGTAATATGATCTCCAATGTTATCAACTAAGTTTCAATTCACCCCAAATAGTGTTTCTGTTCATTAAGACCCCCAATGGTCCACGATGGGCTCGAATTAAGTATCCAACGGCCCATGAAGCAAAACTGGCAGAGAAATAGAAGGATGCTTTGCAAGTTTGCATCATGCAAATTGTTCTCTTCTTGTGATTTGTGAACAGTCGTTAAATTATTCATCTAACATAATTTTTCCTGTCTGTTGAAATAGAAGTCTCTCTATATGAAATGCTTTTTCTTATGAATTCTGTATCTCAGTTTTGCATTCACTTTGGCTCTTGATCTGGTTATGGGTGGTAATACTTGTAAAAACGCATTCTTAATCTTTTTAATGGAGATAGTAAATTGGAGAAATTATATGTCAACGATCTTATTTGTAGACTTTTTATACAACGTAGATCAAAAGGCTTGGAACAAAAGGAACGCATGAAATGAAGGTACCGTGTGCTTCAAACAACTTTAAGATCTGAAGTTCCCTTTGCCCTAATAGACTATTGGATCGGTAGATGCTTAATAAACGCATTTTTGCTTGGCAATTTCTTCTAGGATCATCCTTGCTTCAGAGGTGTCGAATGGGGAAAATTATATTAAATAAAGGCTGCTTTTATTCCCAAAGTCAATGAGCAGTTTATACACCCAAAATGTCGAAAATTTGTTGTTCATGCAAGCCACAAGAGGTTTTGCGAGTCACTCAGACTCTTTCTGCTTTTTGGAAGCAGAACCTTCTTCCATATTCTTCAGCTTACCTTCTCTCCGTCCTCTCTTCAAACCCTTGGATCTATCTGAAAATTTGGTTTCACCAACCTGCACAAAAGAAATGAAAACAATCAGTTTCAGATTAACTCCAGAACCGGATACTAAAATCTTCTTAACACATGTGATGTAGCTAGCTATCTATCTTTCGTACCTTCTGGTCAGGAATATAAATCTTCCCAAACTTCCCTCTAACCGCATCATTAACAACGTTCTTAATCTGTAGAATTTAGATACAGACAGAGCACGATTAGTTATCAATTTCGAGAACAAATCTTTAAAAAATTGATGTCCGTTTTCTATTATCATTACCTTCTTCTTAGGCTTATCTTTGGATGATTTCATTGCTTCTTTCCTTAGGCCTTCGTTGGGAAGACGATTACGCCTGACAACCAAATCCATTGATGGACCAACTTCAGCAATCTCTATTCTAGGCACAATGGTCCCTGACTTCTTAAGCTTAATCGCAGCAATGAGTCTAGGGTTTTAAGTTCACAAATTGGAAGCAACTTATGGAGAATTCTACTACGACCCCAATGTTATTAATTATTATTCAATTCAGCACCAAATATGTTTTCTTCTTTAGATGAGACCCCTAAATTTTCGCAAGGTCTACGATTGGCTCGAATTAAGTATTCACGGCCCATGAAGCAACTGCAAATGCTTGTCATTTTTTATGTCATGCAAATTGTTCTTTTTCCTGTGAACAAAAACAGTAATTAATTTATTCATCTCTGAATGCCTCCTTAATCCTTTTTAATGGAGATAGTAAATTGGAGAAATAATTTGTCATTTCCCGGAAGAGGTTAGACTAGAACAAATAACAATAGATAAACGATGTTATTAGTATTCTAAACAATGGTGGAATCATTCATCACACATTAACGATACAACATTTTCTTGCATCATCTCTCACTTTCTATGAAATTCAGAAACTTATGGATGTCAACAATGAAGAAAAAGGGATTTGCTTGAATGAAGCAATGCATATTCATTCTGTTGTCATTAGCATTCTCAACATGAGACTGTGTTTGCTTTTTGCTTTCATCCAAAGACATGAAGTTCATGGGCTATACTTACAAAAACTTTTCAATCGTAAAAATGATGATCAAATACCAGAGATTTGTATATCTCATTTACATAAATAATGTTGACTTGTACTTAAATCTTGGGGTAACGAAATCGGAAATATGAAGAGAACTTCTGTATGTTACAGAATAACTTCTTCATTTCCTTATTCGTTTCCATGTTTTTTATTTGAATTGTAAAGGAGAAACAACAAAACATATGATGATGCTTCGTCTGAGATTTACAAGTTTCCCCCAAAGGTAAACGATTCTTGGTGACTCTTCTTCACCCTTGACATTGTTCAATAGGTCCTTGCTTTCCTGTTTTAGACAAGTAAAAAGAATCTCCAACTCAGAGACTGCAGAACAGAAGAAACAGAGAAATGTAACGAGACAAGACATACCTTGCAAAGACTTGTCCAGGTCTTGTAGTTGCCTGATGAAACCAGCATTAGGACTCGCCACAGGTCTCTTGCTTTTCACATGTTCCAATGCTTGGTTTAAAGTCATTCCGTGTTTCTTCATCAGGTAAGCAACAACTATAGTAACACTACAAGTGAATGGAGCAAAACATTCAACAGACAAGACTTTCCATCAAACGAAACATCTAAGAAACCAAACAAAACCTCACCTCCGTGATTTTCCAACGAAGCAATGGACAAGAACACTACCACCTTGTCTCTTAGCTTCATCAATGAACTCGACACACTCATCGAAGTATATTCCCAAATTCGTGTCTTCCTTATCCACAACTATATACATGCAAAATCACAAATGGCACAAAACATTTTTAAAAACATACTCTGTTCATGAAGATACATAAAAAGGTGAAAACTTTATGATACCTTTAACAACTTTGTAGACAAAGTCATCAGGGTGTGCTGGTCTCAAAGAGCTAGCTACGGTTAAGATGTGAGTCACATTGTAAGATTTCAAAACGTTCTTGTTGCTTGCTGCTGCAACGGATCCAAGATACAGACCCTGAAAGGTTGGTTTTTTTTTTTTCAAGAAAAACATCAATGAAATGAAAATGAAATAATTTGAATCCCAAAATCAATGAAATGAGACCTCTTCGATTTGGGAAGGGACATTGTCTTCTCTATAGGTACGAGCAACTTTTATGACACGAACAAGTGCTTGTATCTGATTCTTCACGGTTTCGTTGTACTGTTCGATTGATGGTAATGAAGAAGACGATCCTCTATCTCTAGAACTCCTGAAAATAAAAAGGAATTGGAAATTACAGATACCGAAATTGACTCGGAGCGTGATCATTGCAAGAAGAGAATCTTCAATTATGATGCAATTTACGGAATTGCTAATCGCTATTAACATCAAAAGATCGGATTTTTTCAATTATCAGGTTTATATACTTACATGGAAGAAATTGGAAGGAATTAGCCAAAGACAAGAGAAGAATTGGAAATCGAATCGGAGAAAATGGTGAATGATTTGAATGAGATCGATTACTGAAAAGAGGAAATTCTACAATTGCATGGTTCTCCAGTTTTTTTGGGAAGGAGAGGAGAATATGCGGACTAAAATGTAAACATTTTTCTCTTTCAGGGACAAAATAGTTAATTATTTATTTATTTATCCAAGTCCTTGCAATATTCAAAGAATTGGACTGGGGGGATGTGAAAAGTTTTGGAACAATTGTCACCTCAAAATTTGGTTATTGATTAATGTGAAAAGTGATTTTAGAAACATAATTAACAAGCACGAACAAATTTAAACACATGCGTTAGTTTCTTCAAACTTAATAGAGACAAAAAGTCAATGATGAAATTCAATGGTGGATAAAGTTCATATACACATACACACACACACACACACATACAAAAAAAAACAGTCCAACCAAACTTTTAACAATTTTTTGTTTTCAGTAATTTATTTTATCGATCCAAATCCTCATAAGAAATCAAATACTGTTGAAAAAAATGATACAAAAATCACTTTCTTGGATGAAAATAGATATCACACTAGAAAAAAATAACTTATTTACTTATATCCCTCAAATTAATACACATTCCTCAAAAAGCACAAAATTTGAGTTGGTCACAAAGATATGAAATGTCTTACAGAATGATATTTATATATAAAGTTAGATGTTTTTTTCGTCTGGACTGACATTTCAACAATTTTTTTTTTTTAAAACTAACATATCAGTAGCTTATTTGTTACAACTATTTCAATAATCTCTATCTCTTGATAGCATCAATATGAGTCTTCCTCACACACGAAAAAAGGTGCTTGCCCTTTTATTAAGTCATTGCAAGAAGCTCAGTGGTAGGGACCCTTTTATTAAATCATTGCAAGAAGCTGAGTGGTGGGGAACATATGATACAGTTACATTTGAAGAAGACCATAGTATATTGTCTTGGGGATGTCTATATAAAAGAGTGTCATGTGTCCAAGGCAGATAAAAGAGATGATTTCATTATCGAGTTACTTGATTTGGTATCTCATTCATTTGGTAACTCAGATCTCATTCATTTTGTAATTCTTGTCCATTCTTAACAAAGAGAGCTTGAGAAGACTTTTTGGCAAGTGTATAATGCGTTGAAGAGCTGTTTTTTTTTTTTTTTTTTGCGGATCTGTTGACACACATCAAGCTTACACACGCACACAACAACCTATATCACGGGTAGTTCCTTCAAAGAAATGCCCTCCTCTTGTTACATTTTGAACATTTTTTAGAACTTTCCTACATTTATTTAGGGATATAGCTTATCAAATAAGTGGTTTAAATTTTTTAATACATGTCATTCGTTGAAATGTTAAAAGAAATTCTTATACATGTGGTTTTTCTGTTCGTACTTCGTTTGACTTTCAAACTTTGTTGGGCTTGGTTTAAGAACACGAGATATATACTTCAGCCCAATAAAATTAAGAAAATTTGGGCCCAATGTGATTTTTATTGAAGTTGTTGTCACCTTCATTCAGTTTTCAATTTCAATCCAACAAAATCATCGCCACCTCCAAATTTGGCTACTGATATTGACTTTGAAACGGCTTGAATCGATTTGATCAGATATGAGTATTCCACAATCTTTAACAGTTTCAAATCTCCAATGAGATCATCAATCATATAATCCGTAACTGATTGAAAAAAAAAAAAAGGAAATAGAATCGCTACAATTTTGTAATTACAGATCCAAATTACGTTACACAGAAGAACTTCACGCCCAAGTCATCGAGACCACAGAGTTGGCGAGCCCAGATTGTTCGAAAGTCGTGTTAGATCCGTAATGAAGCGTCTTGTATTCGCCGGGAAACGCTTGGATCAGCTTGAACGGCTTCCTCGACCACTCCGATTGGTCAATCTGAGAGTAACAAAACGACCAGAGAAGCTGGACGGACTCACTCCTGAGGAAACTCCGCTGCACTTTTCTCCCGTCGGGCAATCGAACGCAGAGCCTGCACAGAACGCTCCGATCCAAATCGCGATTCGGCTCTTCAAGTAATTCCGGGAATCCGATGATCGAATTCGATGTTGAATAACTACTCTCGGTCGCTGCTGCTGCGGCTGCTGCTGAATCGGAACCGCGTTTAGAGCGTTTGGTGTCCACGAACGGCGATAGATTCTCCAGCAACGACTGACATTCGTAAGTCGTGAATAATCGTTTCGCCATTGAAATCGGGACCGATCTGTTGGATTCCGGAGGGATTTAGAGAGGAAAAAACCTAATTTATTAGGAACGGAGAAGATGACGAAGCAGAGAGTTGAGTGGATTTTGCGATTTGCTATGGTTTATATATAGAGAGGTGTGGAGAGAGAGAGGGTCGTTTGATCTTTTCCTTTTCTTTGAAAATCGAATTTTGTAGATTTAATTTTTTTTTTCAGCAAAATAAATTTATAGATATTCGGCGCATCTTTTGGTTTTTTCCTTTTTTTTTTGTTATGTTTATGAGTATCCACAAAAAGGAAATTCACAGATTATATTGTGGGATATTTGTATACTGATTATAAGTTGAGATTTAATTCTCTAAAAATCCTTATTTTATGTTTTGCAAATTCATGGTTTTACAATAATTAGCAAGATTTTTTATATATAAAAATGCGAGAAATGTCGAATTAAGTTTAAATCATGGAAAAAATTCGCCGACTGATTTGCAAATATGAGAAACGAAATCTTAAAATTAAACGTATCATTGACATGATATAAGGATTTTTGACTCTCAGATTCTGAAAACACAACACTGAACCTAAATATATATGCTCTTAGACTGTATCATATTTGTCACCTTTTTAGTAGAGAAGCACACTGATTTGGATAAATAATCTGATAAACTTATTGTCATCCAAACAAATATGATGAGAAAGAGCAAAGTTTTGCCATCATAAAAAAACAAAAACAGCATCACACAACAAGCTTCAAAAAGCCTTATTACACAATAATAGAAACTAGTAAAGACACAAAACCAAGAGCCTTTTTTTTTGTTGAAAAAAAACCAAGAGCTTTTATTATACTTTGTCTCTCCTTATATGAGCAGTGGATCACTTGAAGAAGACCCTTTTCTCATTCATTTGACATAGGTCACAAACCAATCAAGCATCTCCTTGTGAGCTTCCTCTGCAGCTTTAACCGCCTCTTGGTCATTAAGATCGTACCTAAGTGTCCAACCATGTGAGACTTTGGGGTGTATCTTCACAAAACTCTTCACCTACACAATCCATTTTTAAAGTTAGTTACAAGGCCACAGAAACTGTTTGGAGTAGCAGAAGCAGCTTAGCTTTACCTCAGGTTTGGAAGCAAGAATCTCCTCGAATTGCTTCAACAGTGCTGGTGGAGATACTTCATCAAGCTCACCTCCTAATATAGCAATTGGAACCTTCCCACCTGCAGGGAAAACAGTGAAATCAATAAGGAATAATCAAAGACCATTCACAGTGACAAGACCATTCAAAATGATCATCTAAATCTTGGCAAGATCAGTTACACAATCTTATAGGTTTATGTTTGAGGAATCAACATGGAAGTCACTTACTCTTGATATCATCAACAGTGACAAGAGAAGGATGAAGCAAAACAGCTGCTTGGACAAGCTCTTGTTTAGACAGTTCCACAGCTACTTTTCCTGAAGAATCAGTAATAACACGAGAGAACAAAAAAAGTAAATATGCATTAGATATCAGCTAGTGAAAGAGAGTATATAGCAAAGACCATAAAGAAAACTCACCACCCCAACACATCCCTGCAGCTCCAATTGCAGTAACGCCTTTGCTCTTTAGAGCTTCAAGGACTGGCTTTGTGTCTTCAAATCCCTTATCCTGTGCAAAAAAAAAAAAAGAAGGAGCTGATTCATATGAAATCTCTCAACACCAACAAAACAAGAAGACATCAGGATGAGGAAACGAACAGCTCCATGGTCTTTCATCCAGACACCCATGGGTCTCTCCTCTTGAGAAGGATCATAAGGATCTCCATAGAAGTAATCAGGAACCACAACATAGAATCCAGAAGCTGCAACTTTATCAGCAAGCGACCTTAAACAACAACAAAAATTAAAGTTTTTAAACTCCATAAACGTTCATCCATAGTTATCAAATAGAATCTCACAAAGTTTTTATCAAACAAGATACAAAATTCTGAATTTTGATAAACTTAAAGACTTCACCTTGTACAGAATGTAAAACCAACCAAACTATTAGCAGACTCATTTGCAAAATCTAACGAGACCCATAAACAAACTATTGCAGCAAGAGCATTAAACTGCTAAAAATCCTAACTTTAAAAAAAAGTTGCAGACTTTAATGATGGAATCGATGAAAAGGGAAGAACTTTACAATACCTCAAGTTTGGAGCTTCATACCCTGAAGAAACAAAAAAAAACACTTAATTACTCCGATCATGTCTTTTAACTAAAACAAAAACAAGATCAAATCGGTCATTTACCAAAAACATCAGAGACGAGGAGGACGCACAACTTGGAATCGGGAGAGCCGGAGACGTAGGCATCGAGCCCACCCAGCTTCTCGACGTGACCCGACCCGGAAACCGGGTTAAGTGCCGGCGGGTTTTCGCAGCATTGAGGTCCTGACATTTGGTGAATATTTTAAAAAACGAGATGGAGCTCAAGAGGGAGAGGGAGACGAGTCTTCTCTGTACCGCTCGGGAGCTATTTGTATCCGTTGGATGATTGGAGAAAACTGTAATTAATTGGCCACAACATGAAATCGTATGGTTGAGTTTGGTTTTGGGTCAGACTCATAACTGTGGTTTTAATATTTATGAATGGAGAGAGACACATATCAAATAATGTAGATCAAATAGTATATGCTTTAAAAGTCGACGTCTCTACTGTTTTTCATTGCGACGGTAAACTTGTGGTTTGGGGAAAAGTAAGTGGATCAACCTCAATACTGCTACACTAAGTTCGTCTAGGTTACGTAGACCACAAATCATGTAGTAGCTACAAAATCTTGAGCTATTCGTAATGGCCTCATGGCCGAAGTTGATGAGTTTGGAATCTATGAGTTTAGCTCTGACAAATGAAGAGTTCTTGATGTAAGTCACTGATAACTTGTTCATGATTTTAGAGCATGTAGTGTCTTTGAAGGGAAATTCTCACTGGTGTGCGCTTTAGATAATACAAACAAATATGATGAGAAAGAGTAAAGTTTTGCCATCATAAAAACAAAAAGCATCACACAACAAGGCAACATGCTTCAAAGAGCCTTATACAAAAATAGAAACTAGTAAAGACACCAAAACCAAGAGTTTTTTTTTTTATCATACTTTGTCTCTCCTTATTCTCAATATATGAACAATAGTAAGCAAATGAGATCACCACTTAAAGACGACCCTTTCTCATTCATTTGACATGAGTCAAAAACCAACCAAGCATCTCCTTGTGAGCTTCTTCCGCAGCTTTAACCGCCTCAGGTTCATTGACATCGTACCTTACAGTCCAACCATGTGAGACTTTGGGGTGTATCTTCACATAACTATTCACCTATATACAATCCATTTTCAAAGTTAGCTTCAAGGCCATATAAAAAACTGTTTGGAGTTGCAGAAGCAGCTTAGCTTTACCTCAGGTTTGGAAGCAAGAATCTCCTCGAATTGCTTTAAGAGTGCTGGTGGAGACATATTATCAATCTCAGCTCCCAATATAGCAATTGGAACCTTCCCACCTGCAAAAAGATATAATCAAAGACCATTCACAGCGTTTCTGTTGACTAAACAAGTTGGAAGACAAAGTAGCCAATAACTCCTAGAGCTGAAAAAAAAATGATCATCTAAATCTTGGCAAGATCAGTTACACAATCTTATAGGTTTATGTAGAGGAATCAAGATGGAAGTCACTTACTCTTGATATCATCAACAGTGACAAAAGAAGGATGAAGCAAAGCAGCTGCTTGGATAAGCTCTTGTTTAGACAGCTCCACAACTACTTTTGCTGAAGAATCAATCAATAACATAAGAGAAACAAAAAAATGTAAATATGCATTAGACATTTCCAGATATCAACTAGTGAAAGACAATAAAGAAAACTCACCACCCCAACACATCCCTGCAGCTCCAATAGCAGTTACGCCTTTGCTCTTTAGAGCTTCAAGGACTGGCTTTGTGTCTTCAAATCCCTTATCCTGTGCAAAAAAAAAAAAAAAGAAGGAGCTGATTCAGATGAAATCTATCAACACCAACGAAACAAGAAGGCATAAAGGATGAGGAAACGAACAGCGCCATGGTCTTTGATCCAAACAGGGATAGGTCTCTCTTGATTAGAGGGATCAAAAGGATCTCCATGGAAGTAATCAGGAACCACAACATAGAATCCTGAAGCTGCAACCTTATCAGCAAGCGCCCTTAAACAACAACAACAACAAAAAAAAAATCACTTCATAAACATTCATCCATAAATAGGATAAAAATTCGAACTTTGATAAACTTAAAGACTCCACCTTGTACAAATGTAAAACCAACCAAACTATTAGCAGACACAATTGCAAAATCTAACGAGATCCAGAAACAAACTACTGCAGCAAGATATTCAAATTGACATTTAAACCTTTATGAGGCTACTAAAAATTCCTAAAAAAAAGTTTCAGACTTTAATGTTGGAATCGATGAAAAGGGAAGAACTTTACAATACCTCAAGTTTGGAGCTTCATACCCTGAAGAAACAATAAACAAAAACAGGAATATGAAGTGATCAAATCAGCTAAATGGGTCGAAATAAAAAACGCTAATTTTACTCCGATCATGTCTTTTAACTAAACCACAAACAACATCAAATCGGTTATTTACCAAAAATATCAGAGATGAGGAGGACGCACAACTTGGAATCGGGGGAGCCGGAGACGTAGACATCGAGCCCACCCAGCTTCTCGACGTGACCCGACCCGGATACCGGGTTAAGTGTCGGCGGGTTTTCGCAGCACTGAGGTCCCGACATTTGGTGAAGCTTTCGAAAATGAGAGAGAGACCAGTCTTCTATGTAACCGTTAGATGTTTCTTTGACGATCAAAATACGTTGTTCGGGAACTATTTGTAACCGTTGGATGATGATTCGGGAAAACTCTGTTTTAATTGGCCACAACAAGAAAATGTATGGTTGGGTTTGGTTTTGGGTCGATCTCAAAATTGTGGTGTTAATCCAAAGTTATATCTCTAAACCGAATTTTATAATAATTTGAGTTTATCCGAACCGAATCAAATTTGATAAATCCGGACAACCAAATTTATTAAAAGTCAAAATATTTTTAACTAAATATATAAAGAAAAGTATATGTCAATATACTAACGATTTATAGAATTTACTAATTCTCTATTTATGCAACATTTCTTGTAAAGATTTCGTAACATTATCAAACAATTGTTATGATGATGATCTAATAAGATTACTCCAAACCAAATTGAATAACAAGAGTCTAGATCTTTTGAAGCAACACAACTGCCTAAGATATTTTCAACTTTAACGAGTTAAATAACAATCATATCCTATTAAACAGAGGTTCGTACAAAAAAAAAAAAAAAAAATCCTATTAAACAGAAATAAATAAATTTAATTAGAGAGTATTTTCTCTATTAAAACTCAAAACCCTAATTTGATCTCCCTGTTTACATACCCTCGAGTTGCTTCCTTCTTCCTTGGGAGAGAGATCACAATGATGATATCTGATCTTCCATCAGATTTGCTAGAGGAAATACTCTCTAGGGGGTTCCAGCTACAATCTGGTTGCGATATACTTGCAAACAATGGGAAGAGTTATTCAAAAGCCAAGGATTCAACAAAAAGCACTTTTCTAAAGCACCAAAACATTCAATGGTTCTCATATTGAAGAAACGCAGAGTTTGTCCTATGAGAGTCATCAGTCTCAGCGCATCTTCTCAATCTATAAAATATAAGGCTGAACTTAGCCTAAAGGAATCCCAAGATAAAGCCGACATATCTAAGGTTTTTCATTGCGACGGTTTGTTGTTATGCACCATCAGAGAGAGTAAACTTGTGGTTTGTAATCCATGTTTAGGGAAAACCAAGTGGATCCAACACTATACTGCTCGCTACTGGAACACTAAGTGTGCTCTAGGTTACGTAGACAACAAGTCTTGTCGTAGCTACAAAATCTTGAGCTATTCTTTTAAGCCTAATAACCGAGTTGATGAGTTTGGAATCTATGAGTTTAGCTCTGACACATGGAGAGATCTTGACGTAGACACTGATGACTTCGTCATGGTTTTAGAGCATGCAGTGTCTTTGAAGGGAAATGTTTACTGGTGTGTCAAAGATAAAACGGACAAGTTTGATTCCGTACTATGTTTTGATTTCAGAAGTGAGAGACTTAGACGTCTGTGTTTCCCGAATTTTCAGACCCGTGGTTTCAATCATCTATCAGTTACTAGAGAAGAACAACTCTCAGTGTTACATCGGTGCTATGCTCCATTACAGATGGAGCTGTGGGTTACCAATGAAATTGATACTGAAGCAGAGTTGTCATGGAGCCTTCCGTGGTCCTTGAGTTATTTAATCGACGAAGAGAAGAAAGTGTTCGTTTGTTGTATTCAATTTAATGGTCATAGCACCAAGAACACTTTATACATTTTTGGAAAGGATGGTAAACGTATCTCAAAGATGACTTTTGGAGAGTCTACATACTACAATCAATGGTGGCCACATATTTTCAATTACGTTCCAAGTTTTGTTCAAATCCAGCAATAGTAGAGGCAAAAGGAAAGAACGACACTTGTCGTTACAATATGAGCAAGTAATTTTCTTGTAGCTCTTCATTTTGTTTTTTTTTTTTTTTTCTGTTTTTCTTCGTCGTTCTTGTTTTTCTAGATAATGGTGTGACCAGAATGCAAATTGTAGACCTACCCATCTTTCTACTAAATATAAATCTTATTTTTCTTTATTAGTTCTTTTTTTTCTGGTTCAATTCCCTATACATGCGTGCTTGATTCATCAGCGTTTCGATCTCGAGTCCACGTACGCCCCAAGCGAATGCACCACATAGGACCACAAAGTAGGCAAGAGCATGCCCTCTTAGTTTTGTTTTTCTTGCCAAATAGTAAATACCAGTAAGGAATGAAAGTGAGGTTTTACAAGAGTAGCTTAACCTAAAAAAGAATAAACAACAAGGGTACAAATGTGAAAAAGTAAAAAAAAACTCAAAACTTAACTAGGAATACTATTGATAAAAAAAAAGGGTACAAAGATTGGGTTCACGGCAAAAGTGAAAAAACTCAAATTAACACAAAAACCCTAATTTCTCTATTTACATACCCTTGCGCGAGTCGCTTTCTTCTTCCTTGGGAGAGAGATCTAATGATGATATCTGATCTTCCATCGGATTTGCTAGAGGAAATACTCTTTAGGGTTCCAGCTACAACATGCTTGAGATCTACTTGCAAACGATGGGAAGCTTTATTCAAAAGCCAAGGGTTCAACAAAAAGCACTTTGGTAAAGCACCAAAACAGTCCATGCTTCTCATGTTGAGGAACTATAGAGTTTGCCCAGTGAGAGTTGATCACAACGTATCTCCTCCAACTATAGAATATAAGGGTGCACTTCGACTCAACGATTCCCATTCTAATACACAACAAGTCGATATATCTAATGTTTATCACTGCGACGGATTGTTGTTATGCACCACCAAAGCCCATAAACTCGTGATTTGGAATCCGTGTTCGGAGGAAGCTAGATGGATCCAACTCAATACTGGTCAGGACTGGAACACTCAGTTTGCTCTAGGTTACGTAAATAACAAGTCTTGTCGTAGCTACAAAATCTTGAACTATTCGAAAAGGCACCTCCGAGCTGGTGAGGTTAGAATCTATGAGTTTAGCTCTGACACATGGAAAGTTGTTGATGTGGACACTGATAGCTTGGGCCTGATATTACAATTAGATGGTGTGTCTTTGAAGGGAAATGCTTACTGGTCTGCTTTTAATGAAACTGACCGTTCTAATTTCTTACTATGGTTTGATTTTACAAGAGAGAGATTTAGACGTCTGTCTTTTCCGACATTTCAGAACTTTGGTTCTAATATTCTATCAGTTGTTAGAGAAGAACAACTCTCGGTGTTACATCGGTGTTTTGGTGCGTCAAAGATGGAGCTGTGGGTGACCAATGAAATTGATACTGAAGCCGCCTTGTTGTGGACCAAATCCTTTGCAGTAAATTTTCACCCTAAATTACGCATTGGCATACCGTCCGTCGTGAGTTTTTTAATCGACGAGGAGAATAAACTGCTAGTTTGTCGTAATGAATGTGATGATGGGAGCACGTTACACTTACACATTTTTGAAGAGGATGGTCAATACAACTCAGGAATCCGTGTTGCAAGCAACAGTATTCCTTGGTGTCCATTAATTGTTTTCAATTATGTTCCAAGTTTTGCTCAAATCCACTAAAGTAGTAGAGGCAAATTAAAAGAAAAAAAGAACAAAAATAGTCGATAGAATTATAAGCTAAGTAGTTTTCTTGCAGCTCCTTATTTTTGTTTTTTCTTTTGTGATTTCTACGTTCTGTTTTTGACAATGCGATTAGAATGCAATCTTGCTATTAAAAAAAAATATATTTCTTTATAAGAACTTAGGATTTGTTTTTCCTGCTACAAAAGAAAAATCTTACTTCTTTATAAGATTTGTCTCTATTTTTTTTGTTTTTGTTGTTCGATTCCCTATACATGCATTTTAGATTCATCACAACTATATACTACAGCTAGATGACAAAGCACAAGAAGGGGAAAAAAAACATGTATCATCAAAGCAAATTGCAACTGAAAAAAAAAACTTATCTGAAACCTGAAAGAAAGATAAAAAAAAATTAGGAACGCAAATGAATGATGAAATCAACTGCATGATCCATTGTTTCGAAGCCTCCCATGGAAAGCAACAAAATCGCAAGCTCCTCTTTCCCCGACCGTCTCAGTCCATTACTAAGACTCTTCAACACTTTCGTATCGATCTCTGTAACCCAAAGAGGCAAACAGCTCACCAAAAGACTCACCAGACCCGAAACATAAGTCTGCCACGTCGCTCTCTCGCATCCCACTGTTATTTTCCCGTCCAAGACACTCGCAAGGAACTCCAAATGGCTTCCCAAGATCCCTTGCCGGCGTTTCGATCTCGAGTCCACGCCCCAAGCGAACGCACCACATAGGACCACAAAGTAGGCAAGAGCGTGACCTCTTAGCTCAGCGACTAGATCCGTTGGTGCTTGTTCTTGGTCTGACTTGTCAACGGACAGAAACCAAGACGGGATGGTTTCTTTGATGAGTAAGTGGACCACACCTAAACCACCGGTTAGCCAAACCAATGAGGCGCTAAGCGTAGCTGCAAGCTTGACTTGAGTCATTGCAGTAGCTAGTGAGCTCTGGCCGTATCTTGATCCGTTCTTCACCGTCTTAAGCCTTTTCAGATTCTCCTTTGAGAGCTTGTTCTGCGCTATGTCCTCCACAGAATGTATAAGGAGAGAGAATATCACTTCCGTTACAGAGACGGTATCTCTGAGAGCGCGATACATGCGGAGATAGAGAATCCCCGGTGCTACAGGGGAGATCCCGCCGTAGAAATGAGAGCCAAACCCATGGCCGAGAAGAGCGCCAACGCCACCGTCGTTGGACATGGGGCCAGCGTTCAGTCCGAGCGTGGCGCTGAAGCAGTTTCTTAGAAGCTGGACAACAGCGTCTGGGTTGTGGAGAAAGACGGTGCGAGACGCAGAGAAAACAAGGAAGTCGAACCAACGTTTCGCCTTTTGTGTCCATAACGAAGCTACAATGGGCATGCATGGCCAAGGGCAGCCTGCAGCCAAGCACTCCAGAGCTTGACCAGCAAGGTTGAGAAACCGCTCTGAGCCTTTGTCGATTTTGTATGTAATGGTTAGACTTACAAACGCGGCTAAAGGTAATGGAAGCGTTGCCGCCGGAGAACTCCCTCCTGCTATATAGCACAAAGCAAGAATCAACTTCAAAAGACAAGTTTAACAAATCTAAACAGACTCGGCATTTTAAACATATTGCATAGCTTTTACCTGGAGCAAGGCTAGGGATATCAACGCCTGTTGTTGCGAGAATTTTCTCAATGTATTCCTCAACTTTGGATAAATTTGCAGCCGGGCTTGGCCAATCCATGCCGTTCATGAATACTGGCTTCCAAACACCTCTACTCACCTCAGACGAGAAGTAGCTTACTATCGGTGCTAATGATGCGGGAAGAAAATCTGCTAACTCTTTCAGACCTGAAAGACCATATCACATAAACAATCACACATCTCTCATCTCTTATGCCAATAAAGTAAAACAAAGTGAGGTACGAGACACAAACCTGTTGCTAACTCGCGAGGAGAGAGCCTTCCATGAGAACAAGCTGTTAAAGCAGCATCTACAACATATGGAACAGCTTTGAGGATATCCCAAGCGGGAAGCTCAGGTCTCGGAACGTTATCTTCGCTTGCAGCACCCGAGGAACTGCTTGTCCCCGAATTAACTGGATTTAAAGTCTGACTGCCTCTGACTTTTCTGAACATCATGTTGAGAAGTGCTTCAACTGTCTGGTGAACGGGAGATCCATGTGTAAGTCCAGATAATGTGGAAGCTATGCATCTCTGGTGCTGCCTATACCAGATTTTCAGCTTAGGGAACGAGTCAACAAACACAGGTTGGCAATTTGCTGACCTTGCAACTTCTGAAAGTCTCTTTCTGTTCCGGTCTCTATTAAGGGTCTCCGAGGAAACGAGATGAGAATTGCGCACTAGAAGAAGATGTTCAGGAGTGAGTTGGGAGCCAACTGTTGGCACATCTCCTACACCATGCTCTATAGGAGGATGATTGAATCTCCAAAGCTTTAAAAGAAGAGTGAAAGCGTTTGAAAAAACAGAGTATGCTGAGATTTCTTCTCCGGAAGGAAGAGTCCACGATACACTTGGGGTGTAAGATCCAAACTCTTCACAGATTGGCATTAGTGAGCAAGCAAGTTGCGGAACCTAAAAAGTAGTCATCAAAATCACATGTTAATATCTTGCAGCAAAATCGGTCTCAATTCCAAAAGTTTTGAAGCAAAATTTACATACCATGCCATGTAAAGAGAAAATCTGAATGCTGTCAACAGATCCTATCCCAACAATAATAACATTCAGTATGCAGCCATAACCAATCAAATGACTTTCAGCGCCGGAATAATCTGCTGGAATGGGCGGGGATAGTAATCTTGTAAGAAACTCAACAACGTGTTCCTGTACATTGACGAAAAAACAGATGAAGCAAACTTGTGTAGTCAAGCAGTAACTTTAACCGAATTTTCACTAGTGGATGTGATGCCAACCTGTATGTTCCAGCCCCGTGTCAGGGATGCCCCACAAAGCACCGTAGCAGCAGATATCTTCTCATCATCTGATCCTTTGACTGCGACCTCATATACTTTCTCGAGCTCTGCTAAGCTTCCATCAAATCCATGAGCTTAAACTTCAGTTGCTTACTCTCGGTAAATTGAAAAAAAAGCGCACTGACTCTACCAGGCTAAAGAAACAAAAAGGAATAACTGAAGAAGAGGCAGAACTTAAATCAAACTAGAATGCAACCACTCCTCACTGAGGAGACCTTTGATTAAGAAAATGTGTTGTAAAAGTTTTGGTTTTCTTAGGTTATGACTTTTGATTTGGAGGGAAGAATATATGGATGAAGCAGTGTACAGCTAATAGGGCAACAAGAAACAAAAAGAAAATGTGAACTCATTCTACCTTGAAGCAGGAACTGAAACTAATGCATTCACCATTGCAGCATTTAGTGGCGCCCCTTTAACAAATGACGACCAGCAAGGTAATTCACTTGGCAGACTATGAGGTAATTGGCTGATTAGGCCATTAACATAGCCAGGCCACGAATAGGCCGACGTATCCAGTACGTTTCTCGCAATACAAGCCTCAACTATCAGGTGGCGCATGTTTCCAGCTACAACATGTACATAAAATGTATTAGGCATTAATATTGAAGCACACGAAGACAAACGAATTGACTGGACTTCAATTTAGCAGAGCGGCATTTTTATTAACTTACAGCAATTGGTAGGCATGTCCTTCATGTTTATGACATCAGAACATGACTTCCCAACATTTCCACCAGACAAAAACATGATTGCCTTTGTGGCAGCCTTGTTGGCAGCAGAAACAACGCACTGGGGAGGAAACAGCAACCCAGGGAATTCACCAAGGACCTTCAAACTTGTAATAAGATCTTCTCGCGGCTTTTCCATGACAGATGCATACTCCCTCTCTTCAATGATGTTCGCGACCACAAGTGGGACAATACATAATGACATGCACAGCCTTGTGTCCAGTCGAGGAATAGGTCCCTCAATAGGATCCCTTTCCTAGCAATAAAAAAAGACAAGAAAATCAGAAAAGCCACTGGATATGGCAAATCAACAGACTAACAACCAAACAACGAAAAACTTTAGTCTAGCATAGTTAACTCTAGAGCAAGCGAGTAAAAAAAGTCCTCTGAAACTGCAGGAATAAACTTTAGGTAAAAAAAGACTTGAGAGAATTTAGCAGTCAATGTTGGCAACAATTTGAACGTAACCATATAACAGAACTAATCACAAAAACACACGGTCTAAGTAAAATTTGCAAGCAATAGAAAATGCATTATTTGGTGACCACATCGAGATTAAACACAGACAGTAAGAGATCAGTCTAACCCTTTGAACAAGTCGGAGAGCTGCTATCCAAAGAGCCAAGAAGGTGTCATGCCAAGTGCTCCCATTAATTTCCTTAAGTGTTTTAGCTAGACCTGAAAATGTTGATTTTCTTGAGTCAGTACATTATATTTGAGATATCTCCTCTTTAGTAGAAGCCACAGTGAAAGAAGATGGAGTCTGCAAATTACCGGTAATGATTTCAATTGCACTAGTTGGGTTTACTTGATATCCATCCATAGCATCTTCAAATACCAAATCAAGAGGAAGCCAGAGTGAAGAGAGACTTGCTCCATGGCATAAGCCAGCATAGGAAGCAAGAGATCCAAAATCCACAATTGCATTGGATATCCGTAATGGAGTTACTTTGCTGTCACAAGAATACCCAAACCGTCTAGTCGAAATCAACTGCAATAGATCCCCAGAATTTAGAACCTTTGATTTTCTTAAGGCTGATGACTTTTCTCCAAGCACCTGTACTTTCCGTACAAATTCTTGCCAATTCGAAGCCCTATAAAGAAACGGATAGCAAACATTTAAAAAGAAAAACACTTCACGGCAGAGAAAATACTTGTCAAAATTCAGGTTATGATTAAGACACATATCTCCCAATCAAAAGATCCCATATATATGAAGGCTTTTCTAATGATTAATCTAAGATTCAGCATAGACGATGGACTATAGTTACGATTTCAGATCAACTATCAATGCATACCTGTTGGAGGATACCAAGTACAGCAATCTGGAGATCACTGTATTTCTGAGGAATTCCACAATGATGTCGATAGCCATGAGGGTATTTAAAGTCTGTAACTTCTCGTGAGATCCGATCTTTCCATTATATATCTCAGGAGCATCATCAATTTCCATTTCGTGAGACTTGTTTAGCCACTGAGAACTCGGGTCTTGGCTTAGCTCTAGTAAACCTTCATCACTTAAAGTTGCATCTACCAGTTGTGACACCATCTTAAAGACAAACTCTACTAGAAGTACACCAGGCTTGCTTGTTTCCACACCAAATAACTCTGAAAGACGAAGAATGTTGGCTACTGAATTCATGACGCTGTACAAAGAAGAAAAAAAAACAACCATGCTCAGGTAACAACTAGTATGCCAAAAAAGTAACTTTATTCTCTATTCCTACTTCTACTAAGTAGTAACAATTTTCATGAAAGCATGTCACTTTCATGTAGAAGGACTCTCAATACACTTACTAACATTTTCAACAGAGCCAAACATTTAAATGAGTAGAAAGAAGAATCAACAAGACTCACTTCTCGTAGTGAGGTCCGCTAATATGATCTTTGATCCTGAAAATATTTCTCTTGAGAAGCTCCAGGTAAATTCTATAAGCCGCTAGTTGCGTTGACCGGTTTGGAACAACTCTGTACGCAACAAAAACATGAATTATACAATAAGATATAAAAACTTTACCACTTGCAAACTCTCATCAACTATAAAATCCACAATAAGTACCAAATCTAAGATCCAATTCCAAATTAAAACTCAAGCATCAGTCATAAATCGTAGAGATTTTCTACTATATCACAGTTTCCAGACTTCCAAAATCACAAAATCTTCATTTCGTATAACCATAGATTTCGGGAAATAATTGAGAAATAAACAAAAAATGGATTGAGTTGAATAAAAAAACCTGTCAGCGAGCAGAGCGAGAACAACGAGAGGAGAAACGAGTTTTAACGCCATAGCTCTTTCAAGGAACTTCCATAGAATAGGGACGTTATTATCCCAACAAATGTACGAGACGAGAACCTCCGCGAGCTCCGTCGACGGGAAATCCACGACGGATATCAAGCTGGCCGATAACTGAGAAGACCAGAGACGAGCATCGACGCAATTAGCTTCAGCCTTCTTCGTCAGCTCAATCACGCCGTCCCAGACGGTTCTCCGTCCGGGAACCACCATTTTTTCCTTTCAATTCTCTCCGGAGAAGATGAGAGAGCGAGAGAGAGAGAGAGAGAGAGAGAGAGAAGGCGGTTAAAAGGATACAGGAGCTCTCAGATTTGATTTGGCAAAAAAAAGAAACTTACGCGTGTGTGTGTGTGTGTGTTTGTGTGTAACTGTGTGTGCTACTACAAAATGACTGAATAGTCCTCGTGCCTCGTGAGAACGAACGAGAGAGAGCTTTGGACTTTAGTGCGTGTGAATGCCCCGAGACAAATTATGAGGAAAATGTCAAAAGACTTCTCATTGCTTAAGCCCAAATCTGAAAATTTTACTGTGTTTTGTGTGAAATTGTGTGATTTCTTGAATATAAAAACAATTTCGGAGATTATATTGTAGAAGTATGTTCAAAATTTTGAAGTTATTTTTGTTCTATTCTCCTAATTTTGATTTTTCCAAATTCATTGGTCCGGACTCCAGAATCTATAATAAATATTATTAACTTTTTGTTTGAACAAAATCTTATTAACCTTTCAAAGATTGTATAATCTTAGAAACATTTTATTTTTTTCCAGATTCAAGTCATTATTCAAGAGCTGAGAAACGAAGCCATGATTTCGAAGTATGACTTTTGGGTCAAATTATTTGCATGTAAGACTAATTAATGCACGAAGAGCTTTAGGTTGTAGTGCAAGAATTAGTCAAATTTTCCAGCTTTGGTTATGTGTCTAATGGATAAACATTACCCTTTATTGCCATTTCTGTAGATCTTTAATTTCTAGTCAGAATTTATTACTGATAAAGAGTGGTCAACAACATTTCTTCCAAATATACGTAAACGTCAAAGAGCTACACATTATTCTGATATGATCAGGATAATGTATATATTGCAAGATTAATTTTAGAAAGAAGGTACAAAAAGATGCGGAACCTGAGAAGTTGGTGAATTGAAGAACACGATATATGATGGATGACCCACATGAATCCAGCTTTTATGTTCTCTTTATTCTATTAGTAACAAATGGGACAAGATCATCTCTAGATCCATAAACTTGGTGTCTATATCAGGTAGGTAATGGTTAGATTCGAATACCCTGCCTTTAATAATTTATAAATATTTAAAAACTATTGAATATATAGGAGGATCGATTGTATGATTTATATATAGTGAAAAGGTCGGATTTGATACTCGAACTCTAGTTCTCCCGAGATGAATGTTTCATCAATTAAACACAAAAGGGTAGATTTTAATAAATAAGTAAGAAAAACATGAAATAGTATTATAACTCATAAAACAACTGTAAACAAAAATAAGGATAGCAAAACAGAATATATTGAGAGGAAAAAAAATAAAAAAGGATAATTGAATTAGTGGTTAGGAGTAGGTGGAGATGATGCTAGTGGAGGTTGGGGATGGTCCATCTCCATCACCAGTTTCTAATCGAAAGATAAAGTCCTACCGTTTGCTTTAATCAATGGACCTCTCGAAATGATATGCAGCATATATCTAGTTTTTATAAAACTGATTATCCATACAGTATACACCAATACATAGTCCAAAGTCTTTTACAAAAAAAAAATATACATAGTCCAAAGTAGTTCAAGGTTTATTTTTCCCCCAATTTCTTATCTACAAACTAAAATACACACAAAAAAACATCGTATATTTTGGTTCATATATTTGAACTTCGTGAATGCTAAAGTCATATTTGTATGCTTATTTAAAAAGCTTGCATAAGGGATCAAAACTGATTCAATGATCAGAGACTTCTAGAAAGATGCTAATTAAGACATTGATCAATAAACGACACCTTGTTAATCACAAATAACATGTTGGAGAAAAACAAAACACGATAATTAACTTGATTCGTATCAGTCAAATCTCTAAATCGTTTCAACAATATGAGTGGAGAAGAGATCGAACCCAAAACAAAAAGTCCCTTTTGATTCTGTTTAATTAAGGGATTTTTTGGTTGATGTCTCCTTCAAGTAAGAAGCATGTCTTGGTTGGTGAACGCACACAAACACTAGTCACTATAGTGTGCTCGCATGTACTTTGCTTTTCTATCTAGTTGTCTGAAAACGACGGCGTTTGTGGTTTCAGATTAGACTGTCCACCTTCTCATCTTCACACCAATTCTATCATTTCTTTATGTACTTTTCCCATCATCCAATATTTACCCATTGATAATTTGTACGTTGTAATATTAGTTGATTTAGTTACGTAATAATCTATACAGTAACGATTATGAGTTTCTATTTCGGGTAAGAAGGTAGTTTTGAAAACAGGTGCTAGGTAACTTAATTGATTACGTATTACTATTTTTTTTATCTATAGTAATAGATGAGAAGTTAGTTTTGGATAAAAAAAAAATGAAGATAGTTTTTTTCTTTTGCCAACGAAAAAATGAAGATAGTTACTAAAGTAAAAACTAACGATAAAAGTGTCTAGTTCAGATAAANTGCATCAAACAGCGGAGTTGATATTATTTGTTCTGTTGCTGTGTTTCTTTGTGGCGGTGTTTTGTGTATGCCTCTCACTCTCAGATCGTTCACAAGATGAGAAAACTAGCGTCCTTAAACTACAGGTAACCTCTAGATTAGAAAATTCTCTAGTTGCTCATCAGAATTTTTGTTTTCCGATACTTTGCTATTGGAGTTTTATGTTTATTAAAGAAATCCTTAGGTGTAATTAAACTTCAAAATATTAGGACATGAGATTGAGAATTTTGCTTCTGTTTTCATATGAATTTGTGTATTTGTTTATGTATTCTCTCAGGTAGGGTTGCTTGGCGTGGGGAGGAAGTTACAAAAAGATTTCAATCGCCTTGCTGAAGATGCAGATACATCCACTTTAAAGGGTCTCAGCTATGTTTTAAACGGTAACCTATTTCTCAATGCATCTCTTCCCGTTTCGTATCAATGTTATAACATGAGATTTTGGCCATGACTTATATCTCTTTTTCTTTGGATTTGTGTCTTATAGAGGCAACATTGGCTTTGTTGAGGCATCCGGACTATTGCATTGCTTGTCATTCATCAGTAAGTCCACTTGTTCTTTCAAGACTAATTTGCGTTGCTAATACATTCATGGATGCATAAACTAACCACCATATATGTTTGTAACTTTCAGGTGGATGTCGAGTGTAAAGAAGAAGAGGGAGAGAAGCTATTTAATCAACTCTCCATTGAAGAACGGAGAAAGGTCGACGAGGAGACAGTTGTGAATGTGGATAGCATTAAGAGAAATGTCTCGAAATTTCGGACAGCTAGTGCACGTGGTCTCCCCGGCCAGTACTGAATATATTGTGGTACGTACACTTATTAAAACTCCTTGTTGAATGTTTAGTAAAATAGGATTAAGACAATTAAAACCATGTCTAGAAGCAACAGTTAACATGAAGTGTTGTGCATGTTCAGATAACAATCTTGGTGGCTGCAAAGGGTATACATAAACTACAACCAATAAACGGAATTGCGGATCTCAAGGAAGCTTTAAAGAAGCTTGGATCGTTACCAAGCAATCGAATAAAGGTAAGCGATTTTTGTACCCCTAAGTTCCATATCATGTAAAAAAAGTTTAGTCTTGCAAATGGATGATGTTGATAACAAATTGTTGCAGGCGGTGGAATTATTGTGGACACCAGAAGACGAGAATGAGGTTTTGTCAGAAAGAGAACTACGTGAAGATTTCCCACTCTTGACGACTTTCTAATTTTTTTTTTTTCAAACGGTCCTTGCTATCTTGCGCATAAATATATGATGAATACCATGTTTTATAGACTTAATTAATAATCAAATCTGAGAAGAATGCAGAGAAATTTTATTGAGAATCTCAGACTATGGAAAGATTAAAAAAGCTACCTGGTCGAATCTGTAATTGTTGTAAGATTAGATTATGAATGGAAACTACTAAACAGATAAACTACACGTCTACACTATTAAACTGCAATGTTGACGCAAATTATTTTCCATTTTTTTAATTGCAACTTAACGGACGTTAATCAAATGAGTAATTACTAGTTTAGTTGAACTGGAAACACATGTGGAAAACGTGCATCACGTGATATTACTTCACGCGGATGTATATCTCTATTTGGTAACCTGTCACGCGATTTTAAGTAACCGAATTTAATCAGAAACAAATTAATCAAATTCGAACCAAACCAGATCCACGTCACTTTATTCATCAGGTCAACCGACTCATACCTTTCCTTTTCTTTATATATATATATATATATATATATATATATATCCCCTGTACATAACAAATCGATCTCCCTCCAAACGTACTTCATTCATATAAACCCTAACAACTTCAAACCCTCGATCATGGCGTCTACTTATACCTTGCTCCAGTTGTCCCCGAATTAACTGGATTTAAAGTCTGACTGCCTCTGACTTTTCTGAACATCATGTTGAGAAGTGCTTCAACTGTCTGGTGAACGGGAGATCCATGTGTAAGTCCAGATAATGTGGAAGCTATGCATCTCTGGTGCTGCCTATACCAGATTTTCAGCTTAGGGAACGAGTCAACAAACACAGGTTGGCAATTTGCTGACCTTGCAACTTCTGAAAGTCTCTTTCTGTTCCGGTCTCTATTAAGGGTCTCCGAGGAAACGAGATGAGAATTGCGCACTAGAAGAAGATGTTCAGGAGTGAGTTGGGAGCCAACTGTTGGCACATCTCCTACACCATGCTCTATAGGAGGATGATTGAATCTCCAAAGCTTTAAAAGAAGAGTGAAAGCGTTTGAAAAAACAGAGTATGCTGAGATTTCTTCTCCGGAAGGAAGAGTCCACGATACACTTGGGGTGTAAGATCCAAACTCTTCACAGATTGGCATTAGTGAGCAAGCAAGTTGCGGAACCTAAAAAGTAGTCATCAAAATCACATGTTAATATCTTGCAGCAAAATCGGTCTCAATTCCAAAAGTTTTGAAGCAAAATTTACATACCATGCCATGTAAAGAGAAAATCTGAATGCTGTCAACAGATCCTATCCCAACAATAATAACATTCAGTATGCAGCCATAACCAATCAAATGACTTTCAGCGCCGGAATAATCTGCTGGAATGGGCGGGGATAGTAATCTTGTAAGAAACTCAACAACGTGTTCCTGTACATTGACGAAAAAACAGATGAAGCAAACTTGTGTAGTCAAGCAGTAACTTTAACCGAATTTTCACTAGTGGATGTGATGCCAACCTGTATGTTCCAGCCCCGTGTCAGGGATGCCCCACAAAGCACCGTAGCAGCAGATATCTTCTCATCATCTGATCCTTTGACTGCGACCTCATATACTTTCTCGAGCTCTGCTAAGCTTCCATCAAATCCATGAGCTTAAACTTCAGTTGCTTACTCTCGGTAAATTGAAAAAAAAGCGCACTGACTCTACCAGGCTAAAGAAACAAAAAGGAATAACTGAAGAAGAGGCAGAACTTAAATCAAACTAGAATGCAACCACTCCTCACTGAGGAGACCTTTGATTAAGAAAATGTGTTGTAAAAGTTTTGGTTTTCTTAGGTTATGACTTTTGATTTGGAGGGAAGAATATATGGATGAAGCAGTGTACAGCTAATAGGGCAACAAGAAACAAAAAGAAAATGTGAACTCATTCTACCTTGAAGCAGGAACTGAAACTAATGCATTCACCATTGCAGCATTTAGTGGCGCCCCTTTAACAAATGACGACCAGCAAGGTAATTCACTTGGCAGACTATGAGGTAATTGGCTGATTAGGCCATTAACATAGCCAGGCCACGAATAGGCCGACGTATCCAGTACGTTTCTCGCAATACAAGCCTCAACTATCAGGTGGCGCATGTTTCCAGCTACAACATGTACATAAAATGTATTAGGCATTAATATTGAAGCACACGAAGACAAACGAATTGACTGGACTTCAATTTAGCAGAGCGGCATTTTTATTAACTTACAGCAATTGGTAGGCATGTCCTTCATGTTTATGACATCAGAACATGACTTCCCAACATTTCCACCAGACAAAAACATGATTGCCTTTGTGGCAGCCTTGTTGGCAGCAGAAACAACGCACTGGGGAGGAAACAGCAACCCAGGGAATTCACCAAGGACCTTCAAACTTGTAATAAGATCTTCTCGCGGCTTTTCCATGACAGATGCATACTCCCTCTCTTCAATGATGTTCGCGACCACAAGTGGGACAATACATAATGACATGCACAGCCTTGTGTCCAGTCGAGGAATAGGTCCCTCAATAGGATCCCTTTCCTAGCAATAAAAAAAGACAAGAAAATCAGAAAAGCCACTGGATATGGCAAATCAACAGACTAACAACCAAACAACGAAAAACTTTAGTCTAGCATAGTTAACTCTAGAGCAAGCGAGTAAAAAAAGTCCTCTGAAACTGCAGGAATAAACTTTAGGTAAAAAAAGACTTGAGAGAATTTAGCAGTCAATGTTGGCAACAATTTGAACGTAACCATATAACAGAACTAATCACAAAAACACACGGTCTAAGTAAAATTTGCAAGCAATAGAAAATGCATTATTTGGTGACCACATCGAGATTAAACACAGACAGTAAGAGATCAGTCTAACCCTTTGAACAAGTCGGAGAGCTGCTATCCAAAGAGCCAAGAAGGTGTCATGCCAAGTGCTCCCATTAATTTCCTTAAGTGTTTTAGCTAGACCTGAAAATGTTGATTTTCTTGAGTCAGTACATTATATTTGAGATATCTCCTCTTTAGTAGAAGCCACAGTGAAAGAAGATGGAGTCTGCAAATTACCGGTAATGATTTCAATTGCACTAGTTGGGTTTACTTGATATCCATCCATAGCATCTTCAAATACCAAATCAAGAGGAAGCCAGAGTGAAGAGAGACTTGCTCCATGGCATAAGCCAGCATAGGAAGCAAGAGATCCAAAATCCACAATTGCATTGGATATCCGTAATGGAGTTACTTTGCTGTCACAAGAATACCCAAACCGTCTAGTCGAAATCAACTGCAATAGATCCCCAGAATTTAGAACCTTTGATTTTCTTAAGGCTGATGACTTTTCTCCAAGCACCTGTACTTTCCGTACAAATTCTTGCCAATTCGAAGCCCTATAAAGAAACGGATAGCAAACATTTAAAAAGAAAAACACTTCACGGCAGAGAAAATACTTGTCAAAATTCAGGTTATGATTAAGACACATATCTCCCAATCAAAAGATCCCATATATATGAAGGCTTTTCTAATGATTAATCTAAGATTCAGCATAGACGATGGACTATAGTTACGATTTCAGATCAACTATCAATGCATACCTGTTGGAGGATACCAAGTACAGCAATCTGGAGATCACTGTATTTCTGAGGAATTCCACAATGATGTCGATAGCCATGAGGGTATTTAAAGTCTGTAACTTCTCGTGAGATCCGATCTTTCCATTATATATCTCAGGAGCATCATCAATTTCCATTTCGTGAGACTTGTTTAGCCACTGAGAACTCGGGTCTTGGCTTAGCTCTAGTAAACCTTCATCACTTAAAGTTGCATCTACCAGTTGTGACACCATCTTAAAGACAAACTCTACTAGAAGTACACCAGGCTTGCTTGTTTCCACACCAAATAACTCTGAAAGACGAAGAATGTTGGCTACTGAATTCATGACGCTGTACAAAGAAGAAAAAAAAACAACCATGCTCAGGTAACAACTAGTATGCCAAAAAAGTAACTTTATTCTCTATTCCTACTTCTACTAAGTAGTAACAATTTTCATGAAAGCATGTCACTTTCATGTAGAAGGACTCTCAATACACTTACTAACATTTTCAACAGAGCCAAACATTTAAATGAGTAGAAAGAAGAATCAACAAGACTCACTTCTCGTAGTGAGGTCCGCTAATATGATCTTTGATCCTGAAAATATTTCTCTTGAGAAGCTCCAGGTAAATTCTATAAGCCGCTAGTTGCGTTGACCGGTTTGGAACAACTCTGTACGCAACAAAAACATGAATTATACAATAAGATATAAAAACTTTACCACTTGCAAACTCTCATCAACTATAAAATCCACAATAAGTACCAAATCTAAGATCCAATTCCAAATTAAAACTCAAGCATCAGTCATAAATCGTAGAGATTTTCTACTATATCACAGTTTCCAGACTTCCAAAATCACAAAATCTTCATTTCGTATAACCATAGATTTCGGGAAATAATTGAGAAATAAACAAAAAATGGATTGAGTTGAATAAAAAAACCTGTCAGCGAGCAGAGCGAGAACAACGAGAGGAGAAACGAGTTTTAACGCCATAGCTCTTTCAAGGAACTTCCATAGAATAGGGACGTTATTATCCCAACAAATGTACGAGACGAGAACCTCCGCGAGCTCCGTCGACGGGAAATCCACGACGGATATCAAGCTGGCCGATAACTGAGAAGACCAGAGACGAGCATCGACGCAATTAGCTTCAGCCTTCTTCGTCAGCTCAATCACGCCGTCCCAGACGGTTCTCCGTCCGGGAACCACCATTTTTTCCTTTCAATTCTCTCCGGAGAAGATGAGAGAGCGAGAGAGAGAGAGAGAGAGAGAGAGAGAAGGCGGTTAAAAGGATACAGGAGCTCTCAGATTTGATTTGGCAAAAAAAAGAAACTTACGCGTGTGTGTGTGTGTGTGTTTGTGTGTAACTGTGTGTGCTACTACAAAATGACTGAATAGTCCTCGTGCCTCGTGAGAACGAACGAGAGAGAGCTTTGGACTTTAGTGCGTGTGAATGCCCCGAGACAAATTATGAGGAAAATGTCAAAAGACTTCTCATTGCTTAAGCCCAAATCTGAAAATTTTACTGTGTTTTGTGTGAAATTGTGTGATTTCTTGAATATAAAAACAATTTCGGAGATTATATTGTAGAAGTATGTTCAAAATTTTGAAGTTATTTTTGTTCTATTCTCCTAATTTTGATTTTTCCAAATTCATTGGTCCGGACTCCAGAATCTATAATAAATATTATTAACTTTTTGTTTGAACAAAATCTTATTAACCTTTCAAAGATTGTATAATCTTAGAAACATTTTATTTTTTTCCAGATTCAAGTCATTATTCAAGAGCTGAGAAACGAAGCCATGATTTCGAAGTATGACTTTTGGGTCAAATTATTTGCATGTAAGACTAATTAATGCACGAAGAGCTTTAGGTTGTAGTGCAAGAATTAGTCAAATTTTCCAGCTTTGGTTATGTGTCTAATGGATAAACATTACCCTTTATTGCCATTTCTGTAGATCTTTAATTTCTAGTCAGAATTTATTACTGATAAAGAGTGGTCAACAACATTTCTTCCAAATATACGTAAACGTCAAAGAGCTACACATTATTCTGATATGATCAGGATAATGTATATATTGCAAGATTAATTTTAGAAAGAAGGTACAAAAAGATGCGGAACCTGAGAAGTTGGTGAATTGAAGAACACGATATATGATGGATGACCCACATGAATCCAGCTTTTATGTTCTCTTTATTCTATTAGTAACAAATGGGACAAGATCATCTCTAGATCCATAAACTTGGTGTCTATATCAGGTAGGTAATGGTTAGATTCGAATACCCTGCCTTTAATAATTTATAAATATTTAAAAACTATTGAATATATAGGAGGATCGATTGTATGATTTATATATAGTGAAAAGGTCGGATTTGATACTCGAACTCTAGTTCTCCCGAGATGAATGTTTCATCAATTAAACACAAAAGGGTAGATTTTAATAAATAAGTAAGAAAAACATGAAATAGTATTATAACTCATAAAACAACTGTAAACAAAAATAAGGATAGCAAAACAGAATATATTGAGAGGAAAAAAAATAAAAAAGGATAATTGAATTAGTGGTTAGGAGTAGGTGGAGATGATGCTAGTGGAGGTTGGGGATGGTCCATCTCCATCACCAGTTTCTAATCGAAAGATAAAGTCCTACCGTTTGCTTTAATCAATGGACCTCTCGAAATGATATGCAGCATATATCTAGTTTTTATAAAACTGATTATCCATACAGTATACACCAATACATAGTCCAAAGTCTTTTACAAAAAAAAAATATACATAGTCCAAAGTAGTTCAAGGTTTATTTTTCCCCCAATTTCTTATCTACAAACTAAAATACACACAAAAAAACATCGTATATTTTGGTTCATATATTTGAACTTCGTGAATGCTAAAGTCATATTTGTATGCTTATTTAAAAAGCTTGCATAAGGGATCAAAACTGATTCAATGATCAGAGACTTCTAGAAAGATGCTAATTAAGACATTGATCAATAAACGACACCTTGTTAATCACAAATAACATGTTGGAGAAAAACAAAACACGATAATTAACTTGATTCGTATCAGTCAAATCTCTAAATCGTTTCAACAATATGAGTGGAGAAGAGATCGAACCCAAAACAAAAAGTCCCTTTTGATTCTGTTTAATTAAGGGATTTTTTGGTTGATGTCTCCTTCAAGTAAGAAGCATGTCTTGGTTGGTGAACGCACACAAACACTAGTCACTATAGTGTGCTCGCATGTACTTTGCTTTTCTATCTAGTTGTCTGAAAACGACGGCGTTTGTGGTTTCAGATTAGACTGTCCACCTTCTCATCTTCACACCAATTCTATCATTTCTTTATGTACTTTTCCCATCATCCAATATTTACCCATTGATAATTTGTACGTTGTAATATTAGTTGATTTAGTTACGTAATAATCTATACAGTAACGATTATGAGTTTCTATTTCGGGTAAGAAGGTAGTTTTGAAAACAGGTGCTAGGTAACTTAATTGATTACGTATTACTATTTTTTTTATCTATAGTAATAGATGAGAAGTTAGTTTTGGATAAAAAAAAAATGAAGATAGTTTTTTTCTTTTGCCAACGAAAAAATGAAGATAGTTACTAAAGTAAAAACTAACGATAAAAGTGTCTAGTTCAGATAAATTCATAAAAAGATGGATTGCAGCGAAAACGGATGGAATATGAATAGAGTAATTAATGCAGCTCTCAATTGTTATAATCCAACTCATAACTTTGATAACTGAATCATATATTTTGGATATCATATAAAATAAAAAATAATTTTGATATTTAAAATTATTACTCGAACTTTCATTAGATCATATATAAAAAAAAACTTTAGATTTATATTTATGTATTTTGAATAATTTTAATACTTTGACTATTCGGAACATTAATTCGGCTATCTCAAATAATTGTAAAACTGATATTCTTATCCGTTAAACTAATTGACCTGACGGTCAGGTCCTGGTCCTGGACCTATCTATACTAACAACTTCCGCTGCCTATCCTGAAAAACACGAACATAAACAAAGACTTGGTAAAGAAAAATTAGTCAAGTGGGAGTTATAAAAGAAAAATGTCAATGAGGTTGTGGAGTTTCTCAAAGTACAGCTAAGCCAAACCATATTATATAATTTAGATATCATCTTTGTCCAACGAATTAGAGTGTTTAGACCTAATAGTTGTTGGTAGTATGCTAATTAGTTATTATTACGTTTTCTCATTGTCATGTCACATGGTGAACCAGATTGATAACGACACTTTCATAAAGTTGGCTTCTTGCATTGGAAGTCATAACTTGCTGGCCACTATTTATCATTCTTTAATTGAGATTATGAATAGATTAGTAGAATATATTGTCCTAAACTATTGATTTTTGTTTTGGTTTCATACTATCGGTAATGCATTATAAACGTGTTTGTTTAGTTATTACCAAACTATTAAACAAAGGCACGAGTCATAAAACCATGAAAACTATATTACAACAACAAAGAACAATGAGATTCATTTGCTAAAACAAAAATTACTTTGCACTATGCTTCTCATAACCATGTTTAAGTAGTCCATTTATGGCGAGGCTTTGTAAAATATGAGGATTGGACGGTTGGGTTTGATATATGGGATCGTTTCATGTGAATCGTTTCATGTGTATAACATATGAATTTTCACTTTTTTTTATCATCTCAAACTTATCATTATTATTATTGTGAATGGTGTGTACTCATGCGAAATTACTACATACACCATACAAAACCCAATGTTTTCTTCTTCTACTGCTACTACTACACTATTTTTGGGGCCAAAACAAGAATGAGAACAACTTATAAAGAATCCGATGAAGCCCTTTCCAAGATTTCGACGGCGGATTTGATTCAGAAGTCCTCGTCGATCCTGAACTCATAGTTCTTGTTCCCATTTTGGAGGCTCGACATAACCGATGCCTTCTGATACTCTCCCACTCTCTTCTCAAAGAAGTTTGTCTTCCCTCTGCAAATTCATCACAAGAAAGTACCAAAACACACTTAGTCAATCAAGACTCCAGATAACACAGTTTCTTGATAAACTCATATAGATTACTTACTGCAAAGATATGAACTCCATCCAGTCAAATGGATTTTCTGCTTTGTATCTCCTTTCACATCCCAACGTAACCTACAGATTAAACAAGCACAAAATCCATGAAACCAATCCATGTTTTCGAAATGCAGTAAAACAAGAGTGAAAACATGAATTCTTGTTTACTTACCAGAAGACGGTCTGCGACAAACTGTATGTACTGACTCATGAGGTTTGAGTTCATTCCGATCAGATCACACGGAAGTGCCTTGCAGACAAACTCTGTCTCGATCTCCACTGCCTCATGAACAATCTGATAAACTTTCTCCAGAGGAAGCTTCTTCTGCAGCAAACTGCATTAAAGTTATGACAAAGAATGAATGGATTTTCATAGAGATTCTCATAAAACTTCAATGTGGCTTTAACTGTTACCTGTACAAGAGACAAGCAAAGTCACAGTGGAGCCCCTCGTCTCTCGATATAAGCTCGTTTGAGAAGGTCAAACCTGGCATAAGAGCTCTCTTCTTAAGCCAGAAGATGGCACAGAAGCTGTCCAACAAAACATGTAATGCTTATACATATGAAGTCTGGTTTTTTTAAGAGCTACATAGTTGCAGAAACTGGAAATAAGAATTACCTTCCTGAGAAGAAGATTCCTTCTACGCATGCAAAAGCAACCACCCTCACAGCAAAAGACATAGGACTGCAGACAAATAATACACTCTCAGATCAAAGTTGGGATTATAATTTACAATCAATCACAATTTGTAAGATTGATTTGTCTCTTCACACAACATAAGTTTGGATGTATACCTTTGAATCCAATCAAGACACCATTTTGCCTTCTTGGAAATGCAAGGAATGGTCTCGATAGCATTGAACAGTCTATCTTTCTCCCGAGGATCCTTTATATATGTCTCCAGAAGTTGGCTGTACATCTCTGAAGTTTCTCAACAAAATAAAAAAGGAAAATGCTTTGAATCAGTTCTGCTTGGTAGATGCATCATGCATCAGTGGAGAATTATAATGTTACCAGCTAAACCATGACCTGACTCAAGCATTTGTTTCTTACATTGACTTTTAAGTTACTGAATAGTAACAGAACATACAAATCTATATAGCTAGGCTTGCTAACATCCTACACTCAAGAATATCTAGGCGTTTGCAGTGAATCAGAACTGAATCATATAAGATTATGCAAACTTATACGCAAAAGATCTAAACTTTCACAAACTTCTCTACTAACAAAGCCGTACCCGAATGAATGTTCTCCATGGCAATTTGAAATCCATAGAAAGCACGAGCCTGGAAAAAAAAACAGAGATTTGACTGTCAAGTCTCAAAATCAAACAGTTTCAAGATGCTTATATACTTTTACACTCGGAGGGAAATATTCTCACCTCTGGAACTTGAACATCATTGAGGAATCTAGCAGCCAAATTCTCCAATACAATTCCATCTGATGCGGCGAAAAACGCAAGAACATGGCTGATGAAATGCTTCTCCGAGTCCGTCAAGGTTTCCCAGTGTTGCACATCAGTGCATAGATCAACTTCTTCAGCTGTAATCAATCCATTCAGATAAGTAAATCCAGATGATGATGATGATAACATCGAAACAGAGCCATTAACGTCCTCTGCATCAGAACTAAAAGCAACAAAACATCTTCTTTTCCAACTATCACAAAGTTAAACTTGACACATGATTCCGAGTTTTGATGACATTTACAGTTCTAAACAGCTAAAAGGAAGAAGCTTTACAGTTACACTTAAAAAGTCACAGACTTTCTTAATCAAATTGCATCCAAGCACAGAGAACATAACAAAATTAAGCTAAACCGAGGAAAGAAAAAGAGGACTAACCAGTCCAGAAACTGGCCTGAGCCTTCTTATACATCTCCCAAATTGATTTGTATCTAATGGGGAACATAGAGAATCTCTGGTTCTGCGCCATCAAGAGCGGCTCCTCATGTTCTTCTTCTCCTCCTCCTTCCAAGTCTCTTCTTTGACCGTCATTCGAAGAACCCATTATCAAGGAATTTCGTCTCTCTATTTCAAAATCTCAATCTGTTGGGGTTTTTGAGGTTGTGAGAAACAGAGGATTTTTAGATTAGATACAAAGAAAAAATAAATAAAGGGAAAACCCTAAACAAAAACCTCGGAAACCGACAAGGAAAACAAAAACAGCTCTGTTGTTTTTTGTTGTTTGTCTCTTTGGATGGCGAAGAAAAGGAACTCCTCGTGAATCCGTGATCTTTCGCCGGGATTTTCACCGCAAAATATCTCGGACCAGCGTGAATGATGTGACAAATAAACGATGTCAAGCAATAAAGAGATAAGTTTATAACCGTCAAAACAGTTTCATTCAGATTTTAGACATGTATATTCGATAAAGGGAGATAAATACACAGGTTTCTATTTTTATTTATAATCAAAGTGAGAATTGAATAGGATTATTCTAGGATTGTTTAGGACTCACGTAAAATAATTTCATTTCCTTATATAAACTTGAAAACAAATGCGTAGCAGGACTAAAATGGGAACTAGTTTTGTTGAATCTTTTTAGGCTTTACGTAATTTAACGTGCAATCTTGAAATTCAATAATAAGATCAATTGTGAAATTGTGATTTATTAAAGTCATTTTTGTGTTTTATACATCAAAGGTTGACTGACTATACAACATGTATATCCCTTCATTTTAAATTGCAACCTCTAAAGTTTTGATTTATTTAATCCTTGTAATTTACTTTCTCTTGATGTATATGTTTCTTTTAAGATGATGATTCTCCAAGAAAGCAAAGTTAAGTGAGACATACCAAATTTCAGGGGTACTTTGTTATGTCAATGTGTTAGTTTACTATTTGTAGTTTTCCGTTTTGTGTTAAAAGAAAACATGAAATCATTTGTGGAAATGACTCTGAATAAACATTAGTTTTATGATTGGTGTGAGCATGTATGAGTATGATCCCAAAATTATGGACAATAAGGGGCGTTTCATTTTGTTGCGGACCAAATATAACTCTTCATTGTTTCATGGATTAATCCCATCGTCGAAAAGATTAAGAATATTTTCTTCATGAATAATAGCAAAAGTAGTATTCGGCTTCATGTGATTATAACCAAAAGCTAAGTCTTAATTAGCCACATACTAAATCAAATATATGGAGTATAACATTATGTTGTTTATTCCAATAGTTTTCTTGCAACAATGTAAATAGTTATATCTAATGAAGATATAGATATGTTAAAGGGAGATAAAGTATTTCAATGGGCTTATCTCTTATCAATTACCACCAGGAACTTTATAGACTGAAACATCAACAGAAATACAAATTAGAAAAAATATCAAAAGTGTTAAAGTCGAGATGTTGAGTCTAATGGCACTTACCACCACAATAAGATCCAGGGGCTAATAGGTTGCCGCAGGCCTGAGAGAGTTTCAGAAGCTTATTTGCGTCATAGTATTGCAAGACCCTTTTTGTGACGCCTTGACAAATGCATTTCATCTTGTTCATTCTTATACTATCACAACAAACTTTCAATGGAGGAACCCATGGAGGACCAAGAAGGAGAGAGTCGTCACAATAATCATAATCTTCAGAAACTTGCATCGGGGTACATGGAGCATTAACCTGGGAGGATGATGATCTTGTCACCAACAATGATAACATGAACATAGCTACGATCGTACATGCTCTCATCATTTTTTCTATATTTTCTCTCCTAAAGTCTTTGAAAGCTTCACTGATACTTTGATTGATATATATATCAGAAGCATATTGCAAACACGATTTAAGGAAATATGAAATCTCACAATTAAAAAGGAGAAGAAAAAACAAAGACTGTCAAACAAAATAAATTATTAGTTTCGCATTACCATTTTGATAGAGTCAATAGTATTTTTTCTTTTGACTGGAAATTAAATGGGAAAAAGCAAAGAGGTCTAATGGGAAAAAACTCATTTAGGAGGACATTTGGTGATTTCGTTAGCACAAACTCTTCAACCTTGATTGGTGTCTTTAAAGTTAAAAACTCATTTAGGAGGAGATTTGGTCAGATGAGAGAGTGCACATATATGTTCTTAAACTCATATTTGCTTAGACAAGATCAAACTTGAAAAGAAATACGTAGCAGGGGAATCAATGATTTTTTTTTTTTTTTTTTTTTTTTTTTTGGGTATTAATACTCAGAATAACACTAATTTTATGATTGGTGTATATGGATCAAAATTATGGACGAATTATTAGTTCATGGACCAAACTAAGATGTGTTAATTTTTCTTGTCTCTTCATTGTTTCATGGATTAATAATCCATCATCAAATAAATGAAGAGTATTTTCGTCATGGATAATAGCAAAAGTACTATTCGCCAAATAACTTCCAATTTTAGTTTATTACAGTATATGATTATAACCAAAAGCTAGTTATTAAGCATATCACATTATATTATTTCTTCCAATGTGGTTTCCTTGCAGCAATGTAAATAGTTACTTCTAATGAAGATATAGTTGTGTGAAAGGGATTCCAATGGGCTTCTCTGCTCTATATCATCAGTTACGACCAGGAAACGTGTAGACTGAAATATAAATTAGATAAAAGATCAATAGGGTTAAATTAAGTCGAGATGCTGAGTCTAATGTCACTTACCACCACAACTAGATCCAGGGGCTAAGATGTCACCGCAGGCCTGAGAGAGCTTTGGAAGCTTATTTACGTCATAGGTTTGCGAGAACGTTTCTGTGACGCCTTCACAAATGCATTGCATCTTGTTCATTTTTACAGTTGCACAACAAACTCCTAATGGAGGAACCAAAGGAGCACCAAGAATAAGAGCGGCGCCACAGTAATCAAGATTTTGTGAAATTTCCAGCTGACTACACGGAGCACTACCCTGTGAGGATGCTGATCTTGTCACCAACAACAGTGTTAACATGAACATAGGTAAGATCGTGTAAGACCTCATCATTTTCTCTATTTTTTTTTCTTCTTTTAGTTAAGTCTTTGTAATCTTTACTGATACTTTGACATATATATAAGCATATTGCAATCACTATTCATAAGGAATACCAGATATCGTAATTCTAAAATAGAAGCAAATCATGTAAATTCGTCTGTAACTCCTTCATATGAAATCAAGCTGTACATTCTACAAATCAAAACTCGCCAAATAGAAGAAAATATTAGTTTCTTATTTACCATTTACAAAAATATTCTTACTAAATTAAAAGAAAACTTAAGAAGAAGAAAATATAGGAAATTAGGTAAAGATCCTTTTTTTTTAAAATGCAAGATTTTAAAAACGTAAAAGAAAATGCATGATATTGATCAGCAAATTGAAAAATAACTTCCCCAAATGAATACTGAAATTGGGAGAATTTTTAAAATACCACTATATACTATTTATTTTATAAAATTCTCATTTTTTATATTATAAGATCGTTTAGAAATTAAGGATCTTTAGAAACATGGAACGTTATATTCACAAACTTTTATAAAATGTTTGTCAAATTTTGTAAGTTAATCATATTTCATAAAAGATGTTATAATAAAATATAAGAAGTTATATTAAATTCCATAAAACAGATTGTAGATGGCATTTTTCATAAACTTGTTCCCTAACGTTTCTCTTTAAATTGGGTAAAAAAGAATATGACATCAAATTATTAAGAAAATTTAATTAATAATCATTTGTCATTTAACGAAAACGTGGGCAATTCAGGTGGAAGATGAAATACGCCCCTGCGGGTGTATAGGTGGGGAATGGTCCGATAAACGTTTTAACCGGAGAAACCTTTGCTTGCTTTGAGTCGGCGAAGAAAGAGAAATGTCGAGTCATCAGTGCACCGATAACCCGCCTAATCTGGATCCAAATAGCGGGTCGGGTCACGTCGAGAAACTCGGCGGCCTCGACACTTACCTCTCTGGTTCCACTCATTCAAAGCTTGCCGTTGTTCTCGTCTCTCATGTCTTCGGTTAACATTCTCACTTCCTTACTCTTATCATCTTCTTTCGAAAGTATCAATCTTTCTGAATTGAAATTGATTTGAGAATCTAAAAATCAAATTTTTCTTTCTTTTCTCCAGGATATGAAACTCCACAACTGAGGTACTGTAAATCTTCACTTAGAATCCATAGCGAATCTCTTTGCTAATTGCTTTATTAAGTGTGATTAGTAGAAGATCTTTGGTCTTAGTCAAAAAGTCTGTTTCTTTCTTAAATTGTTGAAAGCTTTATGCTTTTCTCTGTTACTCGAAATAAAGTTTCATTCTTTATGCTATATTTTGTGACAGGAAACTTGCTGACAAGGTTGCAGAAGCTGGTTTCTATGCGGTGGTTCCTGACTTCTTCCATGAGATCCTTATAATCCGGAGAATCAAGATCGACCACTTCCTATCTGGCTAAAAGATCATGGACAAGTTTAGTTTTTTCTCTCTCTCTCTTCCTTATCAAGTGTTTTGCAAGTCATACTTGTTCTGTATTTACTCTATATGAAACCAATCCATTTGATTTATGTAGGAGAAAGGTTTTGAGGACTCAAAGCCAGTAGTTGAGGCATTGAAGAACAAAGGCATAACTGCAATTGGAGCAGCAGGGTTTTGTTGGGGTGGTGAGTTTGGTTTTGTTCATTCTCATACATTCTCAAGAAAATTTGAGCTAACACAAAACTGTTTCTGTGTTCTTCTTGTGTGCTTTGATCAAATAGCAAAAGTTGCAGTGGAGCTGGCCAAGCAAGAGCTTGTTAAAGCTGTTGTTTTGTTACATCCTTCTCGTGTTACAGTTGATGATATCAAAGGTATATGAGATCTTTGATAATGTTTGTGTATAGCCATTCTTTATGATAATGATTCTGAATAAGTGACTGTAATTGAAACTAGGGGACAAGGTTCCAGTTTCTGTTTTAGGAGCTGAGTTCGATCAAGTGACTCCTCCAGAGCTTGTGATGCAATTCGAAGATGTTTTAGCTACTAAACCTGAGGTACTTTGCTCTCTGCTCATCATCCACTTAATCTATGGTTTACAGTTTCTAGTGATATTATCATTTTCTTTGAGTCTCTTGCAATTTGACTAAAGTGATGTTTCAGGTGAAGAGTTTTGTGAAGATATTTCCAAGAGTCAAGCACGGTTGGAGTGTTAGGTACAATGTGAATGATCCATCAGAAGTTGAAGCTGCGGAGGAAGCTCACAAGGACATGCTTGCTTGGATCATCGACCATGTCAAGTGAGAAAATTGAGACGGTTTAATATGATTTGGTTTGCACAGAATCTGTATGAAAATGTTGTGTGTAATTCTGTTTGGAATGAATATATGTAACTAGTAAGTAGTATCTTCTATGTTCCTCAGATTTGGTTTGGATTGCTATTAACTAGTGTTTTCTTGAAAAGGGATAACGTACCTTGAGTCCGTGAAAGTTTTAAAGAAAGAAAGAACAAAAAAAAGTGAAAAAGGGATAACGTACCTTGAGTCCGTTCGTAAACTTGAGGTCGTTTCTTAAGAGGTTATAACTGGATTTGGAGGTTGGAGGAGATAACTTATATAGAACACGACAATAACACACCAGCAAGTCTTTGAATTTACACTGTTTTGTTAAGGAAAGTTTGCAACATTTTAAACAAGTTAAATGTAAACAAAAAGCAGTCCACAAACACAAACCAAATTAAGAACTGAGAGGTGTACGTCAGCCAGAATTGAAAGACAATCAACACACAAAAGAATAAAATATATAGAAACCATCAGTTAGCTTGGGAGCCACGTCCTCTGATCATATGTCGTCCTTCTACCCATTATTCTTCGGCGTGTCGTGGAAACTCGGTGGCAGCTTCCGGAAGCTTAAGGCAGCTTCGGACATCAAACTGTCTCAGGTTTGGAAGAGCCGGAGGGTTCCAGCAGATTCTCTTTAACTCATCCAAACCTCTTACTTCAAGGAATTCCAACTTTCCAAAGGGAACAAGGATATCAGGATGTGCATTGGTAATATCCATTCCTTTCTCCATGTTTATTATTTCTTCTATGGTCAATGACAGAGTCACAGATAGACGCTTGAGGTTTTGAGCAAACAGCAACCATGTCAAATCCCTTGGACCTTGCAAGTTGAATATTTCAACGGTGGAGAGGTGTTGAAATCCGGCAGAACTTGTACTTTGAAGCTCCCCTGTTCCTTTGCTTTCCCAATCTATCTTTATCTCCAAGATTTGCGAGCACACAATTTCAACGTGTTGAAGGCCATTCAGAGCTACCGTGTTCAATACGATAACCGGGGCTGACATGTTTTTGATACATAAAGCTCGAATACTGCTCACTAGTCGGTCCACTCCTTGTATATTTTCCAAAACCAAGGCGTCATTTACAGTTGCTGTTAAGAGACTCAAGTTCTCCAAGAGTAGCAACTCTTCCATCAAACTGATATCAATACAAACACGAGAAGAAAACAACTTCAACACTTGCAGATTTGGTAGGCTTGAAGCTATCCCAACAATACTTTGAAGTTCATCAGTAAACTCCAGATTCAAGTTGATTAGTTTCTTCAACTCCTTTAAACTAGCTGGCAACCGTTTTATCCCTGTTGTTGATAAGTTGAGATACTGCAAAGAACCGAGGTTAGAAACTTCTTCCGGCAATCTAGAGAGACTCAAGTTCCTCGACAGATCCAGCACCACAAGTGCAGGCATAAACCGAAAAAAACCACCTGAAATATCCACCAGCTTGTTGTTTTGGAGTAACAGAGTTGAAAGGTTGGGGCAGTTGTCACTGCGAGACATCGTACCAATCTGATTACTCATTAAAGACATCCTTCTTAAAGTTTCCCAGTTGATGTCCTTTGGTATATGGCGTAACTGCGCACCGGATTTCACACAGATTGTTTCTTTCTGTTTCCCAAAGCCTGACGCTATCCAAAGAGCCATCTCGCGTATAACATCATGCATTTTCACTTTCGTCGTTAGTTCACCATCCATCAATAGATGAGCACGAACCAACGAGCCAATTATATCATGACCTTTGTTGATAGCTCCATCTTCTTCTTCTTCATCTCCATCTCCGTCTATAAATCCTTCGCATATCCAGTATTCTATCAACTCTTCCTTTTTAACTTCATAATCTTCCGGAAACAAAGAACAATACAGGAAGCACTGTTTGACCTTTTCGTCTTTTAAACTATCATAACTGAACTTCAAAATAGGAAGAATCTTCTCTTCCATACTTGGAAATTCGTGGCTTGACGAATTTAGAACATGAATCACATGATGCCATTCCTGAACAGTCTCTCTAGATGCCATAGCTTTGCCAATGACACTGAGTGCAAGTGGCAAACCACAACATTTTTCTGCTACTTTTCTTGCAAGGGTGGGGATTTCTTGATGGCTCTTTAATGGGATTGGCCCAACTTTCTTTTCAAACAATTCCCAGGCTTCATCTCGTGGCAGACAATCAACTTTCATCTCATCATCAACTTCCATGTCTTTGCAAACTTCTCTAGAACGGGTGGTGAAAACTATTTTGGATTCATTTTCTTGAGTTAAAGGTGGAACTCCAATCTTTTCTAAATCTACTTCGCTCCATAGATCGTCCAGTAACAGCACAAATTTCTTCACGTTGAGGAAATTGTATATGTAAGAGGCTTTCTCTTTTGCTGTTTCTTGCTTCCATTCTCTGTGAAGACCTAGTCTTCCCAAGATCTGTTCTTGAATACCCTCATTTTGCAAATCTTTAGAGACAACAACCCAAATCACAACATCAAACCCATTTGTCACTTCAAGGAATTTGTTGTTGATACAAGCTAAGAGGGTGGTTTTACCTACTCCCCCCATTCCGTACAGACCCATAGTTCTTGGTCCATCTTTCATGAGGCGGTTCCATGCCTTTTCGACCATTGTATCCAAACCAACTGTGGTTTGGATATGCTTCTTTTCCACCTTAGGTGCAGGCACTTTGTCCGCCACAACTTTAAAAACTCCTTTGGATACAAGTCCTTTAACTTCGCTCAACGTCTTCATTACCTTTTTACCATAATCACGGCCTGACATGAAATTCTTAGAACAATATCCACATAGACACAATCTTTCAGTTTGAAGTGACTTAGCCTTCAGCAGATCGTTGACTTGAGAACCAGAAACATTTACTCTTGAAAGCCATCCTTGGACTTGAGCAAGCCTTTGCAAACCTTTGTCTTCTTCTGCTGTAACTCTTCTTAACAGATCCTCTCGTCTTTCCTCGAGTTCTTGCATAGAGTTCTGCAGAGCCTCAAGATTTGCCTCCATCATACGAAAGTAATTTTTATCACCAAATAAGCAGCCACACGTAGGATTCCACGTTTGCTCACATGTTATTTGTAATGCTATACAGTTTCCCATCTTGCTTAATATTTCAAAAAGCAACCAGGATTAATGTCAAGATGGATGATCCAGGAAACACAAGAGAAGGTGTTGAATGGAGAAATTGAAAAGAAGAGTACAATCGTGTTCTCCTGAGATCATTTGAAAATGAAAAGTCAGACTGCAGTTTCTATTATCTTATTGAAAGTGGCATCTTGAAAGTCAATATGCTTGTTCGGATATCACAACATTGATAAACTATATATATTTTTAAATGATATTGACCATCACATTATGAAGAGCACAATTCTCTTTCAAACAATGTAATCCTTCCGGACGTCTCACGTAAATATTTATATATCAGAGTATGAACTATTAACCTAAGAGACGATGATGAAAATCAAATTCAGAACGTGAAGGAATGACACAAATGTAATGCAGATATTCGAAATTTGTCAAATGCAACATTCAAAACATAATATATACTCTTTACATATATCTTCAAAAGTGAGTATAATTGTATAAATTGTGTTAAGAGTTTTTAAAGGTGGTGATGTAATACAAATATAATAAGATGGCAATCACGCGTAGCTGTCATAAGAAGAAAAAGTCTGATGTTCCTTCAGATGTCACTCCATACTGCACAAGCACAACGAATTGTTAAATACCACGAGAAGAGGACTTTACTATTTTTTATCAACAAGATGACATTGAATATCAAATATCAAGTATAAAGAAAGCACACCACCTAATTTTTCTGTTGTTAACTTTCCTTTACTGGATCTCAATGCCAAACCTATAGGTTTGTTCGTTTGGGTTTACCAATGTTTTGTAAAACGAGGTACACGTACAAGTAAAGATTATTGTTGTAAACATAATCGCTAGTCTCAGACTAAGAAAAATGACGTTTGCTGATCAACTAGTTAGTCTTTTAAAAAGTACTATATCATGCGTTCACGGTAACATACCCATTAGTCCATTACCATATAAAGCAGCTTAAGTTTAAAACATGCTCCAGTCTCAAAAAGTGTTTATTACTGTGAGAAAATGTTGTGTGTATTACTGTTTGGAAATGAATAAATGTGACTAGTAAGTGTTTGGATTGCTATTGAGTAGTGTTTTCTCAAAATGTATGCGTCTCAGAATCAAAGTTTCTGATTCAGAAACATCAGTCTGATTCAAAGTTTATATTAAGTTATAGTATTGCATTGACACATGTCATAATTTAGATTAACATTAATATATTTCATGATCTGTATTTAAATTTACATAATAAATATTTGGCAGTAACTAGCAAGAGAAAGACAGAGAGGCCTCTGTCTTGTACGCTTAAGTTAAGTAGTGGTGGTTGTCATGTTCTTTGTGTTAATATTTAATTCTTCTCCTATACAAATCACAAATCTTTTTATTTTTGTTAATGCACAAATCACAATCTTCCTCTTAAACTCTTCTCTTCTCTCAAGTTTCCTCTGCAAACAAATTAAGCAAAGTCCATTCATCAAGAAGATTTTTCCAATGGCTAATCCTATCAAGAAAAACGCTCCGTTGTTCGATGGTAACGAAGATGATATAGGAAGGAGAAGAACATCTTGGCTTCAAAAACTTGTCGACGTTCAAGAATCCAAAGCTCAAATTATTTACTCTCTTCCAATGATACTCACAAATCTTTTCATTTATTGTATGCCTATAACATCTTTGATGTTTGCTTCTCGTCTCGGCCAACTCGAGCTCGCAGGGGCCACTCTTGCCAATTCTTGGGCCACCGTCACCGGTTTTGCCTTCATGGTACCATTCTCTCCATTTCTCAAGCTTTATATCCAACATTTTCTAGGGATGTACTAAAACAGCTTTCTTGCTATTTAAGACATCTTCAATGAACATCTGAAATTTGTTTTTAACATGCCTTGATGAATGTATGTTTATGAATAGTGGTCTATATACATATTAACAAGATTAGTGTCCTCTAATTTCTTAGACAGGGTTAAGTGGAGCTCTTGAGACATTGTGTGGACAAGGCTTTGGTGCAAAAGAGTACAGAATGTTGGGGATTCATCTACAATCATCATGCATAGTCTCATTAGTCTTCACCATCCTCATCTCCATCTTTTGGTTCTTCACAGAATCTGTTCTCGGACTTATGAGACAAGACCCTAACATCTCAAAACAAGCTGCACTCTATATGAAGTACCAAGCTCCCGGTTTACTTGCTTACGGGTTCTTACAAAACATTCTGAGGTTTTGCCAAACACAATTCATCGTTACTCCGCTAGTCATCTTCTCGTTTGTTCCCTTGCTGATTAATATCGGTATCTCGTATGTTCTGGTCTATTTGTCTGGCCTTGGATTCATTGGTGCTTCATTAGCTACATCTATTTCACTGTGGATAGCTTTTCTTTCTCTTGCAACGTATGTGGTCTGTTCAGACAAGTTTAAGGAAACATGGACTGGTTTTTCATTAGAATCATTCCGTTATGTTGTGGTAAACTTGAGATTAAGCCTTCCTTCTGCTGCTATGGTATGGTAAGTTAGATCAATAATTAACTACTTAATTTCATATGCTGATGAAGCTTAGGAAACTATCTAAATTTGAACTTCTTGTTACCAGTTTGGAATATTGGGCGTTCGAGCTCCTTGTGCTCTTGGCAGGACTGATGCCGAATCCGGAGATTACCACCTCTTTGGTAGCTATATGGTAAACTTTTATATCACTATTTAGTTTTACGTTCTGTTTCATATTAACAAAAGTAGCTCATGTTGGATCGTATTTGAAATGTTAAATCAAATCAGCGTAAACACAGAAGCGATAAGCTACATGTTAACATACGGTCTTAGCGCAGCTGCAAGGTTTGTTAATCTCATCAGTTGTCTCAAGACTTTGTATTTTCCTAGTAACTTTTTTTTTTTAAAATGCAATATTGAAAATGTAAGAATGGTTCTTGTAGTACGCGTGTGTCTAACGAGCTTGGAGCAGAAAATGTAAAAGGAGCAAAGAAAGCGACTTTAGTAACCATGAAGCTGTCTTTAGTTCTTGCTCTCGGAGTAGTGGTTGCTTTGCTTGTTGGTCATGATGATTGGGTCGGGTTATTTAGCAATAGTCATGTGATTAAAGAGGATTTTTCATCGTTAAGATTCTTTCTTGCTGCCTCTATAACTCTTGATTCAATCCAAGGTGTTCTATCAGGTAATCAAAGATTCAAGAAATTAAAACCATCTTCTTTTTTTTCGATATCATCAAACGCGAAAAAAACCTCATTTTTTATTGTTTAATTTACAGGAGTGGCTAGAGGGTGCGGATGGCAGCATATAGTTACAGTTATAAATTTGGGAACATTCTACTTAATTGGAATGCCTATTGCAGTCTTTTGTGGTTTTAAGTTGAAGTTGCATGCCAAGGTAAATGCATGATTCTCTTATAAAATTGGTAAATGCAAAATTAATGTTTTTATTTGTGATGTACTGATGTTTTGTTCTGATTCACTGTGAAAACAGGGTTTGTGGATCGGTTTAACATGTGGACTATTTTCCCAATCCTCATCACTCTTGCTTATGACAATTTTCCGGAAGTGGACTAAGCTGAATGCTACGGTCTGAAAACTAGTTAAGAGCTTATAGTGCGTAAGCCTATCTAATCTAACCTCTGTCAGGTCATTTAGAGTTGTCTACCAAAGTAATGGATTGGACAAGTTTGAAATTTTGTTCTCTTATTTATCTTTTTTCTTTATTGTTTCTAGTGATTGGGACTTGGTTAGATGAGGTGTATGTGAAGTAGATTGTAGAGTATTATAAATTGTGAATTAACTCTCTGACCACAACCATAAGTTCAGATAGTGTAATGAGATAAATGAGACATGTATGTGAGGTGGAAACTTGATCAATGGGATTGTATAATTATGTGATCATATTACAGAGAGATGATTTAAAGCATTAATTAAGTCATCAATTTCAAGTGTGACAACATGCAGATACAGACATAATGTTAGATCAGATGGCCCACTTTATTTGATTGCTATGAGAAGAAGTGTGGAAAACATCGTTCAAACTTATAAATGACCCAACTATTTGGTCTCTCGCGAGCAACGTCTTTGACCTATCTTCGCGGCATATGGTGGTGACAAAACAATGTTCAAACATTAACCACATGTTGTTTTTCTTATAGTAATTTTTACAAAACAGTATAAGGTTTAAATATTTCATTAACTTTAGAGGCCTAAAGAACAATCTTTAATTTAGTGATTGTTTTTTTGATAAAAGATTTTGTGGCCAATATTTTTTTAAAAAAAAGACTTGGTCAAATATTCATCCCAATATTCATTGTACTTTTTTTTTATCAGATGATTATTGAGAACTCATGATTATTTATGTCACAGTTTATTTTTTTTTAAAACATAGAGGAAAGAGAGAATAATTAAAGTTTTTTTAGAAAATAAGCCATTTTTTCAACAAAATAAAAGCAGGCACATGTGACTTTAAAAAGTATGTAACCTACAGCTTTTATTTTACTAACCTTAACAAACGCAGGGGCCTCATCACTGACTTTGTTCAAAAAGTTATGAAATTATTACATATGATACTTTTTTTTACAGAGTAGTATGTTCCAGCGTTTTTTCCCGCATATAAAAATATATGAATTTCGTCTTTCTTACTTTAAAAGCTCTTTTGGTAAACAGAAAAGCAGAAAATTAACAGCTTCATTCACTCACCATGCCTAAATGAAACTTTTATAAAGAAAATATTTTCAAGTGTATAATGTATTTATCTTAGACCATCTCCAACCCCTCATGCCATATGTTATTGCAAATGGCAAAAATATAGCAATAGCATTGGGTTTCTCTCCAACCCCTCATGCCATATATCATGCTATAATTTTTTTCCAACTTATTATTAATTGTTAAAACTACTTGATTTCTTCAAATTTTACAAAGTGAATCATTTGTTTTTCTTTTTTTGCAAAAACAACCAGAATTATATTTTTTTTTATTATTATAATATTAAAACAAAATACATCATATTACATAAAAATTATAGAAAACAAAGATTTTAACCTATTGTTTTATGTTTTTTGAATTTCAGTATTTTTAAAAATAAAATTTAAGTTTATTATGGTTATGTTTTTATATTTCTATGAAATAAATATTATTTATATTTTGAAAAAGTTATGAGTATTGTTTATTTATTTAAATAAATCATAATCAATATAATTAAACTGTTAAATTAAAAGTAATTACAAATTGAAGGACTATTTTATAAATAAAAAAGTTCAATGGCAAAATAGCATATTGCATAATCTCATGCCAAATATAGAAGCAAAAATAGCATGATGCTATTTTGCAATAGCATATGCAATTGGGTTGGAGCAAAAATTATGGCAAAATAGCATATATGTCATATTTAGCATGGGTTGGAGTTACTCTTATACTCATTGTAGGTTGCTAATAAATGGAAAAACAAAAAATTGAAGTGTGTGAGAGAGGTGGGCCTAGCTCTGACTTTCAGGCTTAACTCAATGCTTGCCTCTACTTGCGTTTACTATTTAATATCTTACCTTCCTTATTTAATTCAATCCTTCACATATACAAATCACAATTCTCTTCTTTCAACATCTTCTCTTCTCTTCTCTTCTCTTCTCCCATTCTCAAGTTTCTTCAGCAAGCAAATTAAGCAAAGTTCTTCATCACCATATAAGATCAAATGGTTGATCACATCACAACGAGCTCTCCTTTGTTGGAATATCATGAAACTGGAGGAGATGATAGAGAAAGGAGAAGATCATCTTGGGTTCAAAAAGTCATCGACGTGGAAGAGTCCAAGGCTCAAATTCTTTACTCTCTTCCAATGATACTCACATATCTTTTCATTTATGGTATCCCTATAACATCTTTGATGTTTGCATCTCACGTCGGCCAACTAGAGCTCGCTGGTGCCACACTTGCCAATTCGTGGGCATCCGTCACCGGTTTTACCTTCATGGTACCCATTCCCTCTATGCTCCAAGCTTTGTAACCAACATTTTCTTTTGATTTTTGGTTCAGAATATTTGTAAAACCAACATATTCTTTTTTTTTTTTTTTGGTCTTAACTTTTCAGACAGGGTTAAGTGGAGCTCTTGAGACGTTGTGTGGACAAGGCTTTGGTTCAAAAGAATACAGAATGTTGGGGATTCATCTGCAATCCTCATGCATAGTATCATTAGTCTTCACCATCCTCATCTCCATTTTCTGGTTCTTCACAGAATCTGTTCTCGGACTTCTCGGACAAGACCCTGACATCTCAAAACAAGCTGCACTCTATATAAAGTACCAAGCTCCCGGTTTACTCGCCTACGGTTTCTTGCAAAACTTGCTGAGGTTTTGCCAAACACAGTCCATCGTTACTCCTCTAGTCATCTTCTCATTTGTTCCTTTTGTGTTTAATATTGTTATGGCGTATGTTCTGGTTGATCTGGCTGGTCTTGGATTCATCGGTGGACCAATTGCTACATCTATTTCACTTTGGATAGCTTTTCTTTCTCTTGTAACGTATGTGGTTTGTTCAGACAAGTTTAAGGAAACATGGACTGGTTTTTCATTAGAATCATTCCGTTATGTTGTGATGAACTTGACACTAAGTCTTCCTTCTGCTGCTATGGTATGGTAAGTTAGTCCAGTAACCATTATCAGTTCACATACTGTTTGAAGCTGAGGAAACTATCTAAGTTTCAACTCTTGTTACCAGCTTCGAATATTGGGCGTTCGAGCTCCTTGTGCTCTTGGCAGGACTCATGCCGAATCCAGAAATTAACACCTCTTTGGTAGCTATATGGTAAGTTTTATATCACTACATTATTAATTTAATTTACGTTCTGTTTCATATTAACAAAAGTAGGTCATGCTGAATCGTGTTTGATATGTTAAATCAATTCAGCGTAAACACAGAAGCGATATGCTACATGTTAACATACGGCCTTAGCGCAGCTGCAAGGTTTGTTCATCTCATCAATCTTTTCAAAACTCTGTATTTTCCTCTTACAATAATATTTTTTGTTTGAAAATGCATATTAAAAAATGTAAGTATCAATTCTTGTAGTACACGTGTGTCTAACGAGCTTGGAGCAGGAAACGTAAAAGGCGCAAAGAAAGCTACTTTAGTAACCATGAAGATGTCTTTAGTTCTTGCGCTCGGCGTTGTGGTTGCTTTGCTTGTAGGTCATGATGGTTGGGTTGGGCTATTTAGCAATAGTCATGTGATTAAAGAGGAGTTTGCATCATTTAGATTCTTTCTTGCTGCCTCTATAGCTCTTGATTCAATCCAAGGTGTTCTGTCAGGTAAAAGATCCAAGAAATCTTATTCTTTTTTAATATCACCAAAAGTGAAAAAAAAAACCTCATATATTTTTTTATCTATCTACAGGAGTGGCCAGAGGATGCGGATGGCAGCGCATAGGCACAATTATAAATTTGGGAACATTCTACTTAATTGGAATGCCTATTGCAGTCTTTTGTGGTTTTAAGTTGAAGTTTTATGCCAAGGTAAATGCATGGCTCTCTTATGAAACTGATAAATGTAAAATTTATGTTTTTTATGTGTCATGTGTTCTGATTCATTGTTTTGGTGAAAACAGGGTTTGTGGTTTGGTTTAACATGTGGGCTATTTGGCCAGTCGTTATCACTCTTGCTTATGACAATTTTCCGGAAGTGGACAAAGCTGAATGCTGCGGCCTGAAAACTAGTTCTAAGGTTATGGTGCGTAACCTAACTGATCTAACTTATGTCAGGTCATTTAGGTTTACCAAATTTGTGGATTGTTGAGCCGTTTGGGATTTACGTAGAGATTGTTGTAAGGCTTCATGATTTTTCCCTCTTTTTCTTTTGTTCTGAAAAGATGGATCCATGTTATGACAATGAAACATGCAGCAGATATAGACATAATGTTAGCTCAGATGGTCCCACTTTATTTGATGCGTCTAAGGAGTGTGGAAAACGTTCTTCAATCTTAAAGTTTCCCAATATTTTGGTATCTCGCTGACCAGTTCTTTAATTGTATTCGTTGTATATGGGTTACAAAACAGTCTGTTCAAACAATAACCATATGTTGTTGTTTTCTTTCGTTTTCTGTGATATATATAATCAGAAACAGGTATGTGGCCCAAAACTTTAGTATGCAACCTAAAGGCTAAAGCTTTTGCTTTACTAACTTTAACCTTAACCAACGCCGGGGCCAATCATTGACTTTGTTTTTCGAAAAAGGTTATAACATAAGTCAATCATTCGTAAATAAAGTAAAATGATTGATTTGGTTACAGAGTAAATTATCATATCCCAAAGAAGTGAAACATTATTGTACGGAGGTTCTTGCCAAATAAGTGAAACATCGTTTTGATAAATTCTTTAACTAGAGATGATGATTCAGGACTGAGTAAATGTAATGGTGTAATTGAATTCATCACACGTTTGTAACAAAGACAGACAAATGAATCAATCAACTAAATGCACACATCTGCACAAACTTTCCAAAGCCCACAAAGAGATGGAAATGAAAACAAGAACACAAACATTTTGTTGAATAAAAATCATAACCAAAGCCAACAAACGATAAACCTATAACATTAAACCCAATTTTTATTTGCTGTTTCTGAAGAAGTTGAGATCCCATTTGCGTATTAACCCGTCAAAGACCTTCCCCGGTGCGCTACTACTACGTTCAACTGTCACTGTGGTCTTTGTAACTGCTGACATGTCACTGGTCTCGCTGGCCTTCTGGCTTGAATTGCCTGGAACAGAAGCGTTTACAAGAGAAGCAGAAGTCTCACTTGGAGCATTCGACTCAGAAGATGATGGTACTAAGTCCTGGCTACGTGTTGCTGGAACGGAAGCAGAATCAGTCTCGGATTGGTTTCCTCGAGTTGAAGTTGCTTCTTCCATGGAAAGAAGACGTTGTTGTGCAGTTAAAAAATCAGAGCCGCCATGAACACGATGATTCTCGGGAGGCTCTTCTTTCTGCTGAAGACTTTGCACTTCCAAGTCCTTCAATGATTCCATCACCGCTTTCATAAGCATCTGAATCAAGTAATAAGATTTATGAGAATGTCATCAATAGAACATGAAACATCTTAGAAGCTTTTGATCTCAATCTCACCCTTTCTTCTTCCTCTGCATTAGATGGGATGTCTTCCAAGTGATACTCCCCATACTGATCATCATCTAAAGCCATCGCAAGGTGAGGAGGGTATCGATCGCCGTTTGACAAATCAAAGCTAATCATTTCAGGAGATGATGAACTGTCACGGCCATCATGATTCTCTTTTTCCTGAAACGAAATCATTACGCCACATCAGTCTCTGTTGTTACAAGAAAAGCACAACAGAAGAAAAGCAAACAAGGGAAGTCAGAGAAACTGATCTTTATACCTTAGTTTCTGATGAAGAACCGTTAGATGTGACATTGGAAGGAACCTGAAGAAAGTTGTAAAAACCATCAATAAAGAACCAAACATCCAAAACCTATGCACAAAAGCCTTCTTGAGTAAACTGTATTGAAGTATTTAAAAGAATCAGGTTAGTCAAGAATTACTGACATCTGTGCGACTCATGGGTCTTTTCATGCGGACTTCATTGAGTGCGTCAGAGATGCTACTCGCGGCTAAACCTGAGATATTGACAAAAGATATCACCTTTGAGCCTCAAATAAAAACTAACCACAAACTTAAGAGGAAGACAAGTATGGCTCACTTTTCTGTACTGAGGATTGTGGAATATTTGTGTCATGCATAGTTCCCCAACTGCCCTGAACACAAAATAGACAACACTATTGACGTTTCTTGATGCAGAACCAAGAAAGAAAAAAAACTTAACAGTCATATGTGCCACGGTCGCATTACCTTTGCAAAGTAATCATCCAACGGATCATAAAACGTCGGCCCAACCACCTCAGGAGGTTGAAGAACGTTATGGAAAAATATATTTATTGAATCAAAGTAGAATTGAGGCCGTGGAGAGTTGTGGTCTCCCTCAAATTTGATGATATTTTTGTCGCCCTATCATAAAGGTATGCACATAGATGGTAGTTATACCGAAGCACATAGAAGGTGGTGCAAGACGAGGGGAAGGCTATCAAGAATTGAATACTTACTATGTAGGCTTCATATATACGATCTGAATGATGAGGACGGATAAAGTCATCATCTAAGGCATGTCCAAATAAAACCGGAACAAAAGAAGACTTTGCCACCTGAAGCATGAAAGATACATTTTCCAATTAAAAACTTTCGCAATCAGCAGAGAGATCATGACAAGCAATGATGCTGTTGTGTATATATCATATGTGTATGTATATAAAAGAGACGAACAAATAGGGAACACAACCTTAATGGTGTTCAGATCGGTTATATCAAACTTTGCTTTCTTCTGAATAGCTCTCCGCATAAACTGTATAGCAAATTTCACCTGAATATACAGAAGAGAGAGAGAGCTTAAAACCATAAAGATAAAAGTAATGTGGAAGCCTTGCATTATAAAGAACAAATTCCACCAGAAACAATATAAATTTACTTACAGTGAACTTCGGTAGACGAAACTTATATGTATCAACAAGTTCCAGCATCAGATCAACCAAATCGGAGAAGGGGCTGTCTAATATCATTCCCGCAATCGAAGGATCTTCGGCTCCATACATTAAGCTGTAACAGAAAAATGATGATTCAACACATTGATATCACAGTTTAGAAGGCAGCACAAGTGATTGCAATAATAAGTTCCTTATTTCAAAACTTCATATAATCTCTTGTGGTGATAGGTATGGCTAATCATTGGCAAGTACTACAGCACCTATCATGTAATACGGAATAATGAATATGCTCTTAGTAAATTGACAAATTAGATACTTGAACGAACCTAGTAACAGCACCCATTGAACGCCCCCATAACCCAATCAGGGATATATTTCCATCCTGCCGCAAATACTCAACCACAGCCTTCAGATCATCCTTCTGCAAGCACTCACAACAGGTTTAACACTTGTAAGGAAAATGATCACTCATATCTCAGAATTAAACAATGCCTTTGTGGTGAAGAAAAAGACGCAGAGAAACTGGTCACGGACCAAAACTGATCTATACAGTTGCAGTCTAAACATGAACTATTGTTTCTATGTCCACCAAAATCAAGTGGAATGTCTTCATAGAGATAAAAACATGGTAACTCTACAGGCAATAGCAAAATCCTACTGGTTTACATGGAAAATAATGGGAACAAATTGAACAGAAATGATCAAAGGAGGACATACTTCGTTCCAACCTAAGGTGACATGTTCACCGCCTGAGAGACCAGATCCCGAAAAGTCGAGGGTGAAAACTGTGATGTTTGAAGGCAGCAACATAACAGCGGCTTCACTACCATCCGCTCTACATCCACTGAATGACAGATTTGCAGTGCCATTAAAAAATGCTAAAAACTACGAGGACCAACAGTAAACCAAAAGGGCAAAAGGACAACAGGAAGTACAAAGTTAAGCAATCCAACTCAAACCATATTCCTGATAGTTAACTAGCTCAAAAGATCTTTTATCAAACGAAGCATTACAACAGTACCTGTTTCCATGGCAGTAAATTACACAGGGCAAAGGCTTCCCTTCAGGACGTTCAACTGGCATGTAATGACTACACTGGAGAACATCTCCTCTACTGTTCTTAACCTGCCAAAGACACATCGTAACACTCAAGTCCGGAATCGGGAATCAAAACACTTTTCACTTACTTACTAATTGTTCTGATCAGCTTTCTTTTACTTCCGTATGCTTATTGGTTACCATAAGGTTCATAAACTACACACACACACACACCTTACTTCTACAAATAGATTGACTTTACAGGAACAAACAACAGTAGGGACCTCCATTGTCACAAACCCCATCTATTACTTCAGTACACAGAGAAGGTTCCACAAAAAAACAGAGAGAAGCTTTTACCTCTAAATCCTTTCTCTGATACCATCTACCTTTCATCATGAACTGCTTTTCCAAGAGATCATGTTCCGGGTCATACTCAGCTCTGCACCAAACAAGCCAAATAACAAATTGGTAACATTCTGATGAATGTTTATAATCTATGAGCTACATTTCTACTTTATCTCCATCCTAGTAACGTCTCAACACTCCAAAAGTCCTAAAGAGTTATATGTCACAAAAAAAAAACTAAACTTTGGACACGTTCTTGAATTCCCAGCTGACATAATAAGAAGATTCCTAATCAGGACCCTAGTGGAATCTGAATAGTATTGAGACAGAGTAATCACGTGGGGTGCAGAAAAAGAAGAAACTTGATTATTTTCATCAGAAAGTCAAGCGAGTACAGATTAACATGAATACAAGTAAATGGTAAAATAGGAACAAGACAAAATTTGCAAAAGGATTCGAAGCGGTCCACATAATTTTTTTTCTGGCAAACATCTAATCACTGGAAAAATCCAAATTCAAATCCGGAAATCTAAAATTCAGTGGAAAGTCTAATACTTGCAATCCCAGGGAAATGAAATTGGGAAAATTGAAAGACATCAAAAGCAAATCCCAGGTAAAGCGTAAAGAAGGAAAGAGAAGCTTTACCTTGGAGGTCGAATGATGAAGTTAACAAGCTGCTCCATTAGAGAATCAGATGAATTTACTACTGTTATCTCATATCTTTCCTACCTAATGTTCTCTCGATTGGTCAAGTCGAAGAAGCCCGAAAACGGAATAAATTTCGATTAATTAAAAGTAGAATTACGCCTGTAGAACCCTAATTGAAAGGAGGAAGAAGAAGATCGAGTTGTTTGGGAGAAGAATCAGTGAGATCGAGAGGAGGAAGAAGAAGAAAAGAAAGCAAGGGAACGAAGCTTCAGAGAACGGATTTTTGTTGTTATTTATTGTTATTCGTTTTCAATTTCTGTTACTATATGATTCTGAGATGCAAATTTTCTTGTGATTTATTAAAGCCACACGTCTCGACATTTATTGGTTATTAGGCTGTAACCATTTTAATCTATTACTAGATTAGAGAGATATGCGTACCTAAAGTTTATAATTTAAAAGTAACCCTTGAAAAAAAAAAAAAAAATACAACTGAATGTAAGACCAAGAAAGAAACCTAACAGTTTTAAAAATCTAACAATAAAAATACAGTTAAAACTTAACTATGTTAAAAACATATTGATATTTCTTTTGCATGTTCAATCTTTGAAGATTTTCTTAGATCTTAAAATATTAGCAAAAGATATAGTTATTAAAAATAATTAATTTATTTATTTTCGTATTTCCAAACATAGATAATCATTTTGTGGGTAAATTTTGTAGGTAAACTGTAAATTAATAAATCTATTATACGCAAATGAAAGCTGAAATGGGTTTTTGTTGTTCTTTGCTTGCAAAGTATGCAAAAACTTGCCTACATTTTTAGGTGAACAGTCGAGTTTGGCATTTTCATAATAAGCTAATACTAGTATTTAAAAGTTTCCAATGAAAGTTGACAAAAGCATCTATGAGGAAGATAGGTGATGCATAAGGTTTGGTATTTGGTCTTTCTGTCAATGACTATATAATAAGGAGTCTTGTAAGGAGCATGTGGCCTCACTTGTTAAGTTAGTTGAAATGTTGCATGCAAGTCTCAAGTGAACTAAAGCATTTTCATAGTAAGCTAATACTATTTTAAACGTTTCCAGTGAAAGTTGACAATAGCTCATTTGGCTGGACACAGTACAAAACTGTATGAATCAGTCAGTCATGAGAGCTAGAGCTTCTGTGAATGATCATAAGAAATGGGTTTCTTTCGGAGTAAAAACTCAACTCTTACAATCTAGCAGACCAAATAAATGAATAATCAATCATACTAGTAATATTTCATCTTTTGATTGTATAATGGATAGAAAAATAAGCAATTGCTCTCAGGAGACATAATAAGCAGAAGGGAAGCCCTTGTATGAATCAGCGAATGCAGCTACATTCCCTGGACGCGAGAATACCACCTGTAACGTGTAATTGAATTGTTCATACAAGAAGTTTAAATAAAAAAAGTAATTTCAAGATCTCAGAGTGAAGTTAAAAAGCATGGTAATGTTATTATTATTAGTACCTGGTAGTTTCCAAGGGTAAGAGTCTTGAAACCAGCTGCGCAATAATCAAAATAGTATTCCCATGTCCTTATGAACTTATCATCAAATCCTAGAGCCATGATTTGTCTGCACAAACATTGTGTGGAAATGTTAGTAAGCAGAATGAAGCAAGAAGAAGAAAAAAAAACAGAGGAGATGTTTAGTCTTACTTTTGTCTCCCCAAGAAGTTCTTCCTCCACAATCTCAATGTTTGGTAGTAATGAATTCCAATGTTCTCAACGTGTTCAATGCTGTATATATTTCGTCAGTGTTAGATAAATATCATTAAGAGATGGCGCAAGAAGTAACTATTTTCTGGTGAAGAAGACTTTACCATAGCCTAGAAGAAGAGGACATGGCTGAAGTAACTCTAGCTAAAGAAGGAAGACATCCCCCAGGGAAAATGTATTCTTTTATGAAATCTGAACTTAGTCTGTACTCATTGTAACGCTCTTCGGGTATTGATATGAACTGTTATGGTTTCAAAACATTACAAAAAACAATCAGTGATTATCAAGAAAATGTTTGATAATTTCTCCAAAAAGATAAGAGGCAAACTATGAGTTACCTGCAAGACAATTAAGCCGTTTTCTGCAAGCGCAGCTTCACAGCGACTGAAGAACATCTCCATGAACTCGTGGCCAACTGCTTCTAACATCTCACTGAACATATCAGAAAATGTTAATGTCATAACTCATAAGATAGATTTATAGAGTTTATATTAACAAAGAAGGTAAAATAAAACAGAGTTTCTTTTACCAAGATATGATCCTGTCATACTTGTGAACATCAGATAGTTGGCGATAATCGCAGAGCTCAAACTTAATCCGGTCCTGGAGACTCAGAAGTTATATCATTAGTCATAGCCTTGGAAATTTAGAAACCAAGATCCAGATAATGGATTATATAGACAAACCTCAAGACCAGCTTCTTTCACTTTTTCTTCTGCATACTTAAGCTGTTCAATAGATAGAGTAATGCCAGTGTATTTGCATCCAGTTCTTCTCACTACTTCTATGGCTAAAGTTCCCCATCCGCATCCAATCTCCAAAACCTCATGGTTCTTCTCTATTCTCGCCTGAAAATGTCCCGTTGTGATTATTCAAGAACAGAGAAAATCTTGTTTTTAAATCAAGAAAATGCTCTTTTCCTTACCTTATCAATTAGGAGAGATATTTTTCTCATCTGTGCAGTTTTCAGATCCTCATCATCTGACTATAAACGAAAGGTTGAAGTCAGAATCTTAAGAAAAGGAAGATAAACCGACAAAAAGTTAAAATATGTTTTTGCCACCTTGAATACTGCAGAGGAGTAAGTCATGGTATCATCCAAGAAGAAACCGAAAAGCTCGTTGCTCTGTGAAGTAACCGAACAGAGAATTTGATCATTAACCAAAAACACCGAGGAAGTGCTCATTTAAATTTAAAGAGAGGAAGAGATTGAAGCAACATACAAGGTCATAGTGACGAGAAATGTTTCTACGAGCTTGTGTCAAAGTGTTCTGTCTAGAGACATGCTTTAGAAAATACTTTGCAGATGCTAAACCAGCAGTCAGAAACATCGGTGTCCACCATCCTCTGCAAGATAAAAAAACACAAGTGAAAGCTTAGAAGATGAAGCTTGCATGCTAATCTTAAACCCTTAATACAGAAAGTTCACCTTTTCTTAGCATGATTTGATTTTGATGACCCATCTCTATTAGCAATGAGAATCTGCAGAAAATTTATATCAATAAGTTGAACAAGCTAAGAAGTAAGTCTCTATGCTTCTACACGTATATAATATAGTACCATAATCAGATTCAAAAGTCCTGAGTCTTTATCCACAAAAGAAAAATCCCCATTGATATAAGCATCTGCAAGTCCTAAATCCGCTTGTGTCATAACCTGAGGGAAGAGAATCAAGAATTAGGTTCTTGAGCTATGGGAAAACTATTATAACTTTCTTATTGTACCTTCCAGTAAAACTGAGGACTGTGAATCTTGAGGATAGATTTCAACGGACAAGTAGAATCTTTTCCTCCGAATGTGAACATTGTTCCTCCTTCTTCTAGTAATCTGTTAAGTTCATAGCGGTAAGTATTGATTTTAACTGTGGCCTAACATAATATAATCTAACTGGGACGAGATAGAGTGAGCCTCACGTTACACAACCGGTGGATATGAACTGTCCCATGAATCTAGTAACAAAAACTCGAGCTCCTGTTTCGGTTAGGGAAGGGACCATATGTCTCGGATTGTTCAGCAGAGCGGCTTCTTTCCCTAACAAACCTCTTGCAGCCGCCATACCAGCCTGAAGAAGATATTAACAAAACTTGTGAGATATTAGAAAATGCAATGTGTAGTAAAGAGAAGGGGGCTTCAAGTATATAGAATTTGATCGTTACCTTTAGTCCATCTTCATGGAAACCATAACCTGAAAGGGAGATTCATCTAAGGATTAAAACCATGGAAACAGAGAATTAATTGATTTAAGGTTTTCAAAGTGTTTACCATGATATGCACCACAGAACCATATGTTACGTTTGCCCTGAATCTTGTGAAGCTCTTGTGAAGCTGTCCAAGCTGCAACAGAAGGCACAGGGTGACCAGTGGTCCATTTGAGCAATGTCTTCTTTGGGGTCTGGTCAGGGTTAAGTGTTACGAAGAATGGTTCACGTTCCTCTCCAAGGTTCTGCACCAATACACATCAATATAGATCCCATCACGATTTAGCTTAAAAGCTCATTGGTGTCTAACAAATCTGATGACAGAAAAAAAGAATGTAGAATGTGTTTTCTGTACCTGAAGTATATTGAGCCAGTATGTTACACATACTTTCTTTTCTGTACTTCCTAGGAAATTCCATGAGCTCCAAGCTGCTCGGCTTTGTGGCATTAAACTAATGTCACGATGGAGATATATATCGCTGCTATCCAAGGAAGAAATGTCAATGGATCGCTTGATTTTGAGATCAAAGGTAACAACATAAGTTGTCAATGTTTCAAACCTGTAAACATATCGGAAAGCACCAAGAACCCTAGTCTCATCGAACGTGACTTGTTCTCCAAGCAATCGTAGAGCATCTGGTGCGTGCATAGCCAATATGCACCTGTCGAATACTTCTTCAGACCCATCTCCACTTGTTACAGTCACACCACCACCTTCAGATGTCAAAACAGATTTTACATCGCAGCTTGTTCTGATCTTGCATCCTAATCGCTCCAATTCTGCCCTAACCTGATCCGTATGTAACACGTTAGGCTCAAATGGATATGAACCATACAAAGCACAAGCATGTTTACACATCTTTGGTTTAGTTTAGAACCTTTGCGACATAAGTCTGAGAACGTCCTGCAACAGTTAGCCATTGTGGCCTTCCAAAGATCTGAGAAACGGTTAAATTAAGCTAAGAAACACCGAGAAAATTGAATGAAAATGAGAAACATGAGAGATGATTAAAGAACCTGAAGAAGGTGGTGGTTGCAGCAAAACGAAAGAACAGAGTAAGCAGAGAAGCTTAAGACACCATCAGATGGACATGACCATATCGAACCACAAATGGGGACCTACTCCACAGACATATATAAACAGAGGTTACTTCTTCTCCAAGAAAACTTCAAACAACATTTTTGACTGACCAATTAAAGAAAAGGCCTCACCAAGTAAGCGTTCTGAAACATCTCAGAGTATCCACGGGAATTTAGGAACTCTCCTAAGGTTTCGCTTCGACTAATATCGGGATTAGCCTCAAGCTCTTGGATGTATCTTAAAACGTCTTCTCTAAATTTAACAATTTCTTTGATCATCTGCCAAAAATACGGATTCAAAACGTTCTTCTTTTGAGCAAATAAACCAGAGACACCGTTTCGGCTTCCCCATTCACAACCTTTGCCATTGTCAAGGCTCACTGCGAAAGACATATCTGAAACCTCCATGTCTACTCCTAGATTCTCAAAGAACTCCATCATGTTTGGATATGTAACCTGTCAATTATTTATGAACATACATATGATCAAGACCCAAACGTTCTAATATGAATTTTTAAAGATTATGATTGACGTTTATTACATTTTGAGAGTAATTATATTGTGTAATATGAACTATTGTTTGCGCAAACTCACTCTACAGCTTCATAAAACTGTATTAATATATGTATCATCACTAATTAGTAATTAACAATGACTAGTTTCTTTGTGAGTCATGGAGATAATTTGGACGTGTAAGTGCTAACTGCTAACAATAGATAAAGTTATATGTTCAAAGTTTATATGGTCACAAGATGAAAATGAGTTGTCCTATCATTTTCATTTCATGTATAAAAAAATCATTATTTCGCAGTCTTAACGACAAAAAGCATCTTATCAATAAAAACTCACAGTCGGTCTATATTTGAATATACCATGTACGTCGGATCGTGAAAAACAGTTAATCATAAAAAATACGTTTGACTTAATTAAATTTAAAATAACATGCTAAAACTCCTGTGTTGATTAAAAAATTCCAAAACATAAAATAATCTAAGCCTTTAAAAAGCACAATAGTGTGAGTGTATGGAAAAAAGAACCAGAAACAAAAAAATTGATAAATAACTAGAAAAAATATTAAAATAAACCCAAAAAAACACAACACAAGGTATGGTCCATCCGTCGACAGAGGACACATAAAGGCAAAGCCTCAATTATCATCACATTTTTCTTGGAAAAAAGAAAATTCCAGATATCTAACTTTCTGTTTTGACATATATAACTTTTTTTTTAATTAATAGTAATAAAAAAAAAATTAAGATGTGCGAAAGGGAAAGGGATACGTACACGATTGAAGACCATGAACCCAAGGTCCAAGTCAACGCCATCAAAACGCACAGTTTTAGCATGACCACCTAATGACTCTTCTTTCTCGTACAATACAACCTCTTCGACTCCTCCTTGATTAGCAAGAACGTATGCACTTCCTAATCCACTTATTCCACTTCCTATCACCGCCACTTTCATTTTTCTTTTTCTTCGTTTCCTATTGAAAAATGTTCAATTTTTAACGAAATTTATCTCCTACATTGTACAAAATAAGTTTCATTGACCACCAACAAAAAAAAAGATTTATTGACCTGATAAAACGGATTTGACTTCTCAACGGATTTGCGAATAATTAGTTTTTCGTTATAGAAACTGGAGATTTTTGCACAAATTTTTTGAACAGAGACAGTGAATGATTTTTTTTTTTTTGTTAAAGTCAGTGAATGATTTATACATACCATGTATATTCATTGTTCATATACATGTTGGAGCATTAAAGACGTGAACAATGGTAGACTCGAATTTATTACTGACGTTTTCTTCTTCTGTCCTCTCATAAACCCAAAAAAAAAAGTTTATTTTCTACATTAAAGAAAAGTACAATGGTAGACTCGAATCTATAGAGTGACCATTCTTCTTCTACCAAATTTTATTTTAAATTACTTCTGAATCTAACTCATAGATATGTATATGCAAAGACATCAGAACAAGAACTAGACGCCAGTGAAAAACATTTGTAAGAAGCAGAAGAAAAGGAGAAATGTAGTGAGAGCTTTACCTCTTTTAACTTGAGATGCAATGGAATTGGATCTGAAGATGGAAATGGATTCACAGTTTACTGGATTGAGTCCAGAGAGATACTGTTGTTTCCGGATTTCTTGGGATTCTGAAACCGAAATTTGGTTTTTGTGTTTCCTTTTCTTCTGATTTATTGTCTAAAAAAATGGGATTAATTTGGAGAAGCGAAAATGAAATTGAAAGTGAAGAAAGTTAAGGAGTAAGAGAAGTATTGGATGACTTTAAAAGAAAACAATGGTGCCAAGGAGATAAGCCAGCCTCATTGTGTTTTGTGCTTATATGGCAAATCCATATATATAGACCAAAACTTAAAGCTGTGTTTGGCTCTTTATCTAACACTCGACGTTTGCGTTTCTCAAACTTATCCCGTTTTTTTTGTTTTTTGTTTTTTCTCATATAAATTGAATATTCCCTCTTTTTCCATCTGATGTTCGTATAATCGTATTGCCCTATTGGACCAAAGAATATTTATCTCATTTGTGTTTTTTTTTTAGAAAAGATTCTCATAATTTAAATAGTTGTAAATAGCTTTAAACACACTGTATATTTATAATTGAACAGGTTTCATTGTATAAAGTTCGGATGCTTGCGAATTGCGATTATAAATTGTATCAGTGTATTTCAAAACTAAATGTGAACCTTGATACATGCATGTTCATCAATTCATCATAAGGAAACTATTTTACGAAAATATTTTTCTATGAAAAAAGATAATTTACTATACTTAATTTTAGTTTTCTTATTCTGTTCTTGAAAAAAAAAAGAATTTCCCATTTTAAAAATTTCATTCCTTATTTAGCTGATATCTCTTTCATTTTTTCTTTTAAGTTTAATTTTGTTTTTAAATATTTTTTTTTTTTTATCTTTTAGTCTGAAGTATCCAAACACATAAAATCAACAATGTAATGGAAATAGAAAAAATCATGTTAAATATTTGGTTTGTACGATAAATATATTTTGGGCTCAGTCGAGTTCAGTTGTTTGTAACACATACGATTATGAGTAACAACTTTTTTTTATTATGATGAAGAACTTCTCAAACAATGATTGCGGTTTTTTTATACTACACAGATCCACGATGAACGATTCTACATGCACCACATCTACATTAAACATTTAAATTGACAACACACGAGACCATGTCAGACGACTTTGCTTACAATAGTCAAATTATGTACAACTTGATTTTTTCAAATAAATGTTTTTGTCACAAAAAAAAGAAACAAATTGTTTGTTTTGAGAAAAGATTTTTCAAATGTTTGTGCCAATTTTAACAAGTTCAAATTGAGTTAGTTCTTCTATGGGATGATAAGAAAAAATGCTTTTTGTTAACGAATACTCGTCATACAACGCCACTTTGAATATATCAAAGATGGAAGATCTTTGCAGATTCAAACGTCAATCATTGAGTGAGTCTATACTCTATAGTCTCTGAAAAAATATAATCACTACAAATAGATATGATAAGTAAAACGATCCTTATAATTTGTGTTTACTATAAAAGATATTTGTAATTCATCTTTAATTTATTAATGCAATCTATGTAATTTGTAAACAAATTAACAACTAAGTACATTTAAAAAAAAAAAAAGTTTCCTTACTATTCAATAATTTCATGTTCAGTTCATCCTTTTTTTTTACTGTACTGTAACTTTAATTATTAAATTTTGTATTCTCTTCAAATATATTTTATTAGAGCGGTTAAAAAATTAATTATATCAGCGATAATCCAAAAGTGAGCAGGCGAAGTGAGAAAAGCGATTGGTCAAAAATGGAAACAGCGACGAAGCAGAGTGTCACAAATCGACTTCTCGCCGTGAAGACAGTTTCCGGCAAGACGTACAGCCAACTAGCGGCGGAGACCGGTCTCACCAACGTCTACGTAGCCCAGCTGCTCCGTCGCCAGGCCCAGCTCAAACCCGATACAGTCCCGAAGCTCCGGGAAGCCTTACCGGCTCTGACCGATGACCTCATCGACGCGATGATGTCTCCGCCGTGGAGATCCTATGATCCCAACCTCATCCAAGAACCCACCATCTACAGGTTTTTTAATTCTCAGTTTCCTTCTCGAATTTATAAATTTTGGGGTTTTTTTTGTTTTCTCAATTTCTGGGTTTAAATTGTTTTAGGTTGAATGAAGCAGTGATGCATTTCGGTGAGAGCATAAAGGAGATTATCAACGAAGATTTCGGCGACGGCATGTAAGTGTTTCCGAGTTCAAATTACACTAAAAATTTGTGAATTGGTTAATTGGAAGATGGGAATTGAATCCATATGTTCTTAGTATGTAAAGTCTGAGTTTTTATCATAGTTTAGTTGAAACTTGATCTGAAAGTTTCTTGCTTTATTGGTATGTTCTCTTTCTGGCGTCATGATCATATAATATACAAACTTTGTAAATGTTATATTCTGAAGAAAGATTGCAGAATGATCCACCAAAGACTGAGCCTTTTTGTTACTTTCTGTCTGTGTGTATGGTTTTATATAGCATGTCGGCGATAGACTTCTATTGCTCTGTGGACAAAATCAAAGGTGTAGATGGTAATGATCGTGTGGTTGTGACACTTGATGGGAAGTATCTATCGCATTCAGAACAGGTTAGTGTTTGTTTCATCTACATTGCGTATGAATGTTTTCACAATCTTTTGAATAATTTGGAACTTTTTGTTGCAGAGGACGGAGAATATGGTCTCAAGGCAAAACCTCCAAGGAAGTACAAGCAAATGATGTAAACGTAAGCAGCGTTTTACATATCAGTGAAGTTGTCTTGTTGTGTAAGCTGTTACATTGTAATGCATCTGTTGTTTCCTGTTTGTTTATCTGTGTACTCTATGTAACTCCAGGTTAAAGAATAACAATGATCAATGAATAAATAAAAACTATTGAAACCTTTTTATCTCCGTCTTCTTCAACATGGTTCATGATTGCCGAGTAACGCTTCTTGCAGTCCTATGCACTGAATCTTAGACAACAGTGGGCTGTGTTACATCATGAATCCGTATGCTGTCGTAGAAAGTTTTGTTTTCAGGGGTTCTAATGGAAAATGAATCATTTGCTCCATCAAATCTTCAAGTATGCAACTTCTGGAAGCTCAAATACCAGGAACATAAAAGAGACAAGAAATGTAGTTGAACATCTAAGAAGAAGATGAACAACACAGTAGTAAAAGCAACTCTGGACACAGCAAATTCAGAAGCTAAAAGGGTCGAGTCGAGCAACAGGAGTGCACTTGAGAGGATAAGCCATGATTAGATTCAACCCAGAAACAGCCTCTTCCATGTTAACCTTATCTCCCTTGATCCTCCAGTCAAAGCACTGCACCATCACTCCTGCGGAGATTCCTACAAGAATGTAAGCTAGGTTTGATCCAGGACATCCCCTCCTCCCGCTTCCAAAAGGAAGATACTTCAGTTGATGCTCTCTTAACTCGTCTTCTAGTCCTGATCTCGAAGAAGCTAAGAACCTCTCTGGTTTAAACTCATCAGGATCTTCCCAAGCATCAGGATCTCTCATCACACCATAAGCATTAACAACAAGTATTGTTTTCTCCGGTATGTAGAACTCTTTGAACTCGCAACTTTCTTGGAACGTCCTTGGCAAGAGAGTCGACGGCGGGTGCATCCTTAACACTTCCTTAACCACAGCTTGCAGATAAGGGAGGTTCCGTAGATCCGATTCTTGGATCAATCTTGTTCCCCCTACAACAGAATCGATTTCTTCTCTCAGTTTGTCAAGAACGTTAGGGTTGTTGATGATCTCCGCCATTGTCCATTCTGCTGCTTGCGCCGAGGTGTCACTGCCTCCCATGAAAATCTCCTGCAGTTTCTTAAGTCAGGCACAACACTTACCACAAATAAGAAGAAGCCTCAAGTGATGTGAAAGAAGTTTTGAATTACCACAAACAAAGACTTGATATGGTTCCTAGTGATCTTATACTCTGCCTCTTCATCATGATAAGCTTCCAACAACAAATCCATCATGTCCTTATCTTGATTCTCCTCAAGTCTCTCTTCATGCTCCACAAGAATCCTCTCTAGCAGCTTGTCGAACCCACGAGAAACATCGGTTATCTCCTTCTCAAACAGAGAGATTCCAAGCATCTTGAGAGGCCTACGCAACAGTTTAGCCAAGAAAACCTTTTTTGTTAAGGTAAGTGACTTGGTAACCAAGTCCCTGACTCTCTCTGCTTCACGGCTCTCCTCTGAACAACTCCTCCCCATGCTCATCCTGCAAATGATGTTGTTAGTAAGCTTCATCACTTCCTTATGGATCTCAACGCTCTCACTCTTCCTCGCCTTATCGAGCAGGTTCCTATAAAACAACTCTAGCTCCTCTGCACGGATGCCTTGAGACTTGTCAATTGCGTTTGGTCCGAGAAGCTTCGTGACAATGAGCTTCTTCATGAACTTCCAGTAATCTCCATAAGGAGCGGTGACGAAGCCGGAAGATCCAAAGAAAATGGACTCATCATTCATCGCAAAATCACTGCGAGAAGAGACATTCACGTCTTGCCCCCTGAAGATCTCGTAGGACGCTGAGGCAGAGGAGACGAGGATGATGGGGACATGGAAAATGCGTAGATGGAGAAGAGGTCCATACTTAGAGGAGATTCTCTGAAGATACTTGTGGGTTAGAGTAGAGAGGAGAAGGTGGAGATGACCAATGATTGGAAGAGAAGGAGGGCTTGGAGGCAGATTAAAGCCTTGTGAGTCTTTTGGTTTCTTGAAGAAGAGAGAGTACCAGAAGAGAAAGAAACATAGAAGAACTAAAATGAAGATACAGTCTTGAAAGTCAACGCTGATCATTGCTGCCATTGTTGCTCAAAGTGAAGAGGCAGAGATGAAACTTTACCAAGTTATCTATGACTAAAGGACTAACCATGCTTTGTTTATTATTAGATTAAAAAAATGCTTATGTAACTTGGAAGAGTACGTCAAATAATGCATTGTTATTATTAATATATACTCAGATCTAAAGTTGATCAAAGTGATAATATACATTAATGTGGATAAATAAAAATATTTGGAGTTTATCTTCTCCCGAGGTGGCAAGAATATAATATAAGGAGCCTTTACATTATCTATCAAGGCTTTATTTGGTAAGTTTTGACATTGTAACACTTAGGTTGAGAGTGTATACACAGAGAAACAGCACAAGAAATGATTCATCTACTCTTGTTTTGTCTGAGCAGAAGGGAAGCTATGGAATGGATTCCCAAGTGCAGCTACGTTCCCTGGACGTGAGAAAACTACCTGAAATAATGTTGCATAAATGCATAACAGTTAATCAAATCAAGTCTCTGTTGAGTGACACTGTAAGAAGTCGCATGGCATGTCTCTGGTGAATACTTAAGTATGTGTGTGTGTTACCTGATAGTTTCTTAGGGTAAGAGTCTTGAAACCAGCTGCACAATACTCGAAATAATATTCCCATGTCCTCATGAATTGATCGTCGAATCCAAGATCCATGATCTCTCTATACATATATAGTTAGTTAGTGGGATTACAGATTGTATAAAAGAAAACAGAGGAAAGGTTTAAAATATATTTTTAAACTTACTTTTGTCTCCCTAGGAAGCTCTTCCTCCAGTATCTCAACGTTTGGTAGTAATGAATTCCTATGTTCTCAACGTTCTCAATGCTGTTTTTCTTCAGTGTTAGATGGGTCCAAGGAGGAGAAAGCAAAGAAAGTTCACTTCAAGCTAAAATCTGATAAAAGATAATAAAGACTTTACCATAGCCTAGAAGAAGAGGCCATTGCTGAAGTAACTCTAGCTAAACAAGGAATACATCCACCAGGGAATATGTATTCCGTTATGAAACCTGCACTTAGCCTGCTCTCATCGTAAAGCTTTTCCGGCATTGATATGAACTGTTATTATAAGTTCAAAACCATTTAAAAAAGTCAATGGTTGTGCAAAAATGATATTGGAGATATGTTGAAGAAGCAAGTGTTGTTGTTACCTGCAGGACAAAAATGCCATTTTCTGCAAGAGCAGCTTCACAGTGAATGAAAAATGTCTCCATGAACTCGTGTCCAACATGTTCTAGCATCTCGCTAAAACATCCAAAATGTTATCTCAAAAGACAAACTACAGATTTATATACAAGAGAAAATGATATTACCAATTTACCATGATATAATCCTATCATATTTTTTAGCATCAGATAGTTGGCGATAATCACAAAGCTCAAACTTAATCCGATCCTGGCGATTCACAAATCACAATGTTATAATGTTAGTTATAAGCCTGTTGAAACAAGATTCAGAGATTGATTATTATACAAAAACCTCAAGTCCAGCTTCTTTCACTTTATCTTCAGCATACTTAAGTTGTTCACTAGATAGTGTAATGCCAGTGTATTTGCATCCAGTTCTTCTTACAGCTTCTATGGCTAAAGTTCCCCATCCGCATCCAATATCTAAAACCTCATGGTTCTTCTCTATCCTCGCCTGAAATTTTCTCACCTTTGATCATTAAAGAACAGAGGAAAAAGAATCATGGTTCTTGTTATGAATCTATATATGTTATATACCTTATCAATGAGAAGAGATATTTTTCTCATTTGTGCAGTTGTTAGATCTTCATCATCTGACTATAAACGGCAAAAGATTAAAGTCAGAGTCACAACACAGACTACACAGTAACAAAAGAATGAGGAGATCTCATTGTTACCTTGAATACTGCTGAGGAATAAGTCATTGTATCACCTAAGTATAAAGCAAAAAGCTCATTACTCTGCAAAATTACCCAACGATGGAGCAAATCAAAAACACAAAACCTAAAAAAGAAAAGAAAAGGAATGTTCTTCTTGAGACAGCAAGGATGTGAGCAATTTACAAGGTCATAGTGACGAGAAATGTTCCTTCTAGCTTGAGTTAAAGTGTTCTGTCTAGAGACATGTTTGAGAAAGTTCTTTGTAGATGCTATAGCAGCAGTCGGAAACATCGGTGTCCACCATCCCCTACAAGATCAAACACAGGAAATGGTGTGTGAACAAGTGAAAGCTTACATGAAAGTTTTTGAAACTTTACCTTTTCTTAGCAAGATTTGAGTTCAACTCTCTGTTAGCAATGAGAATCTGCAAGTTTTAATGATCAAGCATAAGTTTCTTAAACTTCAATCTCTATGCTTCAATAAGTGTATGGACCATACCATGATCAGATTCAAAAGTCCTGTTTCCTTGTCAACAAACGTAAAATCTCCATTGATATAACTATCAGCAAGTCCTAAATCTGCCTGTGTCACAACCTGTGGGAAAAAAATAAAAAAAAGAATCCAGTTCTTGAGCTTTTGGAAGAAACAGTTTTAAAGTGTCCTAGGTACTACTACTAACCTTCCAGTAAAACTGAGGACTGTGAATCTCCAAGACAGATTTCAAGCAACATCTCGAATCCTTTCCTTCGAAAGTGAACATTTCTCCTCCTTCTTCAATAAATCTGTTAGAAGCTAACTAATAAGTAAATATAACATCCGAAGAAACTAATGTCAGAAATATAAAGCTATGCATTTGAGACAGAGGAGTGGGACTCACGTTACACAACCGGTTGATATGAAATTTCTAAAGAACCTAGTAAAGAAATAACGAGCCCCTTTCTCGGTTAGAGACGTGACCATTTGTTTCGGATTGCTCTGAGGAGTCGCCATATCTTTCCTTAGCAGACCACCTAAGTCCTAAGCTACAAGATTTATACCAAATGAAGCAGAGAGTACGGAAGAGAGAGAGAGAGAGATAGTTTAGGTGTAGTTTAAAGATCCACTAAGTGCCACTTAGGTAATCATGCACAAAGACACCTACAATTACGCATGCAATAAACAGAAATGGATCGACCACAACCATTTATTCATTTCTCTCATCAAATCTCATCCATACAAATCTAACTACTTCATTAATGTTTCTTTGTTCGGTTCTAATACTGTCCAAAACCGATTCTGTGCGATTTCTCAAAGGTGGCATATTCAAAGCTCAAAACCATATTTCAATTTTTTGTTCATTCATGCATGACTTTCCCAATTACCTAACCATGTTGAATGTTTTACACGTTATTTTTATTTATAGTTATACAATAAATTATAATACGGGGACTACATGCATAATATGTGTCTAATGTAACATATATCCGTGAAGACCTTATTTTATAATGTAAGCTGTAACATTGTCAATACTTAATTGTGTTTGTTTCTTTGTACTCTATGCATATGATACTCCAGCGTCCATGTTAAAACTGTCTCAGGTTGAATAAGTAATAATAATAACAACTTGATCGAGTTCTGATCCACTCAATCTTAGACTGCACTAAGCTGTTGTACCTCATGATTTGCTGTGTTATAAGGTACATATGGACTGTACTGTTTATTTAGAATGAAAAATTAAGTGTATTTCGAATGCACACAAACTACTGAATTTTAAAAGGAATTGCACAAGAAATGATTATTCCACTCTTGTTTTTCTTTGAGAAGGGAAGCTCTGGAATGGATCTCCGACATTCCCTGGACGTGAGAAAACTACCTGCAATGTTGTAGAAACCGCATAAAATGTTAATGAAATCAAGTCTCTGGACTCTCTGCTGTTGAATGACATTAAAGGAAGAAGCATTGTTGCTGTTACGTGGTAGTTTCTGAGGGTAAGAGTCTTGAAACCAGCAACACAGATAATCTAAATAATACTCCCATGTCCTTATGAATTTATCGTCGAATCCGAGATCAGTGATTTCTCTACACAAATAATAGTTAGGTTACTTGACATACAAGCAACGATGAGACCAAAAGACTGTACAAATCTCTCTCTATAAACAAGAACTGTCGGAAAATGATTGTTGGGCCATTCGTAATAGTCCAAAACATATATAAAAACAGCCCACTCTAGTAAAATGTAAGCATGAAACGGTGCGTTTTAGAGGAATCAAATCCCGACTTTAAAAGCTAAGATTCCGTGTCCCACCTTGTATCTCGAAGTACTGTAATAATCTCGGACCAATCTCGTCTGAACATCATTACCATTTCAGGTCTGCTCAAATCCTTAAAATCCTCATTATTACCACTGAACAAATCCGATAAATTAAATCTTTGATTTTCGATTTTCCAAACTTTGATTTCGCATAGCTTGGAAGTTGGATCTAATATCGTTGGATTTGGTTCAAGAAATGGCACAAGAAGCAGCAGTAGCAGATGGGCTGAGATTGGAGCAGAGGCATGGGAAGGCGAGAGTGAGAGTTGGAAGAGTTTGGCGTCACGATCATGACGGATCTCATCACTTTGTCGAATGGAGCGTTAGCATCAGTCTTCTCTCTCATTGCCTCGCTTCTTACCACCGTGACGATAACTCCGACATCGTCGCTACAGATACCATGAAAAACACTGTAAGTTCATCAAAAGAAAAACTAAAACTGCTTACTCTTCTTCAATTTCCTCGAGAATTGAAGTTTGATTTTTTTTTTTTTTTTGCTAATGTTGGATTAAACTTTAAATTATATCTACATCTGTCTCATAATTAGTCCAATTTTAGTCAACTATTTTTTTTTTTTTTTTTTCTATTTATTCATTATCTTGATCTGATTGTATATCTAAATCTGTCTTAGCTTAACATATAAAAAAATAAAGCATTGATCTTTTGAGCATGGGTTACATTTTATATCTGGCCGGGTTAGTCTTTTGATTGGAGATCATAGGTTCGTTATAATGAACAACTTGTTGGCTCTTGTGGCTGTAGATATTTTTCTTATTCGTCTTGTTGCATATCGATTTCTAGAGAGTAAATCAGCTTTTATAGCTTGATTGGAACTTAACTTTGGTCTGACAAGTCAGTTATGTTTTGTCATGAAGGTTTATGTGAAAGCCAAAGAATGTGGAGATCGACTCTCGGTGGAGGAGTTTGCAATACTTATAGGGAATCACTTTTGCTCATTTTATCCACAGGTATATGCACTATCTATCAACCATAGTTTTCACTCAATTCAATATCCTTATTACTCTTGATAAAGTTTGTTTAATCTCTTTCTTCGTTACCAGGTTTTCACTGCTATTGTGAAAATCATTGAGAAGCCTTGGGAGCGTGTAAGCATTGATGGAAAACCACATTTACATGGTGGGACTTCTCTCTCTCTTTTTGTCTTTCCTGGAAACCAACTTTTTCTTTAGTTTGATGAGTTTCCTCAAGAAATGTTTTGTTGATTTTGAAGGTTTTAAGCTTGGGTCAGAGAATCATACTGCGGAGGCTACAGTACAAAAGTCTGGTGCATTAAACTTAACTTCTGGTATCGCTGGACTATCTCTTCTCAAGACAACTCAGGTAACACCAACACGTGGTTTGCAAAAGAGCTCTTTTGGTGTTTAGAGGAAAGATAAACAAGAATGATATGCAGAATGATTTGAAAATCAAGATTTGGTGTTACTATTGCCAATCAAAATACTTGACTTGAGCTAAATCCTAGGATATTGGTATATTGACTCTAATGGATGTCAAAATTCTAGATATAATAATCCATTTTTATGCAAATTAACAGTCAGGATTTGAGAGGTTTGTGAGAGACAAATACACCGTTCTGCCTGAAACTCGAGAGAGAATGCTAGCCACAGAGGTGAATGCATCATGGAGGTAAGATTTAATCAATGAATAGTGATGATACACATTTCTTATTTTGTGATCGATTCTTGAAGCCGGAATAGACGTTTCTTGGTGACAGGTACTCGTATGACTCAGTTGCAAGCATCCCGAAAAAGGGACTCTACTTCAGCGACAAGTTCATGGAAGTGAAGAAAGTTCTGATGGAGACTTTCTTTGGTCCTCCAGAAACCGGTGTCTATAGCCCTTCTGTCCAACGCACTCTCTATCTTATGGGAGGCGCTGTGCTAAGAAGGTATCTTACAAGATCTGTCTACATTCTTTTTTCGGTTTGTGTGATTGTGTGATCTTTAGCGTTGATCAGATTCTTATTAACATGATCAGGTTTGGTGATGTATCTTCCATTCACCTTAAAATGCCAAATATTCACTTTCTACCTGTAAATCTTTCAACCAAGGACAACCCTTCAATGGTTAAGGTAAGAAGCATCTCCATGTGTTGTTGTCTTTTATGATGGAAAATAGTATGAAATCTTGAAAAAGACGATCCTAAATTTGCTTTTTCAGTTTAAGGATGATGTGTACTTGCCAACAGATGAACCTCATGGATCTATAGAAGCAACATTAAGCCGCATAACCTCGAAAATGTAAGGTTTTGGACAATACAAGTATACAAAGACAGCGTAAAGACGATTTCACAGGTTTCTGCAACTTTTGGCTTTTGCCTTGTTTCATGAAATAAAGAAGGCCACTCAAGATGTAACATTATGTAACACTACTGGTGTCCTTTGTTTCAACACACAAACGTTTCTGTTTGCATTTATACCCAAAGATGTAACAATACTTATGATGTTTGTTTACATGTACTTTATGAAACACATTATGGTCTACACAGTACAAGAAATTGTTGGTACAGCAGAAGCAATTCTTATTAACAATTTATAAATACTTCCTCACACAAATTATTAATCTTTTTCTTGGGAAGTTGCACAAGAAATGAGATTAGTAAATTACAGTTGATTCATATAACCTTGTCTATGTTCTGAGCAGAAGGGAAGCTACAGAATGGATCCCTTAATGCAGCTACATTCCCTGGACGTGAGAACACTACCTGAAATGTTGCGGAAACGCATGAATCAAGCTATTCAAATTTAATTCTTTGTTGAGTGACACGGAGGAAAGAAGAAGCATGGTTATGTTACCTGGTAGTTGCCAAGTGTAAGAGTCTTGAAACCAGCTGCACAATAATCGAAGTAGTACTCCCATGTCCTTATGAATTTATCGTCGAATCCAAGATCCTTAATTTCACTGCACATTAGTTAGTTTTCATGGACATGTTACTAAACATACTGATTCCAGAGGAGCGAACAGAGGAAATGTTTATAATATGTGTATCTTACTTTTGTCTGTCCAAGAAGGTCTTCCTCCAGCATCTCAAAGTCTGGTAGTAATGGATCCCAATGTTCTCAACGTTTTCAATGCTGCGGCGTTATTCAGTGTTAGATGGGTTTGAAGGAAGAGAAACAGAGAAATTGCAAGAAGAAAAGAAGTTACCATAGCTTAGAAGAAGAGGCCATAGCTGAAGTGACTCTAGCTAAAGAAGGAAGACATCCACCAGGGAATATGTATTCTTTTATGAAATCTGAACTTTGTCTGTACTCATCATAACGCTGTTCGGGTATCGATATGAACTGTTGTGGTTTCAAAACATTATAAAACCGATTAATGGTTATGCAAGCATTAGGTTGGAGATTAGCTTTCAAGGAAATAGTGGGTGAATAAGGCACATGTTACCTGAAGGACAAAAATGCCGTCTTCTGCAAGTGCAGCTTCACAGTGAACGAAAAATGTCTCCATGAACTCGTGTCCAACAGCTTCTAACATCTCACTGAAGCATCAAAAATGTTTATGTCATAAGATAGAGTATAGACTATATAGTATATATATTCAAGTAGAAGAAGAAAAAAGGTATTACCAAGATATAATCCTGTCATATTTCTGAGCATCAGATAGTTGGCGGTAATCACACAGCTCAAACTTAATCCGATCCTATCATTCATAAGTTATATCATTAGTCATAGGCTTGGAAAATCAGAAATAAGATCTTGATAATGGATTATATACACAAACCTCAAGTCCAGCTTCTTTCACTTTTTCTTCTGCATATTTGAGCTGTTCAATAGATATAGTAATGCCAGTGTATTTGCATCCAGTTCTTCTCACTACTTCTATGGCTAAAGTTCCCCATCCGCATCCAATCTCCAATACCTCATGGTTCTTCTCTATTCTCGCCTAAAAATGTCCCGTTTTGGTTAATAAAGAGCAGAGAAGATCTTGGTTTAGAGTCAAGAAAATGCTCTTTTCTTACCTTATCAATAAGAAGAGAGATTTTTCTCATTTGTGCTGTTCTGAGATCCTCAGTTTCCGACTATAAATAAGATAATAGCAAAAGGTTGAAGTCAGATCCTCATAGCACAGTAACAGAAAAGCAACAAAGAAAAAGTGTTCACCTTGAATACCGCAGAGGAATAAGTCATGGTATCATCCAAGAACAAAGCAAAAAGCTCATTACTCTGCAAGTTTACCCGTTGACCAAACTCAAAACAGAGTGAAAATATATTTTTGAGACAGAAAGAATGTGCGCATAGAAGACAACTTACGAGGTCATAGTGACGAGAAATGTTCCTTCGAGCTTGAGTTAAAGTGTTCTGTCTTGAGACATGCTTGAGGAAATTCTTTGTAGATGCTATACCAGCAGTCAGAAACATCGGTGTCCACCATCCCCTACAAGATCAAACATAATGATGAAGTGAAACAAGCGAAAGCTTACATAATACCATAGCTAAAAGTTAAATATTTCTATACCTTTTCTTAGTAAGATCTGAGTTCTTTGCGTTTAATTCTTTGTTAGCAATAAGAATCTGCAAGTTTTCATTATCAAGAATATAGATGAGGATTGAAAGTTTATAAACTATGTCTCTATGCTTCAATAAGTGTATGGACCATACCATGAACAGATCCAGAAGTCCTGTTTCCTTATCATGAAACGAAAAGTCTCCATTGATATAAGCATCAGCAAATCCTAAATCTGCTTCTGTCATAACCTGTGGAAACAAATAACCAAGATTCCAAGTTCTAGAGATTCAGAAGAAACAGTAATCACTGAATCAAAGAGCTCTTTAAACATCGGTTTGATCCTAGGCGCTAACCTTCCAGTAAAACTGAGGACTGTGAATCTGTAAGACAGATTTCAAGTGACATCTCGAATCATTTCCTTGGAAAGTGAACATTGTTCCTCCTTCTTCAATTAATCTGTTAGGTTCTAACTAATAGTAAATATAACATTCGAAGAAACTAATGACAGAAATATGAAGCTATGCATTTCAGACAGAGGAGTGGGACTCACGTTACACAACCGGTTAATATGAAATTTCTCATGAATTTAGTAAAGAAAGAACGAGCCCCTTTCTCGGTTAGAGATGGGACCATTTGTTTCGGGTTGCTCAGATGAGTCACCATATCTTTCCCTAGCAGACCTTTCGCAGCCGACATCCCAGCCTTTAGCCCGTCTTCATGAAAACCATAGCCTACAAAAAGGTAAATGAGCCAAGTGAATATTGACAGGGATGAAATGAAATTTGAGTATTAATCACAAATAAAGCTTTTTTTTACCTTGGTAAGCACCACAGAACCATAGACCACGTTTCCCTTGAATCTTGTTCAGGTCTGTTGACCCTTTCAAAGCGGAAACAGAGGGCAGAAGATGACCAGTGGTCCATTTGTGCAATATTTTCTTTGGGGCAACTTCAGGGTTAAATGTGAGAAAGAATGGGTCATGTTCCTCTCCAAGATTCTGCAACAACAGAAAAACAAAAATACATTTTCAGTCTCATTTCTTTCATGTTAAAACTTATCCAGTATGTGGCAATGTACCTGGATTATATTGAGCCAATATGTGAGGCTAGATTTGTTTTCAGAACTTGTTTTGAAATTCCATGCGCTCCACGCAGAATGATTCAACGGCATCAGATCAGTGTCACGGTGGAGATAAAGATCGCTACATATTGATAACATTAGCACGTTAATGAATATCTAGAATTCAACTTACAAAAATACTAGTACAGGGTATGAGGTTACCTGTTGGCATATTGGAAAGCACCAAGAACCCTAGTCTCATCATGTGTAACTTGTCCTCCAAGCAATCTCAGAGCATCTGTAGCGTGCACAGCTAATACACACCTATCGAATACTTCTTGAGATCCATCTTCTGTTGTTACTGTGACGTGACCATCCTCAGATGTAGCAACAGACTGAACACTGCAACTTGTTCTAATCTTACATCCTCGTTTCTCCAATTCTGCCCTAGCCTAGTCCGCACGTAAGATAAGTAAGTACCATAGTTATAAGCCAACTGGTCCAACTCTATGTATATACGTAACATTTTTTTAGCTCAGAACCTTTGCCACATAAGTCTGAGAGCGTCCTGCAACAGTCAGCCAATGTGGCCTCCCAAAGAGCTGAGAAAGAATTAAAACTAGAGGTAAGAAAACAGTTTTCTTTTTGGTTAAAGACTTGGAAGTTAGAAAACACTTGAAGAGATTAGTATATATATGAACCTGAAGCAAATCGTGGTTGCCGAAAAACGAAAGAACAGAGTAAGCCGGAAAGTTAAGGACGTCGTCTGATGGGCATAGCCAAACGGAAGAACATGCCGGCACCTGTCCAAACAACATAACTTAAGCTTTCTTGTATCCCAAGAAAATTCCCAAAAAAAAACATGTCAAAATTACTCACCAAGTAAGCCTTTTGAAACAAGTCAGAGTATCCATGAGACTTGAGAAACTCTCCTAGTGTTTCATTTCGGTCGGTGTCAGGGTTATGCTCCAGCTTTTCAATATATTTTTCCAAGTCTTTCTTAAACTTCACGTTATCTGAGAGAATTTGCCAGAAATGCGGATTGAGAACGTTACTCTTCTGAGCGAGAAAGCTCGAGAGGCCGTTGCGGCTTCCCCATTCGTAGCCTTTGCCATTATCAAGGCTCACTGAGAAAGACAGGTCTGAAACCTCCATGTCTACTCCAAGATTCTTGAAGAACTCCATCATGTTCGGATACGTAACCTAATCACATATTCATGATGGTGGTCTAGTATTGGTTAAAAGAGAGAGAGAGAGAGAGAGAGAGAGAGAGAGAGAGAGAGAGAGAGAGAGAGAGAGAGAGAGAGAGAGAGAGAGAGAGAGAGAGAGAGAGAGCGCGTACAGGATTGAAAACTATGAACCCAAGGTCCAAGTCAACGCCATCAAAACGCATCGTTTTAGCATGGCCTCCTAAAGACTCTTCCTTCTCGAACAACACCACCTCCTCAATTCCATCTTCTCCTGCAAGAACGTAAGCACTTCCCAACCCACTTATCCCACCTCCGATCACCGCCACTCTCATTCTTCCTCCTTTCTTTTTTCCCTTCTCCTATTCAAAAACTTAAGTTTTCTGAAGTTCTTGTACAAAGACTATAGAATGATCAATGAAGAACTATGTAGATAAGAAGAAATTACCTTAATTTGTCTTTGGCACAAATTGGATTCGAACTAAAGATGTCTTACTTATATAGAAATTAGACCAGAAGCTACAGGCGTGTATTTTTGACTTATACAAACCAATGGCGTTTAACGAAATGATTACAGATAGATAACGTGACTCTCATTAATTAAGGCCGCATAATCGGGGTTAGGGCGGCTTAATCTTCCCCACAATTTACTGGTTTTATAAAGGATTTTAAATCCTTGTAGGGATATATTATGCAAGAAAAAATGACAAGTCGATTGATTTCTATGTAAGGTCTAGCTGGTGATGGTCATTCTTTAATCAAGTAGTTTCAGATATTCACGAAACAAATAATTTTAGCATTTAACGATCCACTTGTATTATATCATAGATCGATGTTCTTTGATAGGAGACGTGTCAATTTGGTACTATTCCAAGTTGAACTAAACCTTAAAAAACAAAATTTCAATTAAATTAATAAACGATTCCTTGATTCCTTGCCCAATCCAAAGAACATAATTTACAGAAAAAAAAAAAAAAAAAAGAGTCATCTACCTGAACGATATGTCTTTAAGTTTGGATAGCGACACAAATAAGAGAAATGGAGCAATTGTGAAAATTATATAAATGGAACTTTGATTAAATTAAATTTCGCTCATTGATTAATTATTATTATCATTGGTTTATTCTAAATTTAATTTGATTTCTGTATTAACCAAGATTATTATCTAGTCTTATTCAACGTTGCATGCCTTGTCATTATGCATCAGTGTCGATAATATTGCACCTACCATTTTGACAATTAATATGATATGGATGTAAGTAAGAAGACACCTTCAGATATCCGTGAAGGGCCTGAAGGCCTTATCTTAAGTTATAATGCTTATTGTGTTTGTTTATTTCTACTTCTCAACAAGTCTACGTTACATGTTGCTAATATATTTTGTAATTTTGCTTCATTGCTCACTGCTTTTCATCGACTTTTAAAGAACATTCATTTTCAGTTCAGACCAAATGCAGTTCTAGTGCTCTACATGACAATATTAAAATTATTTGGATGAGTCTAAAGAAACTCATTTGCTCGCCATCCGAAGTACATAAAGCTAGTATACTTGGAAACACTCAAAGACTTGTAAATCGACGTGTACGTGAGGCATGCACTGAATGCAACTTCATGCGTTTTTATGCTTAGGGATGACCGAATCCACCGCCTCCTCCGCCCCCACCTCCACCTCCACCTCCACCTCCAAAACCTCCGAAACCTCCACCACCAAATCCACCACCTTTACCAAATCCACCTCCTCCACCAATACCTCCGCCTTTCCCAAATCCACCACCTCCGCCAAATCCTCCTCCTTTGCCTATTCCACCACCGATTCCACCACCTTTTCCAAATCCACCTCCTCCGCCAAAACCTCCGCCTTTACCAATACCGCCACCAATGCCTCCACCCTTACCAAATCCACCACCGCCGCCAATACCACCGCCTTTGCCGATACCGCCACCTATGCCTCCGCCTTTACCGATACCGCCACCAATGCCTCCACCCTTACCAAATCCACCACCACCGCCAATTCCTCCGCCTTTGCCAATACCGCCACCTATGCCTCCGCCTTTACCGATACCACCACCAATGCCTCCACCCTTACCAAATCCACCACCACCCCCAATACCTCCGCCTTTGCCAATACCACCCCCAATACCTCCGCCCTTGCCAAATCCACCTCCTCCGCCTTTGCCAATTCCGCCACCGATTCCACCACCTTTTCCAATACCACCACCGATACCTCCTCCTTTGCCAATACCACCTCCAACTCCTCCTCCTTTACCAAAACCACCACCAGCTCCTCCGCCTTTTCCAATGCCACCGCCAACTCCTCCGCCTTTGCCAAAACCACCACCACCTCCCCCACCTTTGCCAATACCACCGCCTACTCCTCCACCTTTGCCGAAACCACCGCCAGCTCCTCCACCTTTGCCGATACCACCACCAATGCCGCCACCTTTACCTATTCCACCACCAATGCCGCCGCCTTTGCCAATACCGCCACCAAATCCTCCACCCTTTCCGATTCCTCCACCGATCCCTCCTCCTTTTCCAAACCCACCACCGGCTCCAACGCCTCCACCTTGTCCACCCCCACCTCCGAAACCACCGCCAACTCCTCCTCCCTTACCAAAGCCACCACCGGCTCCGACACCTCCACCATGTCCACCACCAAAACCTCCTCCACCTCCTCCGCCTCCACCAGCACCACCACCTCCTCCAAAGCCACCACCAGCTCCACCTCCGGATCCTCCTCCAAAGCCACCACCAGCTCCACCTCCGGATCCTCCTCCAAAGCCACCACCAGCTCCACCTCCGGATCCTCCTCCAATTCCACCACCAAAGCCACCACCCTTGCCTCCTCCAACGAACGTCTTCTCCTCTTCATCATTGCTAGTGCTCACAACATTTCTCGCTGCAACATTTACTACAAAAACATGGAAACATAACAAAGCCAAGAGAGTAGCTCCATTAACGAGACGCCCCATGTCTTCCTACTTTTTGTATATTTGTTTTTTTTTTATGGAGTATGTTTGTTACTTGCAAGTGTGCACTGCCCGATGATCAAAAACCTATGCGCATGATTGTCGATTATATAGCAACAGTTAATTATCTACTTTAATCTTTGCATTAACTTACTTCAACTACTAACTACTACTCTACTACTCGCTGCATTTAATTCCGAAATCCTTTTGTGATTTCCTCTCCACATGTTTTCTAGTCATGTATATTTCTTACTATAATACATTTATATTGAAGTCTAAGAATACCAGTTTAATATTTTACATAAATCTACCAAGTGGCCTTTTCAGTTTTTACGGTTTTACCTAAATTACTATACTACTCTGACACTAACGGTTTCTCGATCGATCTCGTAAGTCGCAACAACTAATTAATAATCTCTCTTTTTTAGGATAGATAAACCTATTCTTAAGTTACTACGTCAGTTCTCTTAGTTTTCCTTCGTAATATTCTGTTTTGTTTAATAACAAATCCAACATAACTTACTTCAAGTGTCCCACAAAACTCTGGAAGTTAAAGTTGAGTTTGATTAGATCAATTAACCTATAAATTTTTCATATTTAACACAAAGGTTTTCTAAAGTTTAGAATCTAGAGTTTTTAGTAAGGCGTACTGATATCATATTTTTCTTAAGTCCGACAAACTTTATCAAAAGAGACAGCAAAGTTCGACTTGCTTGTTCCAAATTATCTGGTACCTTGTACAGTTGCACATCAAACCGTAGTTACATCTCTTTCTCATTAACTTAACTTTTTGTTAGGTATGGGATATTAATCAGGCGAGTACTCGGTCGATAGGCATTAAAATCAATCACTTTTAATTCTACCTCATATGCAATGTGAATTTTCATGCAAGTTGGTAATATAATTAAACCTGTTGGCACAATTGAAAATATCCATCTTCCTTCTATAAGTGTTTAGTTTATAAGAAATAGTTGTGAAGCAATCTTAAATTTAAGTACTGTATACTAATTCATATGAACGACTAAATAATAAATTCAAAACTCTTATAGTATAAGTCATGCTCAAGTTACTGTAATTTACTAAGTTTACGTGTGTTATGTATCAAGGTCAGTGGTAATTTTGTTCTTATATATGTAAACGTCGTCATGAGTGGTACTTTTTCAGTTTTTTTTTTCTCATATAAAAACAACCATTGGAGCTTCCATACCAAACCATGTGCGAGTTAGATGAAGAATTTATTGCAGTTTGAATAAAAATGCCATCATTCATTTTTCAACCTATCATGTACTTACATGCAAATTATTTAGTAAGTATAGACCACTTGTATTTATTCTTCCTCCAGCTCGAAATCGCTACATGTCACTCCCGGAACATGGTTGCTAGTGGCTCTCATCTCTCCGACAATTTATTAAGAATAGTTACAGAGTTTTTGAGGGTCCTAAATGTATAGTTTAGTGGTCCCATACTGGTTTTGAAAAAAACTACAAATGAAATTTATTAGAAGTAGTAATATCGTTTTTGATATCGTTACTATTGAAAAACGGTACCATCATCATCCCGATCCGAAAGGGACACCTTGCTGAAAATTGTTTTTGGTCTATTAATAAAACTGGTTAAGTTATAAATTTAAAACCGGCAAATTTCAGTAGGGTCGACTAAATTCAATTAAATGACGGTGCGAAAACAAAGATCAAAGTAAGCGCTTTGACTTGGGTGTAATTAATAGGAGGTTGGAGATTAGGAAAAATCTGCTGAGCAAGAAATAATTGAGACGGATTGGTGTATGGCTCAATCAATAACTCCGTTTCCCGATTTGTTTCGTCGACAGTCGACGCGACGTGGCAAAGAGTGAAATGATTAGAAACAATGGTTCGAAAATGGGATAGTTTACCAAACAGAAAATAAAAAACTTTTGTTCAGAAAAAACTTACGATGCAATGTAGAGTGCAATTAATGTGGAGCTGCTCGATGGATGATGTGGCTACTCGCTAAGTGTATAATATTGTGAATATCAGTTGCATTCTTTTTGAGAAGAAGAATATTGCGATTATACAAAAGAAAAAGAAAAACCATAGGCTATAGTTCATCTACGATTTTGTGTGTGGTTCTTTAAGAGTGTAAACACTATAATTTATTGATACCAAATTGACTCTTTTAGGGGGCATTATACAAAGCCATTGAAACAATGCCAGTTCCATTAACAAACATTCAAAACAAAATGTTTATATAACAGAATTATACGATGTTTTATTGCCAAAAAATATTTCTTCCTAACATAATATAGGTTCCTTATTTTGTTTTTTACCTTTGCAATTTGTTTCACTCTAAAAGCGACCAAACACTAAAACGCACGTCACATGACAATAATATAGTTTGTTTTTCTGCATAAGCTCTTTTGTTTTGCATAATCTGATAGCAAACATTATGTATCACCCTGATGCTATATATCGTCGAAATAACCACTAACAAAACTTTCTACTAATACTCTATCATATGCATAAATCCAAGACAAAACTTCAACCACGTTCTTGGACTGAACATCAACATTTTGGTAGCCCTAACTTTCCTGAATTCTCCATCGTCCTCTATATACCTCACTATTGCCATTAATTTACAATAATTGCATGGTCTTCTTAATCCTTATCTTTATCCTTTTAGATTAAAGGTAATAAAATACAAATCCCAGTTAGTGACTTACCAAAGTTACTTAAGCCCAGCATATCATATAAAGGCCCATTGAAGGCCTCATATAATTTTTGATATTCTTCTAATCAATATCGGATCATTTACACAGCCAATTTTTAATCAATCGAATATCAAAATTTACGCCTCCGACTTTTCTCCTTCATCTCTCTCTCTCTCTGTTATCCAATTTTCTCTCCGTTTTCTGCTTTTTTTTACTCCTCCGCCGATCTCCGCCTACGTTTACTTCACCGATCTCCGGCCACGAATTCTTCACCGATCCTCGACGGCGTCGTCTCTATGCCATCACCGATATGCTCAGATTTATCAGCATCCTCCAGCAATCTCCGATCGCCTTTTTTTTTTAATTTTAATTCCCTTTGATTTTTAAATCTTCTTTTTCAAAAACTTTTTTTTTAATTTGTTTTTGTCCGTATCCGCTCATTTCTCTCGACAGTCATGCGTTTGACGCTTTTCTCCCCCAGATAAACAATGAATTGACGATTCCGCCCCTCTCTTTTGACATTGACCGTTATAACCCTGATCCTTTTTTGACACGTGTCGTAACGTAAACACAATTCGAAAAATGAGTCAAAACCACCACGCGCGTAGAGTACCAACGCCCGGCGCGTCGAGAAAACGCAAGGATACGACGGAGAGTTTCGACTCCGGGGCCGCTCCGGCTACATCGAACTGGTTGCTGGCAGGTTACATGGCGCACGAGTTCCTCACATGCGGGACGATGTTGGGCCGGAAGCTCAATCTTGGATGGGCCGAGGTTGGGCCGCTGAGCTCGCCGTCGCCGCAGCAGCAGAGAGAAGCGAAGAAGGCTCACCAGAGCTACTCCGACGTGGCGTGTGTGTTCAAAACAGATGGGACCCACGTACCTGGTGTGGTTAACCCGACCCAGCTTGCTAAATGGATCAAGATGTGATTACAATGCGGCGTCGTTTTTAATTACAAATAGGTATCAGTGTCATCATCCATTGTCATTAGACAGAAGCTTTCATTTTTATTTTTTTGCATTTTAGTTTTTTTTTTTCATTATGATGTAGTCTCTTTTCAACATGTTACTAAAATGATAAATAATTGTTAGTCTTGTGTTGTATCGTTTTATCATCTAGTAATCGATTTTCATGACAATATACGACTACGTACATTTTACATGCCACATGATTAATTTGGACTTGGGGTCAAATCTTGATCATTACTTGTATGAAAGTTGTAGTGAGAATCTAATTTGACTTGCAAACAAACTGTAGTGAAAATAAATGTGTTGTTGAAATGTATATTGCACACGTGTGTGGGTAAGCTTATAAAGATTTTAATGTGGACAAAGAGACAATGCTTAGTGTACACTTCGATCAAAAGAGAGATATTTCCAAAAAAAGAAGATATCATTCTATTAGCTTAACAACTAACGCAACTATCGACTTTTTATAATCGTAGACAGCTAAGATACGTGGAGGACTTCCAAATAAAATACTAAATTTAGTAATTACTTCTTTCTAAATGCATGATCCTTTTTTCTTTTCTTTTTTACCTTTTAGAGAATGTCTTACTCAAAACCATTTCTTGATTTCAATCAAATGTACAAGTTCTAGGACCTTCACTCTGAGGTAGTCGTGTTAAGCGTTGTAACGTTTTTCCAAACTTTGAACTTAATGTTGAACAGGAACTTCAACACAGAAGTTGTTGGTTCCAAATATTTGACGTGTATGTAAAGATCCTTGGATAAGACTATAAGGGGTAGGAAGAATTTAATTGCAAGTTAATCAATAGAAAAGTTACTTAAAATAGCTACGAAGAAACTACAATTCGAATTCAATATCTTTGAAGATATATAGCAAAGCAAAAAGAGTGGGAAGAATGTAATATATCGACCTCTAAAAACCAAGTGGGGAGCATTGAAATTAAAATGTAGAGTAATAAGCAAAGATCAAAAGGGAAAATAAAAGGCATATACACCATAGTGAAGAAGAAGTGGATGATTTAACTTTTGTGTTCTTTTTAAAATATCTCTTTCGAATAAAATAAATAATATATAGACATACATTAGTTATTGCCCTCATATTCATAAATCGATCTCTGTTGGACAATATTTGACGGGAAGAAAAAGTAGGTTGAAAGTTCGGAAAAAAAAGGTCGGTTTAAAAGGGAAATTTCAAGTTTTCAACCATTAACTCCCACCATAGATAATTTCGATATGATTTAACTTATACACCATAGTGAAGAAGAAGTGGATGATTTAACTTTTGTGTTCTTTTTAAAATATCTCTTTCGAATAAAATAAATAATATATAGACATACATTAGTTATTGCCCTCATATTCATAAATCGATCTCTGTTGGACAATATTTGACGGGAAGAAAAAGTAGGTTGAAAGTTCGGAAAAAAAAGGTCGGTTTAAAAGGGAAATTTCAAGTTTTCAACCATTAACTCCCACCATAGATAATTTCGATATGATTTAATGACCCAAAAATATTGTTTTAAATCATGTTAAGGGTTTAGACTGAGATGTATAATATATGAAATTTTGTAAGTAGCTCGTACATGGTTTAGACTGAGATGTATAATTAATGGTTAATAATGTGTGCTACATGCATGTTAGTTTTAATATGGTACACCGACATGTAAAATCTATGAACCTTTAATGAATCTTTTATTATACTACATCGAATCCAATTCATCAACATATATAAATGAATAATGGTAGTGAAGTGAACAACAACTACTCTACTTCACAAAACAATTTTGAACTGTAGTATATTCAGTTTGTCGTTATAAATTGGATGTGGAAGTTAGATTCAGATGATGTAGTTTGTAAAATTGATACAAAAATCCTACCATTAGTGGCTTACGATTTTTTAGGACTTTAAGAATGTATATACTTGAACAAATAAAGTAGAGCCACGAGTGCAGGAATAAAGGTAAGCGAAATGACTATTTCTAAAACGTAGAGCATATGGTCGAATGAAGTCGCAAGAAGTTAGTTTTATAAGTTAATATGAAGTAAAGACATCTTTTGTGATAGACATTTTCTCTCCCAGGCCCTGCTCCCGAGAAAGATCATTACCCAGTTGACCAGTCACTTTCTCATCCTTTACCCAAAGAATCTTACCTTGTTTAGAAAGTTTTCCCCAAGTTTTTTGAATTCTGAAGGTTCACACCCGGGTTCCACCCCCGACTTAGAGTCGGAGGGTCCGTTTAAACCGCCGGTAAGGTCTCTTCACCCTCAAAAACCTAGCTCCTCCGTCTTCTTATCTCTTCCCCTAGATGAATCGTTGGCTCTGGATCTCCTCTCTACTTGCGACTCCTCAAATATTTGCACTCGGCGGAGAATCTTTGGACCTGAATCCTCCTCGTTCTCTTGTCCTTCACGCCTGCCTGATAAGTAAAGGGAAGGAATTTCGGATCTTTTCATCTTCATAGTTACTATGCTTGGAGATTAGAACCGTATTTATTATCCGTTTCCTCTAGCTCATTTATTGCTCAGGATTTCACTCTCTGCTGTGTGTGACACCAGATAAACTTCTCTGATTTGCCAAGTCAGCAGGAATTTCCCTAAAGAAAATATCTCGGAGGGTCCTTTCTCAGATCTGATAGGTCTGGAATAGCTCTTTTCTCAGATCTATTAGATTTGTAGTACTTTTCTCACCCCCGGGTGTAGTATAAATTTCCCACAAACTCCCTCAAGATGAGCCGAAGACTGTCTTATGCGGAAAAAGGGAAGGGTCAAGCAGCTTTACCTCTACCTCCCCCTCCCCGCCAAGCCCGAGTCAAAGTCCCTCCTTTTGACAACTCAAAGTTAGTTAAGAAGGCTTCGCTCACACTGATTGGAAGAATAACTAACCCAAAAATCCAAAGAGTTTGGTCCCTCATTTCATTCTTCACTGACCACTGGAAGGTCTCTGTAAAACCGGTTGGAGCAGATCTCGGACACGGACAGTTCCAGTTCCAGTTTGCTACGGAAAAAGATCTTCAACAAGTCTTAGATAACAGACCTTACCACTTCGCTTATTGGATGATAATACTCCAACGCTGGGAACCAACTACGGTGAGCTCCTTCCCATCTCAGATCCCGTTTTGGATCCAGGTTCAAGGAATCCCAATCCATCTCTGGTCTGTAGAGACTCTACGCAGTATTGCTGATAATATCGGACAATTCCAATCAATGGAGATCACCTCTACTACGGCAAAAATTCAAGTCCATATTGATAGCTTGCAACCCCTTATTACTTCCTCGGTGGTGGAATTTGAAAACGGAGATGAAGCAGAAGCCACACTGATATATGAAAAGCTGGAAAAACATTGTATACTCTGTTGGAGCCTTCTTCATGATGCCAAAGACTGCGACCTAGCCTCACCGAGGAAGGAAGGCATCACTCATGAAAAGCGAGACCTCGCTACTAGAAGTCCGAGAGACGAAGGTCCCTTGACCAGAGGAGAGTCACACCACTCCAGGACAGGAAGCCTCGTTGGTCCAAAAAACCCAGCTCCGCCAAGACGCTATCGAGATAGTCGAGAGCAGGAGTCGAGACTCCCTCTACCAAGAAATGATAGAATTTATTCGTCAACTTTAGAAAGAGAGCGATCACGAAATTCAAGCAGGGACTCGCAATACCGAGGAAGAGATTACAGAAGACCTTACCCGACTGATCTTAGACACTCTCTGGACTCTGCACGGTCTCACCACTCGTCCTTTTCTCAGCATGAGGGACATGTCGAGACAAACTCTCACCCTACAGCAAGATGGGTGGAGAAAGCGAGACTAGACCCTATTACCCATGAAAGGAGATCGGATGTTCATCCCTCTATGTCTGAGAGCTCCAGACAGAGACGCCCCCCTCTTGATAGAGAACTCTCCCCCCACCAATCTCCTGAACATCTCCCTAGAGAAGCATTCAATACGGCCTTAAATGAAGTACAAGATGTCATGGTACAATATTCTTCCTGTGCGGACCCTTCTGAAAGCGCTGCAAGAAAAGAGAGATTAAGATTAGCAGAAGAAAATGGACAAGTTGAACATGCTGCAGCCCAAATGGTGAGAGCCTCACTTGCAGCACAATCACTAGCAGCTGAGCTGACTTCTTCAATAGCACCAAACCCCGACCTCAGATCCGCTGAACGCATTCCCGCTTCCCAAAGGCTTGGCCCAACTGATCTTCCTGAGGAAACATGACAGGCTGGAACTTTTCAAATTCCAATTGCTAAAAGAAAACCAGGTAGACCAGCGGGAAAGAAGAGTGGAGAGAAACCTACTACTGCCCCGAGTGGAACAAAGAAAAGAAAGGCACGTCAAATCGTTCTTTCTCCAAAAAAGTGCTTTCTCGCGTCGTCCACAAGAGCGGGCCCTTCTCGTTCTCAACCCAGAATGAGCCAAACCTCGAGGCAAGCCGGTACTTCATCCGTGCAGATACCAGCGGCTCCTCGCATGATCCCAGCTATTACAAGGAAGACGGCGGATTTTCACAGTCCGTCTTCTCCTCTTCCTTAAAAATTCTGTCTTGGAACTGTCAAGGGTTGGGGACCCCTTCGACAGTGTCCCGGCTACAGGAACTCCGTAAAAGAATAGACCCGGATATAGTCTTCCTGTCAGAGACAAAAAACCCCGATGTAGTTGTGCTACAAAAAGTGGAAAGCCTTGGCTATCACAATCATGCTCTTGTATCGCCACATGGTACGGCCGGTGGTGGCTTAATTTTACTCTGGAAATAAGATATTCAACTAGATATCATCTCATCTTGTAACAACTATTTTGATACCCGAATAAAGTATGAAGGGAAGATGTTTTTCTCTACCTTTGTGTATGGAGACCCGGATAGAGGAACACGGAAACGTATGTGGGAGTACTTAACAGATCTAGCTATTATCAGAGATTCCCCGTGGTTCCTGACAGGAGATTTCAACGACCTGATTGATAACTCAGAGAAGGAAGGTGGACCTATGAGAGCTGAAGGAACGTTTGGTGACTTCCGTACCTTTCTTTCTGAAGGCGATTGTATGATTTGAGACATTCTGGAAATTGTCTCTCTTGGAGAGGAAGACGAAATGATCATCTAGTAAAGTATAGACTCGATAGAGCCCTCTCTAATAGTGAATGGGCGGAACTGTTTCCCTCGGGCAGATGTGAATATCTCCGATATGAAGGCTCAGATCACCGCCCTATAGTCTCTTTCTTTGATCCGAAGAAAAAGAAAAGTAAGGGACTGTTTAGATATGACCGGAGGCTAAAAGATAATGAAGAGGTGACAAAGCTGGTGGCAGAGACGTGGTCAGAGAGAGCTGATAATACAGTGAACCAGAAGATAGACTCATGCCGAAAAGCTATTGTCCTGTGGAACAAGAAGCAACAACAGAATAGTCAGAAACGCTTAGAAGAACTAAAAAAAGGGATTGATGAGGAGATGAGCAGCTCCAACCCTAATGAAACCCGCCTACTTAAGCTCAATGAAGACTTAAAAACATCCTATGCTGCTGAGAAATCCTACTGGAAACAACGAAGTCGCCAACTTTGGCTAAAGCTAGGAGATAATAATACTAGCTACTTTCATGCGGTAGCAAGGTCAAGATTTGCAATGAACAAATTCTCAGTTCTAGAAGACGATAATGAAAATGTTATCTATGAAGAGGACCAGATGATTAAAGTAATTTCGAACTACTTTCAGACTCTGTTTACCTCGAAGCCGGTTCCTGCGAACCTGAAAAGACAGATCATTGAAGCAGCGATAGAACCAGTCATCTCTGACGAGATGAATCAACTGCTAATTTCGGATCCATCAGAACAGGAGATTAAAGAGGCTATGTTCTCCATTCACCCAGACAAAGCCCCTGGACCTGATGGCTTCTCCGCCAGTTTTTTTCAAACTAACTGGAGTGTGGTCGGACCGGATATCATCACTGAAGTACAAACTTTTTTCACCTCCGGCATCATGCCCCGCAGCTCAAATGACACACACATCCGGCTAATTCCGAAGATCTTAGCTCCAAAGCGTGTAGCGGATTATCGCCCCATAGCATTGTGTAACGTCTGTTACAAAGTGATATCCAAGCTCCTATCTAGACGACTTCAACCTCTGCTGGAACTAATCATTTCCGAGACACAATCTGCATTTGTACCGAAGAGGGCAATATCAGACAACGTACTAATCACGCATGAAGTCCTACACTATCTCAAAGTGTCAAAAGCAAAAGTCTCATGCTCTATGGCAGTCAAGACAGACATGAGTAAGGCTTACGATAGACTAGAATGGGACTTTATCGAATTGGTAATGCGAAGATTTGGGTTTCACGAGAAGTGGATAGACAGAGTTCTCTCATGCATTACTATTGTATCCTATTCAATTCTGTTCAACGGAACACCTAGAGGAAAGATTGTACCTTCAAGAGGAATACGCCAGGGAGATCCTCTGTCTCCATATCTTTTCATAATATGCAGCGAGATTCTTTCAGGTCTCTGCCGTAAGGCTCAAGCTTCAGGCAAACTGGAAGGTCTCAAAGTGGCAAGAGGAAGCCCCCAGATTAATCATCTCCTCTTCGCGGATGATACTATGTTTTTCTGCAAGGCAAACAGTAGAAGTTGTAAGGAACTGAAAAAGATTCTGGACAATTACGAGATGGTATCAGGACAGCTTATAAATCTCCAAAAATCGTCAGTTACGTTTTCCAGTAAAACACCTCTGGCCACTCGCAATTTGGTTAAAGGAATGCTACTTATTGAGAAAGAGGGAGGTGTTGGCAAATATTTGGGCTTACCAGAACATTTTGGAAGGAAGAAGAAGGATCTCTTCACGGCAATTGTTGATCGAATTCGTCAAAAGGCAGCAAGTTGGTCCACTAAAAGGCTATCGAGTGCAGGAAAAATGATTATGCTGAAGAGTGTACTGGCCTCAATGCCTTCCTACGCCATGTCTTGTTTCAAACTTCCACAGTCTCTTTGCAAACGTATCCAATCGGCTCTCACAAGATTTTGGTGGGACTCGGACCCTGAAAAGAAGAAGATGTGTTGGATTTCTTGGGAAAAAATGGCAAAACCTAAGCATCTAGGTGGGCTAGGATTCAAAGATATCAACAATTTCAATGATGCTCTGTTGGCTAAACTAAGCTGGTGCATACAAAATAACCCTCTCTGCCTCTTAGCAAGGATCCTAAAAGGAAAGTATCATGCCCATACCTCTTTCATGGAAAACTCGATCCCAAACTCAGCCTCGCATGGCTGGAGGAGTATCTGTACGGGCAGAGAACTGCTGATCAAGAAGCTAGGTTGGGTCATTGGAAATGGAAAAAGTATCAAAGTGTGGGAGGATCCGTTGCTCTTTTTAAAAACTCCCTGCACACCTATAGGGCCACCTACACAAGAAGCTCAAAACCTTACAGTCTCAGACTTGTTTTTTCCAAATTCTGTGATCTGGGATCCAGTAAAGTTACAACTATATCTCCCTGAGTACAAGGAATTTATTCTCACCTTGAAGCCGAGTAGACTTGGGGCTCCTGATAAATTGAGATGGCTCGGAAATCCCTCTGGCGATTACTCCACGCGGTCTGGCTATCTAGCCGCTGCGGAAGCTGAGGAACTTCACCTTCCCTTGACACCTGGCCCGGCAATGAACTGGAACCAACAAGTGTGGGGTCTTAAAACATCCCCAAAGGTAAAAGTCTTCATATGGAAAACATTACAAGGAGCCTTACCGGTAGGGACGCAATTGGAAGCCCGGTGTGTCCCAGTGGATCCAAAATGTTGTCGATGTGGAGAACCGGAATCTATACTTCACCTCCTTTTCCATTGTTCTTTTGCCAAAGCAGTTTGGGAAAAAGCGCTCTTCTCAGAGGACTTCGTCTCGACCGTATGCAGCACTGTCCGAGAAGGCTTGGCGATGGCGCGAACAAGATTAAACCTCCCACCGATTGGACTTGATAGAGGCGCCTTATACCCTTGGATCTGCTGGGCTCTTTGGATAGCCAGGAACCAGAAAATCTTCGAACAAAGAATCTTCACGATCGAAGACACGATCCTAAGAGCTTTTCAGGATGCAAGGGAATGGAACCTGGCCCAAGCAGCTTCATCTCCACCCATTCCCCCACCAAATCTCCCAGTTCGACTAGTGAATCTTCCCACTAGACAACATTGGAGAAATTTCTCCTGCTGCACGGATGCAGCTTGGACTGCTGAAGCTTCTTCTTCAGCTGGATCCACAGGACTTGGATGGATTTTTTCATTCAACGAAGAGGTCATCTCTTCTCACTCCTCGGCCCTATCTTCTATCTCCTCGGCGCTTGTAGCTGAGGCTCTTGCAATCAGGGAAGCCCTAACTATGGCGAGAGACAAAGGCTTTAACTCTCTCACTCTACACTCAGACTTTCAGATCCTGATCAAGGCGATCATCGCGAAATCAAGCCTAATTGAAGTCCATGGGATTCTCGAAGACATCAGACTCATTGAATCGGCTTTTGTTTTTCTAAAGTTTAAGTTTATCCCTCGCCGTTTTAATTTCGGAGCTGATTCTATAGCCAAACAGGCTCTAAGAAACTTTAACTCTGTGGCGATTTAATCCTTTCGGGGCTTTATTAATGAAATTGTGTTCAAAAAAAAAAAAGTTAATATGAAGAAGATACGATGTAAGGCCCATTACAAAGAGAAGGTCCACTACACATATAGTACTCAAATTATCACCACTATATATTATTGATAATGCATTTCCATAATCACTAGATGATAAAAAGGTGTGACCAATTACTGTCTTTGATCATACTTTATTTTTTGAGCTTGAGTGGACATCTCTCATTCGTTTTTGATTCAATGTTAATTGACTGGGAAAAAGAACATCAGGCGTTAATTACCATCGTTTTAACGTCCTAAATATATAGCGTTGTATTTTTTAGTGTACAAACCTTCAAATGAATCAAACCAATATCTATCGCCAAACCGCTTTGAGATTATCTGTTTCTTCAACACGGACAAAACAAAATAGGAAAAAAAAACAATAATTTTTCTTGGCGTCTTTCCAAATTTTTAATCCAATGATAATTTAATTTATTTACATATATAAACATATTTCACATGCTATGCGCACTGAATTACTTGTGCAATAAGAAAAGCCATCAGCGTCCTTCCATGCACTTTTAAAACTTCAATCTTTCTCATCCTCACCCTAAATGACCCAAAATTTGGCTGTCTAACAAATAAACGGTAAACCCTAAAATGAATGACACTAAACTATTGAAGTTATTAAAAATCTTGGAGATCTGCCAAAACTAATGTGGTTTGTTAGATCATTTTTACTACAAAGTTAGGTTCCAGATAATTGAAAGACTAGTTGTTAGTTGTTACGTCTTTCATCATTATTTTGGATAAGGATTAGGTGTAAACGGTAACTCTTAACTAATTGTCTAATGTACTTAATTATGCATTCACATGTTCATGGTCAACCCCGGGTGCATAGAAACGCCGGTGAATGAATAAAAAGATCAAAGGAATAATAAAGAAAAGATGTAACAGTGGATTTGTGACTCATCAGTCTTTGGAGATTCTTTTCGAGATCTATAAATGACCAATTTGACATTTTATAATCCATATTATGAATGCCATCTTAGTTATAAAGATGAAAAACTATAAAGAGATAAACACACGTCGACCGGATAAAAATCTCGTTAATAGCCACCCGATCAGGCGATCACTGACATTATCCTTTTTTTTCATTGACCTTGAAGAATTAGTGCTCATATATGTATAATATTACTATTTGACATCCCTTAATATATTATACTAGGAAATCTCGTACGGAATTGAAATGCTAAATCTACATGTAGACCACTTGTAAATTTAGACTACAGAAACTGTGGGCATTGATTTATTAATTTAAGCTAAGAATTGCAACGAATCGCGTCAGACCTTTGTGGAAGTTTGGTTGTCTGCCAGAATTTTTAAAAAGGGTAAAAGATAGGTTAAGAAAATTACAACTCTTTAATGAAACATGCATATTTTTCTAAAATTACATTTTATTTTATTTTTTATCATGTGTTAAGAGGATAACTTAAGCAAAAAAATCACACAAACAAACATTTTAACACATTATAAAATTTTAAATGAAATGTTGTAGAAATTAGTTAAGAACTTAAGATTGAACTTTGGACTGATGAAGAAACATAAGTACACATTTGAAGTCTAACATTTAGGTTTAGACTTCAGGTTAATGGCTTAGATTTTTGAGTGTAAGGTTTAATTTTAAGGCTTTAGGGTTTTGAATGTTAACTAGTCTATTTTGTTAATTTAAAAGAATATATAATTTAATAATATAAAGATACTACTTTTATATTGGTTTCTTTTCATATATGTAGAAGGCCACCTTTTGTAGATTAAAAATTGTACAAATAGATAGTATACAACTATAAGTAGTAGATGTTAGTCAATAAACACCAAAACGTCTACTGACTCGATGATAGTTTCTTAAGTAGACGTAAATAGAGATCATTTCTTTCTCGAAGATAAGATTCGTGCTGTAGTTTGGTCGAAATTTTGATCTTTTAGAACTCATTAAAATTCTCATGTACAGGACATACTATCTATCTGAACACAGATTACAGATACCATATAATTTATTTTCTTCTACTGTATATAACAATTTTACCATACTTTCTTGATAACTTTATTTGTAGCTATAAAGGATACATAAGGGGACAAAGGAGAGTGGCGAGATATGGAAATAGTGATGAGTTTTAATACCAAAGAATGCACTTTGTCATCGGAAGAGAGAGAGACTAGAAATAGTAGGAACACTTGTCTGCTGCTTTTGAGTTCTGACAATAGTCTGCATTTCTGTTTCTTTCGTATCTTTCTTGAAAGTATAACTTAGGATAATCGATTCGCAAGTGTCTGAACACATTTGGTGGCCAATTGGCAAAGTCAATATATTCAAACTATTTTTTTTTGTTTCTTTTCCAAATATCCATGTATGATACGAGGCTGAGTCTAGGTGATGACACAACTACGAGTCATGCCATGTTCAATTTAAATTGGTTTTAGAATTTTCAAAATTGAAATAATTAGTCTGTGATTTATTCCATCTTTTTGTCATCGATTTACTCAATACCTACAAATCCACTAGGAGTATATATGATTTAGATTTTGGATTAGAAAAAAATCTAGTGGACTAAAATCAAACATACACAAATAAAAGAAATTATATGGAGTGGACTGTTCCAACGTCATTTAAATACATTGGTGCGATTATAATATATGAATAAATAAAGGGAGAGAGTACAAAATACCTTTTTATGTAAATTCCCCAAAATGGCTTGTTAATTTTCCATCACCCAAATTTCACTAGATCCATTACTCTCACAGTGTCCCGTTTGATACTGTGGAGGACAACTAAACCACAATACTCTTTTTCTTCTTTAATTATTTTCTTATGACTTGGCCACGTTTCTATGTATACTATCTGTTTATGTATATATTCGAATATAATTCATTGGATATAAATTTATAGTGACCGAGGATTCGAGATTCCAAAAGCACACCGGATCTGATCGTGAACAAATAAAGGCTCGTATACTATAATATTGTAAGAGCATTGTGCAAACTTTTGTAATATTGTAAGAGCATTAAAGGAAACGACACTTTTGTAATATTGATGAATATTGAGATCAAAGTTAATTTATCTTTCATTTGCTTTACATGCAAATAAGAGACCTTGTTATTGGTTTCTTGGGTTCTCTAATGAGACGGTTACTACTTACTAGTGTGAGATAATATAAGCTCAAGTTCTGAATATACTATGTGTAATTCAATGGGTAAAAAAAGCATTCCGACATAATGTATGTGGAAGTAACGTAATGTCCTACTCAAATGCAGTTGAAAGCGTGATATTTGCGATGATTGGCACACAAGTTGGTAAGTTTGGTTTTATCCCGCTGATGTTATAAGTCGTTATAGATATATGAGTAACCAATTAAAATGCGATCAATGAAAAAGGAAATGACATATATGTTAAATATATGACACTCATAGAGGTCACTAAAGAAGCAACTTTGTCCAATAGGTTGCTGAAAGCTAGTATTTCGTCATGACACCGTGGAGGTGTTAAGTTACTCTATTACTTCATTTAGTTGTCTTTTTATTTTGTATATTCCAGCAGGTGCTTACAATTCTGTCTAGAAGAGACATATCACAATGACCTGGCACAACATTAACGCCCTAGAGAGAAAAAAACACTAAGACGCTAATCAAAACCTTACCAATACGCCTAACTAATTTACTAATTTTGTCATTCTTTAATCCACGTTGATCCCAATTACAATTTCTAGACTTACTCTTAATGCTTCCGTGGCTGCTTTGTTGCAACGCGATTAAGTGGATTTCTTACTTTGTGCAGCCATACAAACGCGAGCTCACTCCACTTTCTCTTTTGGAAGTTTTAAGCCATTAGTATCACACTTTTAGACCCTAATTATTGACTCTTAGTATTTAAATAATACGTAAATATCTTTGATACGATAAGGCTGTTATTTCCGAATAGGAGATCTTCTATCAAGTCTCTTTACCCAAAAATAATTTTTTTTTTGTTAAAAGGCCTTTACCCAAAAATAATGCGACACGTACGAGCAAAATTTTACGTAGGATAAAGTTATAGTAGTGGGTTTAGTTGAATCAATAGGTAGGAACTTCCATTAGAAATCTTGTAAAACTTTGATGCGGTAAAGTTACCAGTCCCATCATATATAGATCAGACCAAAATATGTATCTTTTGGATACTTCAACTAAAATTCCGATTTAGAAATTAGAAAATCGCATATTTTAAGTAGAAAATGATATATCATAAACCTAAATATTAGTTAAAGAAATTTATAATAAACCTAAAATTTCTTACAACTGGATAAAATTACTTGATAATTTTATCTTGTGAAGCAATATTTCATAAACAAATTTACGGTAGATTGGTTTATTATAATGTACTTTTTTTAAAAAAGTGTTCTCTAGATAATCACAATACAGAAAATAATAGAAATTTTGCTTGGTAGAGGTTAACATGTAGATGTCGGTCAGAAAATACATATACTATTTTATCTGAGCACGTATTTGGGGTATTTTGCATGTATACCAGCTTTAGTTGCATAAGTGTCGTTGGTTGTATCTAGGATTGTATAAAACTACGACCACTATATAGAGGAAAAGCTTGGGTGCTTATAAGTGGTTGGATACTATTTCTACTTAGACGGTTACATACTTACATCCACCAGAAGAGTCAAGGAAGGATATAAATCCCTCACACAATAGTAAAATTATAGCTAAATAAACTTATTATATGATCGGCCTCACATTTTTTTTTTAAAGAGAAAGAAACAAAAACATATTTTCTTTAAATCTGTCCATAAAGATATATATATATTTGCAAACAGTCACCTATATGTGTGTGTGCATTAAGGACCTTTATTTGTTAATGATGAGAAACCGTAGAAATTGGGAAGGCTGTGGCTCGTGGAAGATGAGCGACCAATTAACACTACTTGGAAATGCAATAATGAGAGGAGAATTTATGTGCCTATGACGCGA